CAGATAGTTGGTGCATGTGTACAGTAACCTGAGGGGAGTGAGGTGACTATTTCTGAGGAGAACATGAGCAGTGAAGATTCACCTTGGAGCTAGAACAGGGACGTGCACATGATTATACAGGGGCAGGGGCTCAAGTTTTTTCCAGTCATTTATACAATATGGAAATTAATGTGGAAATTAAACCACAAATATGTGTGATGAACTGTTTTTAAAACTTAAACTTCAAATAAAAATTGTAAACTTCAAAACATATGCAAATTTTTAACAAAGAACATAGTAATTTACCTCTATTTACATCAAAATGCAGGCAATGGCCCAGGCGTTCTTTGTAAAATTATTTACAAAACACTGTTTAGTCTCACAAATGTCACTTTTTATTTATGCCACTACAAAAAAACATGATGTAAATGATGCATGATGTAAAACATGATGTAAAAAACTTGTGTAGATCCTCCTCTATGTCAGTCCATGTGTAATTTTTCCATAATTCTTTGTTTTTTGCAGCATTTTTGTTAGTGTAACTGCAGATTGTGCTGACAGTCTATGGCAAAAAAAAAAAAAAATAAAATGCCTCAACATGAACCCCTGGTGGTCTCTGAGGGTGAAACCTGCTAACTGCTGCAGCTCTGTCAGCTTCAGTCTCCCATGCAGAGCTCGGAGCGCATGTGTGGCTCTGCACCCTTAGCAGCGTTGCTAACTCCTCAGTAAGGAAAGCCTGCTTCATGTCAGAGTCTCTAAACTCCAGAAGAAGTCGATAAAAGTCCCTTTCTTTCTAGAAAAAAGTCGTTAGGGGGTCTGAAAAGTCATTGAATCTAACAACAAAGTCGCTAGGTTTGCAACTACGTGTCCCAGACTGCATCCCTGCTGAGAGTCCCTCCCTCCCTTCTCATGTTGCAGGAAGAACGTAAGCGCCCGCCCCTTGTCAATCAGTCACCATATAATTTTGGATTGGTTGTTGTGGTGAAGTTTTCCACCAATAGGAGAGATGTTGTGGTGTGTTTTTTTCTTTTGGCAAGCCTTTTCCGCCTGTAAGACCTGTCGCTAATGTGTGCATGCTATGTTTTCCTGTCTCATACAGCGCGATCGAGCGCCGAACGTGATCAAAATAAGCAGAAAAAAAGTATCGCGGACATAATTTATCATAACTCTGGTTTTATTTGGCCTATCAACACAATTTAAAAACTGGTATATAGGTTGAGGTCCTCACTTTTGAGATAAGTTGAAACGGAGAGTTAACGAGGCTCCGTCTTGCAGCTACATCCGGTTAAATATGTCATGTGACTTGAACGCTGGGGAGCGTCAATCGAATCGAATCAAACCTAACTCTCAGATGAATCTTCAAAATTCACCTCAGAAATATGCTTATTATTCTTCTCAGAGTACTGCAGGATACACACACACACACACACACACACACACAGACACACACACACGCACACACACACACACACACACACACACACACACACACACTCAGAGTCTGTTTTTTAGCACCTGCAAAAACATGCTATTTACATATTTGACAAGAATGCAGAGGCTTCCTTTTGCCCCTGAAAAAAATCAAATTTCAAACACAACTTGACTGCTCATTTCTCCAAAAGACAACCATGAAGCTCCATCCAAACCTGAAGCAGGCAGTTGGTGCATGTGTACAGTAACCTGAGGGGAGTGAGGTGACTGCTTCTGAGGAGAACATGAGCAGTGAAGATTCACCTTGGAGCTAGAACAGGGACGTGCACATGATAATACAGGGGCAGGGGCTCAAGTTTTTTCCAGTCGTTTATACAATATGGAAATTAATGTGAAATTAAAAAACAAAGTATGACTGTCCTGTGTAGGTGACAGTGATATCCAATAGGCTAGGCACTCACGAGGCTGGCTGTGGCAAGTGTAAGTGAAAGCAACACGCACTGGCAGGAAGAACAGCAAACGCCGATGAAGGAAAAGGGTCTTTGCAGTGATGGGCGTTACCAGAGAGGGCGATGGCCAGAGGACGCGAATGGGACGGGGAGGCAGCGTGTTGGGGGGGGGGGGGGGGGGCGACACGGCTCGGGCCCGCCAGTGCCCCAACGGGGCCCTAGTCTTCTTATTATTTTTCTGCCCCTTTGAACTGGAAAATGGCCCACTTCCCACTGGTGAAAACTCATGAAATTTGGCAGGACGACTGGGCCTGGTGAAAAATTCGATATTCTGAAGTCACCCAAACAATCAAATGCAAAATGGCTCCATAGCGCCCCCTAAGGTGAAAAATTCACATGATTGAGTGTCACGCCTGTACGCTTTGTCAAAATGACACAAAATTTGACACACACGTGTATCTCAATAAGATCTACAAAAAAGTCAGTGCGGGCGTATCTGTCAAATGTACGTTTAAAGGGCTATTTCGCATTTTTTGCCGATCCGCACACATTGGAATTTCGCTAACTCCTCCGAAGGCTTTCGTTCCACCGGCACCACATTTGCTCAGGCCAATCTACACCCCATGGCCATTAAAAGTTGTACAAATCATGACGCTGCACCCCACGGTTTACGTTGTAGGGGGCGCCAAAGATAACCCAAAAATCCACATTCTTACAAGTCTTATAACTTTTTATTTCTGTCCTCACTGGCCTCCAAGTTTTCTAGGATGATGCAATGTCCAGCCATCAACACATTTGTGAAGGAATTTTTACTCCCCAAAAGAGCGCCCCCCCATGGCAGGAGAAAAAAGGCCATTTTTTCTTGTCCTATAAGGTGAAAATACACATTGTTGAGTGTCACGCCTGTACGCTTTGTCATATTGAAACAAAATTTGATAATCACGTGTATCTCAATAAGATCTACGAAAAAGTCAATGCGCACGTGTCTGCAAAATGTACGGTTGAAGGGCTATTTCGCATTTTTGGTTGATTCGCACACATTGGAATGTGGCTAACTCCTCCTAAAGCTTTCGTTCCACCGGCACCAAATTTGCTCAGGCCAATCTACACCCCATGGCCATTCAAAGTTGTACAAATCATGACGCTGCACCCCACGGTTTACGTTGTAGGGGGCGCCAAAGATAACCCAAAAATCCACATTCTTACAAGTCTTAACTTTTTATTTCTGTCCTCACTGGCCTCCAAGTTTTCTAGGATGATGCAATGTCCAGCCATCAACACATTTGTGAAGGAATTTTTACTCGCCAAAAGAGCGCCCCCCCATGGCAGGAGAAAAAAGTCCATTTTTTCTTGTCTCCTAAGGCGAAAATTCACACTATTGACTGTCACACCTTTACGCTTTGTCAAAATGACACAAAATTTGACACACACATGTATCTCAATAAGATCTACAAAAAAGTCAGTGCGGGCGTATCTGTCAAATGTACGGTTAAAGGGTTATTTCGCATTTTTTGCCGATCCGCACACATTGGAATTTCGCTAACTCCTCCGAAGGCTTTCGTTCCACCGGCACCACATTTGCTCAGGCCAATCTACACCCCATGGCCATTAAAAGTTGTACAAATCATGATGCTGCACCCCACGGTTTACGTTCTAGGGGTCGCCAAAGATAACCCAAATATCCACAGTCTTAAAAGTCTTATAACTTTTTATTTTTGTCCTCACTGGCCTCCAAGTTCTCTAGGATGATGCAATGTCCAGCCATCAACACATTTGTGAAGGAATTTTTACTCGCCAAAAGAGCGCCCCCCCATGGCAGGAGAAAAAAGTCCATTTTTTCTTGTCTCCTAAGGCGAAAATACACATTGTTGACTGTCACGCCTTTACGCTTTGTCGAAATGACACAAAATTTGACACACACATGTATCTCAATAAGATCTACGAAAAAGTCAATGCGAGCGTATCTGTTCAATGTACGGTTAAAGGGCTATTTCGCATTTTTTGCCGATTCGCACACATTGGAATGTGGCTAACTCCTCCTAAAGCTTTTGTCCCATCGGCTTCAAATTTGCTCAGGTCAATCTACACCCCATGTCCATTCAAAGTTGTACAAATCATGACGCTGCACCCCACGGTTTACGTTCTAGGGGGCGCCAAAGATAACCCAAAAATCCACAGTCTTAAAAGTCTTATAACTTTTTATTTTTGTCCTCACTGGCCTCCAAGTTCTCTAGGATGATGCAATGTCCAGCCATCAACACATTTGTGAAGGAATTTTTACTCCCCAAAAGAGCGCCCCCCCATGGCAGGAGAAAAAGTCAAGTTTTTCCTGCCCATCGCTCAATGGCTCAAACGCATCGCTCTCTCGGCAAAACCGAAAGAAGGAGCAACTTGCCATTTGGATATATACTAGCTGTGTTTGTGCCCTCACTCATGGTCCAGACTTTTTTCAAAAAGGACATGGAGTTTGTCTGCAGCGAGCGTTTTGGTAGAAACTGCGCCTCCCATTCATTATAATGGTAAATGACCACAGACAAGTGCGCACACCATCTTTGGACCTTGAGTGTGACGCAATTGGGAGGGGTAGGCGGTCGCGCTGGGGGTGGCGCGACACGGCTCGGGCCCGCCAGTGCCCCAACGGGGCCCTAGTTTCTTTTTATTACAGAATTAGAATAATGGAAGCATAGCCCAATGAAACCATTCAAGTGATGTCATACCTCATAATTTATTAAGATGTTGGCTAGTCTGGGCATTTCTTCATTCATCAGGTTTCCTGCATGCATACTAACAGAGCACATCAGTAGCAGTGAATGATAAGTATGAGTGTGTCATTGTGTAAGAAAAGAAAGTGGTTTACTTACACATCCATAGAAAATAGGTGGTTGAGCACAGCACGCAAACAAAGCTTTGCCACGACAGTGGAACTTCCCAAGTAGCCGATACCAAGGTCACACAATCATGGTGAGCAAAGGTCAAACCAGGCCAGGCACTCACAAGGCTGGCTGTGACAAGTGTAAGTGAAAGCAACACGCAATGGCAGGAAGAACAGCAAACGCCGATGAAGGAAAAGGGTCTTTGTAGTGATGGGCGTTACCAGAGAGGGCGATGGCCAGAGGATGCGAATGGGACGGGGAGGCGACCGCGTTGGGGGGGGGCGCGACACGGCTCGGGCCCGCCAGTGCCCCAACGGGGCCCTAGTTCCTGTATGGGTTCTTCTTTCATTATTTTTCCTCCGCTTTAAACTGGAAAATGGCCCACTTCCCACTGGCGAAAACTCAGGAAATTTGGCAGGACGACCGGGCCTGGTGAAAAATTTGATATTCTGAAGTCGTCCAAACAATAAAATGAAAAATGGCTCCATAGCGCCCCCTAAGGTGAAAACTCACCTGACGCCTGTACGCTTTGTCAAAATGACACAAAATTTGACACACAGGTGTATCTCAATAAGGTCTACAAAAAAGTCAGTGCGGGCATATCTGTCAAATGTACTGTTAAAGGGCTATTTCGCATTTTTTGGCGATCTGCACACATTGGAATTTCGCTAACTCCTCCGAAGGCTTTCGTTCCACCGGCACCACATTTGCTCAGGCCAATCTACACCCCATGGCCATTAAATGTTGTACAAATCATGACGCTGCACCCCACGGTTTAGGTTCTAGGGGGCGCCAAAGATAACCCAAAAATCCACAGTCTTAAAAGTCTTATAACTTTTTATTTTTGTCCTCACTGGCCTCCATGTTTTCTAGGATGATGCAATGTCCAGCCATCAACACATTTGTGAAGGAGTTTTTACTCCCCAAAAGAGCGCCCCCCCATGGCAGGAGAAAAAAGTCCATTTTTTCTTGTCCCCTAAGGTGAAAATACACATTGTTCAGTGTCACACCTGTACGCTTTGTCATATTGACACAAAATTTGACAATCACGTGTATCTCAATAAGATCTACGAAAAAGTCAATGCGCACATATCTGTAAAATGTACGGTTAAAGGGCTATTTCGCATTTTTTGCCGATTCGCACACATTGGAATGTAGCTAACTCCTCCTAAGGCTTTCGTCCCACTGACACCAAATTTTCTCAGGCCAATCTACACCCCATGGCCATTCAAAGTTGTAAAAATCCTGACGCTGCACTTGACGGTTTACGTTCTAGGGGGTGCCAAAGATGACCCAAATATCCATATTCTTAAAAGTCTTATAACTTTTTATTTTTGTCCTCACTGGCCTCCAAGTTTTCTAGGATGATGCAATGTCCAGCCATCAACACATTTGTGAAGGAGTTTTTTCTCGTTAAAAGAGCTCCCCCCCATGGCAGGAGAATAAAGTCAAGTTTTTCCTGTTCATCACTCAATGGCTCAAACGCACTGCTCTCTCGGCAAAAGCGAAAGGAGAAGCAATTTGCCATTTGGATATTTCCTAGCTGTGTTTGTGCCCTCACTCATGGTCCAGACTTTTTTCAAATAGGACATGTAGTTTGTCTGCAGCAAGCGTTTCGGTTGAAACTGCGCCTCCCATTCATTATAATGGGAAATGACCAAAGACAGGTGTGCACACTATCTTTGGACCTTGACTGTGACGTCACAGTTTGACATTCAAATGTTATATGACCTCTGACCTTTGGTGGAGACGTGAACCTTTCAACCTGCAAAAACGGCGTTTCAATAGCTCTTACGGCTTTTCTACAAATACACTTTGTTCTGCTGCTCCTACTGTCTCTTCAGAGCTGCTTCACAGATCATCAACGAGTGTGCATGTGTGTAATAATATAATCATTTTTAGTGACAATGATTTTTAGTGACATCATACATTTGTTTTTTTCAGCAGAGGCAGCCACCTTAAATGTTGACGTGTTTTCTGCAGTTGCATCACATGGCCACAGGGTGCCAGTGTTGGACTCATTTTCCAGGGTCTATTGTTGTTGCTAACATGTATTTGTAAAATCAAACCCCTATTTTTATAATAGAAAATGTCCTGTGAAGATTTGTCCACTGTAGTGACTGTTATATGTGAAAGGGTTAATTGTGTAGTGGAAGTGTTTAGTGTTTATGATACACACACACAGACACACACACACACACACACACACACACATACACACACACACACAGAGTCTGTTTTTTAGCACCTGCAAAAACATGCTATTTACATATTTGACAAGAATGCAGAGGCTTGCCCCTGAAAAAAATCTAATTTCAAACACAACTTGACTGTTCATTTCTCCAAAAGACAACCATGAAGCTCCAACCAAACATGAAGCAGGCAGTTGCTGCATGTGTACAGTAACCTGAGGGTAGTGAGGTGACTGCTTCTGAGGAGAACATGAGCAGTGAAGATTCACCTTGGAGCTAGAACAGGGACGTGCACATGATTATACAGGGGCAGGGGCTCAAGTCTTTTCCAGTCGTTTATACAATATGGAAAAAAAATTAATGTGAAATTAAAAACAAAGTATTAATAGAAAGGTAATGACTGTCCTGTGTAGGTGACAGTGATATCCAATAGGCTAGGCACTCACGAGGCTGGCTGTGGCAAGTGTAAGTGAAAGCAACACGCACTGGCAGGAAGAACAGCAAACACCGATGAAGGAAAAGGGTCTTTGCAGTGATGGGCGTCACCAGAGAGGGCGATGGCCAGAGGACGTGAATGGGACAGGGAGGCGGTCGCGCTGGGGGCGGCGCGACGCGGCTCGGGCCCGCCAGTGCCCCAACGGGGCCCTAGTTATTATTATTATTACTATTATTATTATTATTATTATTATTGTTTTAACCGGTAACCATACCAACTCTAATTCCTAACTGAATCTCCAAAAATAATTGCTCTACAAACATATAGTCTAAAAGATAGACAGCATAGCGTACCAACTGAGCTGAGTAATTAAACTTCCTACCCACACATATTTTTTACACACAGACTGAGCTCAGAGACTCGACTGGGAACATGTGACAGGTCGACATGCGCCGGCCAGTGCAAGCCCTTGATTAGCCTACCCCAAACCGCCAAGTCAACAGACGAAAGCGGGGGCTATCACTGTATCTCTTACCCACACCTACCCCTAACCCTAGCCAAACCCTAACCCTAACCCTAGCCCTAACCCTAGCCCAACCCTAACCCCTAGTTGGGGTTAGGGCTAGGGTTGGGGTTAGGGCTTGTGTTAGTGTTAGGGTTAGGGTTGAGGCTAGGGTTAGTGTTGAGTCTAGGGTTAGGGTAAAGGTTAGGTTTAGGAGATACAGAATTGGGGTTTGGGTCAGGGTTAGGATTAGAATTAAGGTTAGGGTTAGTGCGATAATGTTCTGTAATATTGTGTTGGATGTACAGAGCTGACAGCCTGTGCTTGGCTTGAACGTGTGATGATGTTTCCAGCTTTTCTAACGAATTTGTGGCGAAGGAGGCGGGACTTTCCCCTACCATCTTAAAAAAATATATTGCTCCTGGTCTCCCCTAAGTACTGATGAATGTTACACAGGCACAGCTACCGAAACTCTGAGCCTGTGAGTTTAGTTTCTGGTTTAATTTTCTCTTAAAATTGGCTGAGTCTACCACAGGATCTAATATGTGGATCAAGGACTTAACTTAGCATGTGCAGAGTGAGTCAGGTGATTTGTAACTTGTTTCTGATTGGAGAAATTGGAAGTGTTACAATTGACCCGTGTTACAACCATCCCCGGTCTCCCCTAAGTACTGATGTATGTTGCACAGGCACAGTAACCGGAAATCTGAGCCTGTGAGTTTAGTTCCTAGAGGAAAAAATAATCTCGGATCCACGTGGGAAAGTTGCGGGTGAGTGGCCTGACGTCATTGATCAGGTGATAAAATGACCAATCAAAAGAAGCTTAAATGAGGTTTTTGCGCCAACATTTACTGGTTGTTATTTATCGGTCTAATTTGGTTGTTTTACTTTTTCCCCCTTGGATCTCAGAATGAGTCCACGTTTTTTTTTTTTGGCACGGTGCAGAACCTGTCATCAAACATCTGCAGTCTCATTATCGCCCACACAGCCTTTTTTTTCTGTCAGAAATGTCCCAATTTAATTCGCGCCTCATATGCCATTAAAAACAGTCGGTCAAGGCCAAAAATCAGCCCGTGTTTTCTCAACAATATACCCCTGTCATGCATTTTAAGCTCACACAGACTGCAGGTATAGTCAACTTCAGGTAGCCCACATTTTAACAGTTGTGTGTGTGTGTGTGTGTGTGTGTGTGTGTGTGTGTGCTGCAACGACAGATACTGCAGCGTCGGCATAAAATGGAACAACTAAAACGGGGCTCATTGTAGAGTAATACCAAAGTTTAGATGCACATTTGAATTTTCAGCGTTTGCATATCAAATTTATGGAGCCCATTTTTTTCTTTACACTGTTTCAAATGCACCCATCTATGCCAATCTCTACTGTACAGAGGAACAGAGGAACCCCCTCCTCATTCTTCATCTCCAGGAATCACAGTCTTCCTCCTCCTCAGGATTTTGAAGCTTTTGTTAAATCAAGCAGAGACGCAGACCCGTTTCGAGGGATAGAGCTCCGTGTTCCCTGCAGCAGAGAGGAGCAGATTGGGGGTTTTCCCTTTTTCTCAGAAACTGGAGCTCTCTCTCTCTCTCTCTCTCTCTCTCTCTCTCTCTCTCTCTCTCTCTCTCTCTCTCTCTCTCTCTCTCTCTCTTTGTACAGTAGGGGACGTGCCGGCAGTCGCCTACCTCGGCAGGAGACGGTGCACCGGGGTCCGGCTCTCCCTCCACCAGCACGGTGTGGGATCTTTTTTTTTTCTCCCCCCTCTTGGTGTTGTGTGTTTCTTAAATTACCGATCAGAGGATGTTGGGAGACGAGGGGATCCTGTTCTCGCGCAGCACGTGCAGCCGGAGCCTCCTCCTGATCTGGACCCTCGTAGGCTTGAACATGATGGTGGAGGTGTCGGGGTCCCAGCCTGGGATCCCTCTGTCAGTGTGAGTGAGAGGCAACTCTACAACTTTGTTTCACCTGAATTTGAATATTTGATATTTTTGATTTGTTAATGATGAGACTTTGCAAAAGCTTTTAATTTGAAGTAATTATAGAGGGTTTGATTAATCATCAGAGATAATCAGAGGGATTTTTGTCACTTCCATGAAAGGCTTTGGGCTAAAGTAAGTATTGTTTGTGGAGTTCAGATTAACTATAGATATGCATCTGTTAACCCTCCTTTTTCTCCACATTATAACTCTACATTACTGGAAAAGTTAGAGTGCTGTTGCTGGAGAGTAAAATTGACTGTAGGAGGAAGCAAGCCAATGAATGAGTGGGGATTTTAGCAAATTAAAAAACTGGAAACACATCTCAGTAAATCTTGGATTGATCCTTTTTTCTTTAAGTATAAAAACTTAATAGATAATACAAGAGCATGCATTTTTTAACCGATGAAACAAATTGTACTTTTCACAATAAACTATCTTTAGAGTCTTCACTGTATATTCTGCAGGCCTGCAGGTGCCATCCTGTGAATGTAAATACGCAGATATATAGACAATAAAAGGCTAATAATAAGAGGTATTTCCTTTAAAATTCAGGATTTGTAGCAGACGTAAAGAGTGCTTAAATTAAAAAACTTCAGCTGTGATTTTTTAAGATCATCTCCATTGTGCAAATTCAGTTTTAAAACAGAAGTCTGAAATGTGGATGCGGATTTTAAATGTGATGCACTATCAAAAAAAAGTTGTACGCATTCAGGTGACAATTCAAGGATGTTACACACCTCTGAAAATAGACATTTACTGTTAAGTTTTTGGTCCCTTTATTCTGTGTAAAATCTAAAACATTAAAAAATGAAACAAAACTGAATCTCAGCTCAGATTTTTTTTATTTGGAAAATCCGTTTTGTGGTTACAAAATTGTTAAGGTAAAGCTGTGATTAATTTTTTTTTTCAAGTTGGTACTGCAGATGCAAATAATAAAATCAACATGTGCAACTATTCAATCACTAGTGTAGTTTTTTAATCATTGAAACAGGCCTAGAACAGCAGCTCAGTTTCTGATTAAAGGTGCTTTTTTTCGCTGCCACAGTCAGCACCCATTCAAAAAGAGAGAGAGAGGAAGAGAAGATAGTAAAACTTCAGAACAGATCATCAAAATCACAATGACTCATCTATCAGGGTAGTGAAGGTCAGGGGCGACAGGCCTTCATGATAATCTTTCAACTGATGGTGTCAGAAATAAAGCTTGAAAAATGACGGCTGAGGAGAGATAAAAGCAGTCAGGGTGAGGAGAGGACAGGACGATTCAGAGAAGCAGAAGGTGAGAAGAGATAACAGATTTATATTAAAATCTGTGACTGATGCTCAAATTCAAATCTCACATCATCTCTGAGGATTGTAATCTTTCTTTCCAAACCATATTTTAAATCAGATGATAACTTTTACGTTTTTTTCTAGATACAATTTTAATCCTGCTTGTTTTGTTTATATATTATGTGTATTTTCCAGCAAATATACTGACACACAAAAGTCACTCATCTGGTTCTTTATTTTTCTAGAGTCAAGCTCTGGGCCTCAGCTTTTGGCGGAGAAATCAAATCTATCTCTGCAAAATATTCTGGATCCCAGCTGCTTCAAAAGGTAGGTTCTTCTCATTTTTCAGACATGTAAGTGTGAACATAAATGGGGTTTCTCTTCGTCAGATGGGCCATGTCGTTACATACACTGTACGCCGTGATGCTGCGTTCCCTCTGATGACTGCAGAAACATTTCGGCGTCTCAGCTGAATGCTGATGCGTCATTTTAGTTGGGACTCAGGTGTGTTGGGAAGAAAGAGAGCTGTGTGTGCGGTTCCATCTGTGTGTGTGCGCGTGTGTGTTTTTGTACTTGACACGGCCCATTACCCACAGCTCTGATTCTCCTCTCATCTCTTCAGTTAACTCTCTGGAGTCAAGAGTTTCAACCTCTGGACATGAATGCGACAAGGAGACAGATTGAATTAGAGGGTGCTCTGTTCCCACGGTGTGTGTGTGTGTGAGTGTGTGTGAGCGGGGGAAGGGTTATGAAATGAGGATGGAGTGAAAGACAGAAAGAACAGTTTGTTTGACTTTCTGACCATCTGAAGGCAAAGGTGGACTCTGTGTACTGGGGCCTCATCTCTGCAGAGATCAGTCAGCGGGATGGATGGAGAACTGTCATACAACATAATTTTTTTAGGTGAAAGCAACATGAATATGTGTGACAGGTTACTTACTGTAGACACATCAAATTCATTCTATTACATATTTTGAAAAGAAGCACGTCTTGCTGAATACATTCTGTAAAATTTCAAACAATCTTTTCTGACACAAGAAGAAAGAGGGGCATCGAGAAGCAGATTCAGAGATAAAAACACAGAAATCATAGCGCTCACTGCTCACAGATTAAGTAAAATCAACCCTCTTTGACTGTTATTTATCTGTTTTCATTCATTCGTTACACTTTCCCACATTAAACTCAAAGTTATATGTATCATTCACACCATTTTTTCTGTGTTTTTGAATAAATCTGCACCAGAGTGAGAATGAAAGTTGAACCACATCACCTAAGCTATGACCAAAGAAATTATGTATACCCAAATGAGATAAAATCCTAATGTCGTTTTTTATCACACCAAAAGCATGCATGCTAAGATTGATTAGTGCGGTTTTAGCCAAACTAAATAAGAGCGGTCAAGGAAGGATTAAAATCCAAATACGTAATATCTGTAGTTACTGTATTTACTGCACCAAGTGAAGAAGACCTCTCAGAGCATAAAAAGGAAAATCACACTCCATCATGGTTAACAAAACTCCATTAAGCTTCATTGTTTCATGTTACTACTTGTGGTAGGTTGTCAGGCTTGTGGTGTTAGATTGGTTAGAGAGGTGTTCAGTGATTTTAACAAAGATTTTAATACACAGTATAAAAGAAGATTCCATTTAAAGCTTCAAAAACTTCAACGGTAAAGAAACAGCATTTGTCATAATTACATTTCTGATAAGTGAAATTTATTTCCAGAGCTCTATCTGTGACAGGATGGCACATTCATAAAAACCTGTCTTTTCCCTCTGTTGGTTACGTTAAATAAATTACAGTCATAGTCAACTCTCTATTTTTGACCACCCTCTTCCTTTCAGGAGCTGTGGGCAATCACAGCACCACGTCCGGGGACAAACTCCAGCTCTGAGACCAGTACTCCAATCAAAGTGAGCAGCAGGATTAGTCCTAAAACCACTGCGGCCTGTCTGTGGGAGGAAAGCCAAGGACCCAGAGGTCCACGCAAATACGGAGAGAGCGTCCAGACAGCGATTAAGAGGCGACTCCAGGCTCCAAACCTCGGACCCTCCTGCACTGAGGTGACAGATTCTTAAAACAACATTCAAACATTTTGTGGAAACCGAGGTTTTGTCCTTCTGTTCGGTACCAAATATGCATTTCATCTTTTTGCAATACGCCCTCCGGATTTGTTCCTTTTTTTCTGTGTATGTAAGCACTTTGCTCATGTTCCTGTTCATGGAGGCATGTCTGCAGATCCAGTCAGCACAAAGCAGCGAGCTGTGAGGGAGCTGACGGGTCGTTAGGGGCCGCTCATTAAGGCTGATCATTAGATGCTTTTATGGAGAATTAGCCCATTTCACAGAGATTTCAGGAGGAAAAAACAGGCAACACTGGGGCTCTTCAGGGTCTGCATTGGTCATTATTCTGATCAATAATCATGATCAGGCCTTTTGATGGATGGGGGCTCAACCTCCTCTTGATGGCTTGAGGAGAGTGAGGAAGAGGAGGGAAGAGAAAGGGGGGGTGGGACTGGGAGTGCTGAGGCGAGGAGGACAGGCGTGAAATGAACTGTTCTGCTCCACTGCGAGTCCACACTCTTCCTTTCAGTAGGTAATTTGTCGCCTCATGTACTGGAGTGTGTGTTTTTTTTGTGTGTGTGTGTGTGTGTGTTGTCCACACACTCTGTTATGTGCTTGAATGTTGGGTTTATGAACGCAGCTTTTGTTTATTTTTAGATAAGGTTAATGGAAGTCTGTGTGTGACGTGGCGTGAGAGTATCAGCTTTTCTGTGTGACCATGTGTGTGTGTGTAAGGTGCAGGATTATGTAATGTTGTATTCCTGTGGGCTGTGGTGGGCTTTGTTCTGTATCACTGGAGGTCCTGAGCATCCGGCAGCATCAGCATTATGTGAGGTGTACTTCATTACCCAGAATCACCCAGGCCTGACACGTTATTATCTTTCTTCTGTGCTTTGACTCCATTTCAATTACCCTCTTACCATGCATAGCCTTCAGACCAGAGCCCCACCCACCCGGCCACCCAACAAGGCCATCTCCAGCCAATCAGAGAGGCAGAGGCAGTGTGTGCAGCCAATGAACGAGGCAGGATAAAGACGATCAATCATTGTGTGATGCAGCAGGGTTTTATCAGGCGTTCATCTGAGACCGGCTCCATGCAGCATGTCAGCCAACATGTGAAGCCACATAAGCCTTGTTTAACAATTCCCTGCCTCTCTGAAGGCGCCACAGTGAAACAGTAGTGGCCTAAAATGTTGCAGCACACACACACACACACACACACACACATAGATTATTGTGTGTGTGTGTTATCAAGATAGAGAACTTAAGGGGTTAACATCAACTAATGAAGTCAGTATTCTTCTTTTTTTTATTTGCACAGATTTTCAGCAATTTTCTCTGCAAATGCAAATGACCTTTTTCCTGGTTATTTTTAGAAATATAAAGAATTTGAAAAGTCCGTCAGAGTGGAAGAAATTGATGGAGTGAAACTGGTCAAAAATCTGGCGGTGAAGATGGAGGAAGTGTTCAGCAAAAAGGCAGAGGCCACAAGGGTAGGTATTACAGCGAACGCCTTCAAAATACACATTTAATCGTCTTGATTTATGTAAAGATTGCAATCTATGTGGTTTGTTTTTCCTCATTTGAAGAGGGTTGTTTTTTTCTAAAGGTTAGGGGTCTTTTAAGTTGGACATAAACTCATGAAAACCAAAGAGTTTCCAGGCTGTGAGTTTAGCCCTACATACAGAGGCTATAGTTCTCATTGCAGGGGTCACTGGTTTGATTTCCAGTCAGAACTCCTTGCTGCATGAGTCCCCCTCACTCCCCTGTCCCTCTTCATCTGTCTCTTTAATAAAGCCAAATCCCCCTCTTTAATAAAAGCAGAAGCTAATGGCATTAAAGTTGTGTTTTGATATTTAATGGGCCAGATGTCCAATGGAAAAATCTCCTTTTCAGTCTCAAGCAGACCTTATTGTCATGCATCATGTGATGGATTTACAGTCTGATGTGCTCCATTACCAGAGCTAATTCATCCTGATTTTATCATTTCTAATCTGGAGTGCAGGGATGACGAGGATTTCAGCCAAATTGATCTGACAGTGGCTGTAACTTTCAGTAAAAAGAGACAAAGCAAAATGACCTGGAGGACCTGTCACTCTATTTATTGATTATATTAAAATTCTAACATAACATCCATTAAAATCTAAATTCTTTGGTTTGTTTGTTTGTTTTTAAGCATTTCCATACATACAAAAGGCATTTAACAAATGTAGCACAGGACATGACTGAAAGGGAGCAGGTGGAAGACAAAACTTATTTTATTTTACCTGCCTCTCACTCAAAACAGAAATAAACAATTACAGAAGATGATCTGTCCACTTCAGGTCATTTTCCTTTAACTTAACAAACAATATTACAACCACTTAAAAGGAAACAAACAAACAAAAGCATCAGAACGTATGCATCTTACAAAACACCACTCATCAGCTTCATCTTTTGTTATTATACTTTCTTTATACTTTTGTTTTAAACTGAAACATGTTTGTGCAGCGCTCTAAATTATTCTGTAGAGAGTTCCACATTTTAACCCCACCTATGGAAATACACATCTGTCTTAACAGTGTCCGAGCAGATTAATGGAGTACAGAATGGTAAAATAGGTTTGTCAAGTCAATGTTTATTTATAAAGCAACAGAAAGACAGCAGCCAAACAAAGTGCTGTACATGGGATAAATAAAATAAGTAAATAAATAGATAGATAACAATAAAAAATAAAATTAAAAACAGAATAAAAGCTACAGTGCCTCTGATTCCAGTGTCAAAAAGTAGGTATTTAGAAAAGCTTTTACACCCCAAAAGGTCTAATTTTCCTACAGTCCCTGAAGTAAACACCTGGCCTCACTGAAAAACCTAACAGTAGGACAACCTTCAGATTTCAATAAAGTGAAAGGCTGGTCAGAAATACTTCTCTCACCTTCATTTCTGTTCAGCCTGTCTGTGACCTCAGAGCAGAGGCGCTTGTAACCATTTTTAATGCTGCACCTCGCAGGGACTGCTGGGAAATGATAAGGTTTATCTCCCTCCGCCTGATCCCATGTGTGCGACAATTCAGGACATGCAGCCTATAATAAATCACACCCACTGGAAAAAAACAAACAAGCTGACTCTTGATATTATGACACCTAGAGACGCGTACATACATACATATTTTAATAACAATAACCATAATAATTATAGCTTATATGTGTAAAAATGAGGCGCATATGTGGCTGTTATAGTCGCCAAAATTATTAGAGGTTATTTGAACCCGAGGCACAAACGTGGCAAACGCCTAACGTGCTGACGTCATCAGTCTGCTCCAAATTAAAGTGTCAAAATGAGGAAGTGAGTGTCGTAAAATGGTGAAGGTGAGGTGTCTGATTTAATCTGGAGGAAAGTTATGTCAAAATGCATTCACCTCCTAAATAGAAAAATACCCGGATATTTATTTGATCATATTTTATTCACAATCTGCTGACAACATTAGAAAATCTTCCCGGGGTTAATTGAATTTGTCCACCTCCTGCCCCGGCGGCACAAAGCCTCGGCGGTGTTTTTTTTTTACAGGGTAGCATTTATTTTGACACAGGTGACGGATGTTAATTATACCTGCTCGGCTCCTGGAAGGTGAGAGTGACTGTAACGTTTAGGTGGCATTTCAGTGGAAACACAAAGCCAAGCACAAACTACAGGAGCGAGTTATTACTGGAAATATGGCTGCTTCCCTCCTGTGCGCCTGTGAAATCCTCCTCCGATAACTTTTCCCCCGTCAGACATTTTAAGGATAAACTAGTGTCCTGTGTTTATGCTCCTGTAACATGGTCGGCTACGGAAGGGATTTCCGTTCAGAGAGAGCAAAAAGTGCGTTTAATCCATCGGAAGTTTGCAATTTTTCTAAGTTTTAAAAAATAGAGGGTTGAGGACCTGTAGGGGAGACTGGGGTAAGTCGATCCATCGCCTGTTGCTTGGAAATGGTCAAAGAAATTAATCATGTGACCAAATATTTAGGAGATAGGGATCAATTCATTGAGTCTGTGAAAGTTAGAAGCACATGGGTGAAGGGGTTAGACATTTATTTAATAAAAAAAAAACATTTTTCACTCTTGAAAATGAACTTAGTCTGTCATAAGTTTTATTAGAATTGTGTTCAGACCAAAAAAGATCATTTTAAATTAGTTTTATACATCAATTGTGGAATGAGCGACAAAATCCACGCATAAAAGTCCACCATTTTAGTTTAGAGGACTAATAAAGTCATCAAAGTAGTTCTGGGGTAAGTTGAGAAGTAAAGAAGTCTGATGAGAGGATCAGAGTTTCAGTTCAGATTGTTGAAATGTTTTACTTTTTCTTTTCAAAAATACAGCTGTGAATGTTCTGAGTCACTTAAAGACATTCTCATGTTAAAATGACTTTTTACAAAACAGCTTTTTAGCAGTTATATGCAGCAATAATAATAAAATATATATTGTAATTGTTGAATAGCAGGTACAAACACATGAATTTGAAGAAGTGACTGTTATTTAGGGAGAGAGAAGGTGAGGAAGGGCTGAGGTGGAGAGTGGGGGGTAAGAGGGATATGTCTCAATTTACTCCATACACGGGGTAAGTTGACCACAGGAGACCACTTTTTTTGGCCTGCTATATTATCATGACAGTTCTGTTTACACTCATTCTGTTGGTTTGCAGGGATTAACAACAACTTGAAATACATGCAGATACACTAATTAGAGACAAAACTATGATTGTCTTGATGTAGTGATCAGAAATATGAAAAATGGCTCATCTTACCCCACTCTCTCCTACTAGTGTCCTGCTGTTTGTGCGTTTTATCCATCTAAAGTTAGCAAATTTTTTAAGTAAAAAAAAAACAGGATTGAGGACCTGTGCGCAAAAATCACCTCCAAGAAGTAGCGAAGTGAGGACACACTGAAGACCGTTCAGAGAGGTTTTAGAGACAAGATAAAATCAAGACATTAAGAAATTATTATGTTTATAAAGCAGTGAAATAGAGTGTTATATCTGTGCTCCAGTTAAACCCTGATTTCCCTCCTAATAGCGGCTGGTGGAGGCAGCAGAAGAAGCGCACCATCAGCATGAGGAAAACCCCGACCTGCAGGTAAGCTTCGACCAGACAGCTCTAAAAAATGATTATAAAAAAGAAGAGAGGCATAAATATCAAAATGTGGTTAATTTTGTCAATAATGAGACTCATTGTCCGCCGGACAGTAGCTCCAAGGTGAGAGAGGGCGGACGGGCCCTAAAAGTCTGTGATTGCCCTGATATCGTCCTTCACACCGCTGTCCTGTTCACGCTGCCTCTGAGACATCATGTTTCTACGTTAACAAATGTTGTTCATATACCGGAGACTGCAGCGCCGTGCTGCCATAACTCTTAGAGTGTTTTTTCAGGGTAATCATAGCTCAACGCAGCTCTGTGATGCAGCTGCTGCGCCTCAGGCTGCAGTAGTCTACAGTATAAGCGGATAACTGTAATACAGTAGAAAAACGGAGGTCAAGATCTATTACCGGTGAGCCGGCTTTGTACAGGTTTTAATGCATGTTTAAATATCATGATTACGGTAACATAACATAATGGAGCTCATTTATCTTGGAGGACATTTAAGTCGACTGTATACAGGCTGTTTTTAGGCCAAATCGAAGACAGAAATGGTGTCAGATATTGGCCTTTTCTTCTACCTGTAATTGTATTTTACGCGCGCTCTGTCTTTGTCCAGGGCATAATTTAGCGGCTTATTGCGGATGTCCTGAGAGTCTGCAGCGGGAATGCAGTCTCTCTCTCTCTCTCTCTCTCTCTCTCTCTCTCTCTCTCTCTCTCTCTCTCTCTCCGTCCAGTGGACAAAGATAAATGAAAGTCTTTTGCGCTGCATTGTTTCACTTTCGCGACTCTAGATTGAAAACGCACTGGAGCAACAAAACAGTGAAATAACGGGCAGCACTTTACACTTAATAGAAGCATTTACATCATATGAATACATTTCAGCTCCCTTGTTTCCTGCTCGTTTCTCTGCTGTTCACACAGCCACTACAAGACAGCTGGACTATGAGACCAAAATATGACTATGGCTATTTTTAACCTAACGAAGTTGAACATACATGGACCTGAGATTTTTGTAGTTAATGTTGTTTAATCTGAAAATGAATCCTGTTTGTCTTAGGCTGCTATTCCCATCAAGCTAAATATTGTTATTTTATTGTTGTTGGCTTATTTATTTGCTGCTATTGTTGAGAAAAAGGTTATTATTGTAGGTATTTCTCTGAAAGTGAGTGCAATATGGACACTAAACCAATATCTGAAGGAAATTGTTTCAACATCTGTTATCTTGTATTGTTGCATAGTTTTTTTTATTTATGCATTCATGTATGTATCTGACATAGGACAACAAATTCCACCATTAATAGATGATTTTGATTTCTCTGGAGCAGGAATCCTGAAATGAAACAGTATAAAAAGTTTCTTACAGTCACAATTTTATAAAACATTTGAACTATATTTTCTTTAAACGTGACATGATTCAAAAAAATGTATTTGCTTTCCCTTTATATCTTTAATTTTGCATTTTGAAGTGAGTTTCATCCGTTATCTGAAAACTAAATGTGACATTAAAAATCTTGACACTCTCAGCTCTGTAGTTCCAGCAGTTTTCACACAGTTTGGCCCATCACACAGACATTTCATCTTTAAAGCCATAAAATAACGTAAAGGAAAATTCAATATCCACCTGTGATAATGATGTGATGTCATCATATTAGTCTTTGCGGCATCATTTAGCGGCGCTCGCCTCCCCTGACACCGCACATTTTTCATGCACCATTTCACTGACCACAATGAGATAAGCCTGCTGCCGCTCTTATCTGAGCTGCAGTGATTCACGGACACTCGGCTGGTTTTGCATTGACCCCCGGTGTGTCTGCAGTTCAAGGGTGTACAGATCAGGTCTCAAGGAGCCATAGAAGTTGTATAAGAGCTCTTGCTTTTAACATTTTAAGTTAATGACGGCCTCCTGTACCAAACCCAAAAATCTGAATTATTTGATATCTCTCTGGAACCTCAATCTCAAGAGCTTCAATGAAGTTTTCTATTAAAACTTTGTCATCTCAAAGTTGAAGGCCTCTGTTTCAGCTTGTTGTAATTCTATTCAACAGATTTGTTCACAGATATTGTGCTGACTACTCTCTCTCTTGCCATACAGAAGTAAAAAAAGCTCTTAAAAAAAGTGTCCAAATTGTAAAAACTCGTTTTCAAAAAAGGTATTTATCACATCAAATCCAAATTAAAGTATATCACCGTTTTTTCACCAACGCCACGGTCAAAGAAAATGTTCTCTTCCCCACTCTGCGACACCTGTCACTGGTTTCCTCCCCACATACAACTGTGAGCTCCCCTGGTGTCACCTCCCCTTACAACAGAAGTTACCATAATAAACAATTAAACAACTCAAACAAGCAAACTTCAAAACAAATACTTAATCCAGCTCCTACAGATATAATAAAATGTAGGAAACATCATTTCTATCTTTATAATGAGAAACTAAAACCTTTAAGAGGTTAGAGGAGTTTTCTGAGATGTTATTAATCCTGCGTTTTAATTGTCTAAATGGTTTCCTAACATCATAAATATTTGAAAAACTACAAAACAAGAGTTTATTCTTTATGTGTTAATATTGACTGAATCAGATTTACAGTTACATTTTAAATAAGTTCGTCTGGGATTCATGACATCTGGAGAGTAGACAGTGCAGAATAAATGAATTCAGACTTGACGAGGCTGTTAGTTATGACTCCCATTATAGTAGTTCACCAGTTTAACCATCAGCGTTGAGTGTAAAGCTGACCCGGGCCTCTGCAGACACTGTACTGTGGTTGTACATTAAGACCCAGCAGATCTCTGCAGCAGGCCCTCAGCTAACTGCAGTGGTGTAAGAGTCAGCGGGGCGTCTCAGAGCTGCAGTGTCCCCTGGCCTGCTCTACAGTAATAACCCTGCTGCTTAACGTGCCTCTCTACAGCACAATCACTTTTTGCTGAGGGTGCATGTTTCTTTTCTCCCCCTCCCTGCCTCCCCCTCCTTCCTCCCCCCCGGCCTTCTCGCCGCAGCTCGTCAGAGAGCCGCTCAGGCGTGGTATGAGCTGTCAGCGGCTGCTTGATGGTGATGCCCGCACGGCCTCCCCCGAGTGTGATGCCATAGAGTCCATCACCAATCTCTTCCTCCCTCCTCGCCTCTCTCTCTCTCTCTCTCTCTCTCTCCCTCCCTTCCTCCCTCTCGGTGCAGACAATCAGGAGCAGAGGCCACAGAGAGGCCGCTCACACGGGATGAGATGGTCTTTCTTCTGCAGCAGCAGGCAGTGAAGGACAGGACACACTAACTGTTGGCTTTCACTTCAGGGGGGGCTGAGCTTTTCTCTGGCAGACGTGAAGTCCTCGAGGCACATCCTGGTCTTTTTTGGTCCTCAGTGACTAAAGTTTAAAAAAATAAACAGGAATACTCTGAAAAATGTTGGTTCACTCTCCGTTAACTGTTTGGGTGAAGCCCAAGTGTCAGAGCAGATGAATTACACCCGCCTCAGTGTGTCAAAATGTTCCCTGTTGAACCTCAATTTATCCTTTGTATAATTTAGATTTTGAGAGAAATGGATTTATTTCTGACAAAAAGCTTTTTAACGTCAAAATCGTTTTAAAAATGTGATGCATGATGTCTTTATTGTGATTAGACGATATTTTCCCATTAACTTTTTACAGGCTTGATTTTGCACTCTGTCATATCACCTAATGAAGTTTATATTCTTTGGGCTTTTAGTGTGTTGAAGCTGCTGTGAGGAGTTAATTTTTACATTTTCAAGAAAGACTTCAATTCATATTGGTGTCTTTCCATGATATTTAAAAGCAAACAGGACCATCAGCAACAAGATTGATGTTTTTTGACTGTAGTTTTATAGTTTTATACAATAAATGCTTGAAGTTTGTTCAACTAGGTAGTAGGGATGGGCGATAAATTATTGTTCACGATGAATCGTCAGAAAAATCCACCATGATAAATATTTGCCATCTCATGATAAATACGATAAATGTAAGTCGATGACGTAAGCGTGAGCGGCGGACTCACAGCCATCCCCACACAGAGCAGAATAACAAACAAACATGGTTGAAGGTGATAGAGAGGATGTTTCTGAGCAGCTCGTTACTGAAGGAGGATCCACATGAGGGATTTCCTTCAAGATCAGGATTTAGATGAGAGCAGTCAGGTATACCTGACATGGATCTGCTGCTGTTCACTCTGTACAATAAGAGTTTTCAACAAATACTGAAAATGTTTTCACATTTAAGACTTTTATGTTTGATGTCATTAGTTTTCTCCATATCCTACCACTTTAACTTGTGGTTTAGTATCTTATTTGACTACTCCAACTGGTGTTCCCAAGACAGTCAAACACATAGACTGGAATTCTCAGGACTTTTATCGCCAGAATGGAAAATCTTATGGTGTTAAATTTTTTAACCCATATCGTCCATCCCGACTGGGTAGGTGTTAAAAAGAGCTGCTGGGGAAACTGTTCCATGGGACGATATTTTATCGTAAGAATTACTACTACGGCTTGCACAGGACAAGATAAGCCAAATCTGCTTTGTCCACAGGGGGCGCTCAAGTTGACACAAACCAAAAGTTCCTCTTGGGAGCTTTAACACAGCACAGGTTAAGATAGTGCAGGGGTGAGTCAAATTACTCGTAGAAGAGGCTCTTATGTCTTCAGATCTTCTGTCGTGAAGTTTTTCCTCCACATAACAAAACAGACTGTTGGCTGTAAGAATGAGATCATCTCAACAGTTATTTTTAACAGCTGCCAACAGTAAATCAATTAGAAACATTCAGACTGAAAGAACTTTAATTGACATAGTCCTCATCAAACGTTCACAGTAAATTAACTGAGCTGTAATTAATTTTATTCACAGCTGCTTTAAAGGTCCTGTGAGGAATTTTCAGTCTGTTTTGATCTTGGCGGACTCGATGGATAAAGTCATTTCTTTTAATCTGTTTTCTGATTTTGTTCCTAACATGGGCAAAAAGTGAGATGACTTTTTATCCAAGGTGATGTCAACCATATGGCATGACAGATACCCACTCACAGATTCACTTTTATGGGTCACGAGAAGATCCTTTTAAGACTTTACAGACTTCTTCAAACCGGATGTAAAATTTACACAGATTTACAACTTAAATTATGTCAGGGATTATTAATCCTAAATCACAAAAAAGGAGAGTTCATGGATTTAAAAAACACTTTCAGTACACACGAGTAGGTCACTTTCACAGGTGTGTTATTTTAAAAAGTTTTTCAGTTTTTTATGCTGGAAAAATATCTCCAAAGATGTCAGCGTGTTCACGTCTCTGCAGGTTTTACACTCACTGCGTTCCCCCTTTTTCCTCAGTATGAGTACTTCAACGCTGTGCTGATCAATGAAGTGGACGAAGAGGGAAACAACGTGGAGCTGGGGGGAGAGTTCCTCCTGGAGCCCAATGATCATTTCAATAACCTGTCTGTCAACCTGAGCCTCAGTGTGGTGCAGGTGCCCACCAACATGTACAACAAAGGTGAGAGCTCCTCCCGCAGAAATATGTGACTGTTATTTAATTACTGTGGGCTGATGTGCTGGGAGGAGAGGAGGAGAGGAGGAGAGGAGGAGGAGGAAATGAAGTAGTGAAAGTGAGAAATGGCAGCAGAAGTCGCATCAGTGTCACGGGCTGGGGGAAGAAGAGGTGTTCTGGGATCGATAAAGAGTCCAGACAGAAAGAGAAAGCAGCTGCAGATCTCTCAGAGAGACGGGGAAGAGTGCGGAGGAGAGGAGCAGGGTGGAGGATGTTTGTCATACGCTCGCTGTTCAAAAGCGTCTTGTCTTTTAACGGAGTGTGTCACCTCCCTGTGTGTCACCAAGAGCGCTTTTGTTTGGCTGTAATAGACTCCCCATAACTCTGTGCTCAGGGCACAATGGGACGCTCATCCAGCAAGAGGTGGAGGGGAGGGGGGGTTCAGTCACAAGCTTTGTATCGCCCTCAAGGGGGTCAATCAAGGGTTAGAGGTCAACCATGCACCGGGATGATTACCATTATCCCCTTTTAATTTACTTGTCTCTCGTACTCTCCTGTGTCCTGCTTTTTTCTCCTCCTCTTCTTCAGATCCCGACATCGTGAACGGCGTGTACTGGTCCGAGGCTTTAAATAAAGTCTTTGTTGATAACTTTGAAAGAGACCCAACCCTCATCTGGCAGTACTTTGGGAGTGCTAAAGGTTTCTTCAGGCAGTACCCTGGTGAGTGCTGCTGGTCTGTGTCTGTGGTCCCATTATGTGTGTGTGTGTGTGTGTGTGTGTGTGTGTGTGTGTGTGAGTGTGTTCATGTGTGTGTGTGTGGGAAAAGAAAAGCTAATCCCAAGGGAGCCATCAGCTGCCAGTGAAAGAGAGAAAAAAAACAGATCAGAACAAATGATTTAGAATTACTAAAGGGGTGATTTGGCTAATGTTGTAATTTTACAGACCATCAGAGAGAATGCATATATACAGGCGGTGATTAATCAGAATTTGTGGGAGTGGGTCTGCGCGGCTGCAGGATGAATCAGAGCTGTACAGTGATGGGAAACAGGCGGTGGGCTCACTGCAGTGCGGGAACAAAGCTGCAGAGAGAAGATACAGCAGATGATAGTGAACAACAGAAATGGACTCTTGGTAAAAAAATGTATAAGAGGCCATTTATAAAAAAAAAAACAATGATTCCCTCACAGTGTTTGAGAACATAAACTAATTAATTCTCCACTGAAAAACAATATTTGGAAATCACTGATTTTTCTAATTAAATTTTTGTTTTTTTGTTGTACGTTTTTTTTTTAAAAAGTGGATAAATAAAAATGTAGCAACAACAAAAAAAAAACTGCTGGGTTGAAGGTCCGCTTGCATCTGCGACTCGTTCATTCATCAGTCCGGTTTGAGTGTTAAAGGTGATTTATCGTTCAAAAGGGAAAAGAAAACAGACTGATCCAGGTCCAAAAACTTTAGTCTTCAAATGAAAAAGTGAAACGATGAAAATGAAGGTAGAAAAGGAAACAGTCAACAGAAAATGATCAGTATGTACTTAAACCCGTTGTCTTACTACACCTGTCAGATTTAAATAACTCGCCTAACATCCCAAACCACACCCTCAGTGTCGATCCCTGGAAGTGACGTACTGAGTAGAAATCATATCCTCAACGAATATATTTTGGCTCCTACAAAAAATCTTAATAAAATTAGATAGAGGGTTAATTTGTTGTTCAAACTTTGGTTCAAACAGATGACTCAAAAATGCAGTTTCTTTTGTTTTATACAGTGGAACTAAAAATCTCTGTCCAGGTGGAGGAACCCTGAAATTTAACAGCTAAATTACTCATTTTTGATACTTTCTGAATTTTAAATGCCAAAAATATTCTTCATATGGAGACATGAGGCGTTTTTGTAACCTCCCTTACATTACAAAACAACCACAGTAAGCTCCTTATGTGTACAGTAAAGAGTTTGAGATGTACTGACTGTAAAAATCAGAGCTGATGTCTGAAATAACTTTCTGACTCTGGCGTTCTGTCTATTATTTCTTTGTCGTACATCATGTCTGGTTTTAAAATAAGCTTTGAGATTTGAAGTATCTGAGTTGTTGTTAGTTGTCCCTTCTGGTCCCTTCTTTTCAAAATGTCAGCGAAACAAATCTTACAAACTGCATGTTGCTGATCCGCCTCAGAGATGTCGTATTATTCCCTTCCTCTTCTTTCATGTTTGACCGTGAACACAAATCAGAGTTTGTCTAACAGGTGATTTTCTTCTGCTCAATAACAAACCTCCCCTCTGAGTCAGCAGTCCGCCGTCATTAAACTGGCGTCAAACGATGGTTAAACTCTAGCTACTGGCAGCGGTGCATGGTACAAAACTGGGCATGAAATATTCGCCTTAGGGAAAGTATTGGCAGGAACCAACGTCCAACCCATCCATCATTATTCATCGCTGACCATTGTTGTTTTTTCTTCTTTGTGTATATTTCCTCTGTCAGTGTGCTTCTCTGTTTTGACTGTAAACTGTTGTGTTTTCCTTCATTGATCGACCACCAACTTCAAGGAGTGAAATGGCATCCAGATGAACATGGCGTCATTGGGTTCGACTGTAGAAACAGGAAGTGGTAAGCTCACAAGCTCATGTCGCTGCCTTCCCTTCAAATGTTTATTTTCTGTATTAAAGCGTTTGATTTCTCGCCGTATCTCAGGTACATCCAGGCAGCTACGTCTCCCAAAGATGTGGTAATCTTAGTGGACGTCAGTGGAAGCATGAAAGGACTGAGGTTGACCATCGCCAGGCAGACTGTCTCCTCGATTCTGGACACTCTGGGAGACGACGACTTCTTCAACATCATTGCAGTGAGCGTCATGTTCATGTTCTGCTGTGTTCATGCATGTATTTTAGTATCTATAGTGAGGTATTTTAGGTAACTGGACCTCCATTATCAAGTGAACTGATGATTTACTTCATATTGTTAATATTTCTCAGTATAACCAGGAGATTCACTATGTGGAGCCTTGTTTGAACGGCACGCTGGTCAGAGCCGACAGAACAAATAAAGACGTAAGTTACGGTCAGACTGATATTTGTAGATCCTACTAGGTTTTAATTTGTACAATCAAAATTTAAAACCTCTCTTTTTCTGCCACTTTATTTTATTTTCATCCTCTGCCAGCATTTCCGGGAACATCTGGACAAGCTGTTTGCTAAAGGGATTGGGCTGCTGGGTGACGCTCTTGCAGAGGCGTTCACAATCCTCAGCGATGTAAGTTCAGGAACTTCTGACCCTTTTGCATGACCGTCTGCTGGGATGTGATGCAAACACAAACTCAGTTGGTTCTCCGCTGAAATTACGGATCATAATTCACATCCTCTGATTTTTTTTTCTTCTGTCAGCTCAATATGTGACAAACCTTTTCAGTATTCATGAGTTTCCACAAAAGGACTCGTATATTTATTGATTTATTTGACGTAAAAATAATGAATCTGTGCATGCGTTTGTTTTATTGAATTGATGGACTCCACTTGACCAGAACATTAGGAAAACTTTTATTTTACAAGCCACATTCATTCCCAGTGACAGGAAGTGTTCGCGTACGACACTCTGCACGTCCTCGGCTAATCATAATAAAAGTAACACACTGCAGTCGGATGTATGTGAGCATTTGGGAGGTGTGTCGAAACGCTCCAGTGCTATCCCTGTTCCGCCCTCCAAACACAGACACATCTATTCTGAAGCATGATGAATGGCTCTAATTAATGTCAATGATTAATAACGGGGGCTGATTGGAACACAGAGCAGATAAGAGCAGGAGCCGAGCAGCACTGCTTTTATCTCTCGCTTTTCAGGCGAGCCGCGGCTGCGCTGCAGAAGCTGAGGGAGCGCCGCACTTACCTCTGCATTTGTCAGATTAATTAAAGCCCTGCAATGAATATGGTAATCAGGTAGCCGGTCGCTGAAATGTGTTGTTACACCACTGCCCAGTGAGTGAAGTGAGAATATAGACTATCAAAGAGCGATCAGAGATAATCACTTAGGAGCACTGCAGCATTTTGACTCTCTGCTGCTGAACAAAGAGGGAAAAACGTCTCCTCCTGGTGCAGACGGATGATGTGAACACTGAAGGTACCATGAAAATGTCCCACCACAAAACACTCATATATATAAAATCCTTTCTGGACGACTCCAAAACAAGATGATTGATTTATCTCCCAAACAAACAGGATCTGGCGTTGATCAGATTACAATTACACAGCGATCAATTTTATTGATTTTTGTCTTTTGTCATTAACATTTGTATCAAGCTGTTTTAAGCACAGTGTGATAATACATACTTACAGAAAAACACAGCAGGACTGAAAGGTCCGTGACTTTCATAGTTAGATAATGATGTAAAATGAAGCTGTTATAAAAAGATATTTATGTGAAGTTCGGATAAACATCAATTTTTCTGATCTTAGTTACGTTGGTACGGACAGACAGGAAGGGTATGTACTATGGAGACGTTAAAACATCGCACAAAAAAAGTAAAAATAACAGCTAACTTTGTCTGTAGATTAAGGCAAATAAATGCAAAAGTGTAAATAACGATAAATGCTTTCAGCTGCTTTCATTTCAGGGTCATGTCTTGTGTCACACTTAAAAACTGTGGCATGGTCTGAGCTTTTCTTTCATGACTGGTCTCAATATTTTCTCCTTCAGAAGTTTAATGAACATTTTATCACAATCATATCTTGGAGTTTATCATCTTGACACTTTTAACTCCTGGTAATTCTGCGTGCAGCTGGACTAAAAATGACTTTAACTATTTTTTAAAGTCTAAATCTCGAGGGATGCTGACTATTATGCACATTTCCTTTTTGCTGTCATTTATCACCCTCAAAATTACTGCAGATCACCGGTAAAGACACATTTTTAGGCGGCAGCTGATTCGATATCAAGAGCAGATAATGTTATTTGCTATTTTTGATTGTGACATACATCTAAAAGACATTAATTACAGTATAAGTTCTCATTAAAAACAATTGCAGTCTTTGGCAGAATAAGTTCAAGTGTATATGTGAGGGAGAAAGTCCTGCAGACCTGCTGATGTTCAGTCTGTGTGAATAGAGAGCAGCTCAGCAGGTTTTCTCCTCTGACCGTGTCTCTTTTTCTCCACATTCATTCTGTCACTGGTCAATAAAACACTTAATTCCTGCCATGCATCTTCTGGCCCAGAATAAAACAGCTCACTCTTCTGAGCATTTACCAAGACATTTTTTTTTGTACTTTATTGACTGATGAGAACACAGCAGCAGTATCAGACATCATCATCATCATCATGCAGTGTGGGGATACAGAGAGTTGTTTGTTTCTTTTAGGTTGTTGTTTAGAAAAGGTTTGTTTATTTTCTTGTAATTAACACCCTGATTAGTTTTTTTCTCTTTCTGCAGTTTAATCAAACTGGACATGGCAGCGTGTGCAGCCAGGCTATCATGCTGGTGACTGACGGAGCGACTCAAATGTACGATGATGTTTTTGAGAAGTACAACTGGCCGGAAAGAAAGGTGAGTTCCCCCCTCTCTGCTCTCTCTCTCTTTGTTTTCTCATGTCTTGTATGATTTTTCAAGGTTTTCTGCTCACTCAGCACTTTATTCCAGCGGTGACAGACGCACCTTTTAATAGAGAGTTTGGCGTTAAAGAAAATAATTATTTTTCTTCATGACATTCTCATAACTCTGCAATACAATCAGTGTTTGTGTGATGCAGTGTTGACACGTAACAGAGGAATATTCTCCCCTGAGAGGAATAAACATGGAAAATTAACCGCGTTCAAGGGCAAGAATGAAGTATGTACATGCAGCTCAGTCTCAAAGTGCCTCATCTTTGACCCCCACGCCTGCTCTTCTCTCTACACACCTCTTCCCTGGCTGTTTAAATTCTTTTGTGAGCCCCCCCCCCCCCCCTTTTGTAAAACCCGAATGAAAGAGAAATTAAATGGACTGCTGTGCCACTCACAGAGCCATAAAAACAACAGCTCAGGGGCTTTTGTTCAGTCCTATCAAGCATATGTGTGTTGGCGGTGTTTGGCAGGGTACAGGCCAGTATTTGGAGAGCCACCCCCAACCCCGCTCCCCTCAACCCCCTCCTCGTACACCCTCAAGGCTGCTATATGGCAGCCATTCAGTGTTTTTCCTATATGCTTTATGCTTAGCAAAGCATCTGGAGCCAATGAGCCGTGCACGTTTGGCAAAGTGTCACACAGCGTTCTTTAAAAGGACAGAGGAATATGCCCTCGTGCACAACCCCCAACAAAGAAAATTAATTTAACTGCTGAACGCAAACTGGAATCAAATCTGAAACTTCCAGTCAAAGAAAAAAGAAACTGACAAAGATGGAAAGACAAAAAGGTGGAGACTGAAAAGAAAGAGCAGGAAGAAGAAGAAGCAGCAGCTCCATGTTTCCTCATGAGGATGTAAAAACATGCAGCGACTTCTTGCAGATAGAATCAGGACAGGAAGATAAAGTACGGAGGAGTCGCATCACTTTGCATGTTTTTAATCCCTCCATCTTTAAGGCGACATCTTTGTGTCCTCTGCACAGGTGCGGATATTCCCTTACCTGATTGGACGAGAGTCTGCATTCGCTGATAACCTCAAATGGATGGCTTGTGCCAACAAAGGTTTGTGACTTTTTGATAAACACTCCCGAAGACGACTCTGTGTCAGCGTCTGATATGAAGTGACGCTGTTTCTGCGCAGTAATGTGATAGGTGGAGGATGTGTGTGTGTGTGTGTGTGTGTGTGTGTGCGCTGTATGTGTTTCCATGTGTGTACGCTGGCTCAGATTCCCTCTGCCAGAAGGCAATGAAGTGGCACTTGAGGGGGGTCAGAGGTCAATCTGCTCTAATCCTTCTTCCTGTCAGAGTGTCTTCCCCTCGGCTGCTCATTGCTGATGGCTCCCACGTGTCAGCGCTCCGCATCAGTGCCCTCTGGAAGGGAAAGTCACAGACAGGAAAACAGATCACAGGGGGGACTGTGTGGGGACGAGCCCCAAACATCCTCCCCCATCGTCCCCCACTGTGTGGTAACCTTACATGTCCAATATGAAGAAATGTCGGACACAGCTGGAGCTGACAGTCACTCAAATGGCTCCTCTGTCACTTTCTAATGGAAAGTACAATAGTGAAAATACCGTACTTTTACTTATCTGGAGTTTTTCTCTGTTAGGTTATTTCGGACGTCAACATTCCTGGATAGAGATTCACTTCTAGTCTCTTTTAAATCACATTCATGGTTTATTGTGTAGATTAACATTAACAGTTATCCCACGTGCCCCATGTTCAGAGGCTTTAGTCCTTGAAGTTGGATTACTAACCCATGACCCATTACATTTGTCCTGTCTCTGAATAAACCAGCCCAAAATTAAGATTAAAAAGTGTGATGTTGCACCTTTTGGGAAACATTTAAAAACAATGAAAAGATTACGCTGTAAAAATTAAGCTGTAATATATTTGCACACATTGAATATTATAGTTTTGAGTGAGATTGAATGACCTGAAATTAAAATTTAATTTTAAAATAAACTCTTATTTTCTGACAGGGAAGTTGATCAAGTCCATGAAGTGACCATATTTAACCAGCATGTTTCTACAGTAGCCCAGAGGAGACAAAACACTGGCCTCTAGAGAAAACAAATCATTAAAATGTTTGGCGCAGCTCTTTTCTTATACCTATTTCAAATACAGACACATAGTTTCCCTATTATTGAGCCACAGTCACCCCCATGTTTTCAGTCACACAGACAGGGTTCGGTTTGGCTTTTGTGGGTGATGATGGATGAGCTGAATTTAAACATCTTCACTATGAAGTCTGAGCTCCATGTTCTGTATGAATCTGAAAGTAAATGTTACACTGCTAATTTTATCACTCCAAACATCCACCAGATGTTTGACAGGAAGAAAACAAACCTGAACCTATCACTGCTCAGTTGTCTGGTGTCTCTCTCATGTACACACACACACACACACACAAACACACACATTTATATACACAACAGAGCCAACATTAACACCTCATGAGACAAGTTGTATTTAGTTAGTATCTGACAACCCACATTATGAATATGGTGAGTCACTTTAGTTTGTCATCATAGTCTGTATATAGAATGGACGCCGTCTGCCTCCTTGCTGGGTGGCGCCACCCCGAGAACAGCACCCTCTGGTGACGGGCTGCAGTATAGGTCATAAATCCTGCATCCTCCAGCCATCCTTATGGAGCTGTGGACAAACTTCAGAAATATTTTACACAGAACATGATTTATTTCCCCCCTGCCTGTGGTGGAGTGCGTATAATGCTACTGCGTGAAATCTGTATTCTGGCGGAAGGCGGAACCAAGTTGTCCTCAGATTTACAGTCTATGGTTGTGATACAAGTTTGGAAATCCCAACTTGACTAAGAGTTGCACCCTGGTCCTTTCAAAGGGACAGTTCCTTTTTTAAGTGTAGTTGTATAAAGTACTTGTCTATTGTAAGTGTGTAATCCACAGGGGGTCTGGGTCAGCTTTGTGGAGAAACCAGCTGAATAAAAAATCATAGTATTTAAGGGTAGTAGTGAAAAGGCAGATTGACATCCATCAGAGACTTGAACAGCTGATCAGTGCACTGTTTTTAAAGTGTTATTTTCAGACTTTAGTGCTTTTATTCGGAGAGGACAGGACAGTGGAAAGAGCAGGTAGGAAAGAGGCCTCAGGCTGGAAGCAAACCCGAGCTGCTCTTGTGGGGTAAAACCTCTATTTGGGACGTACACTTGAACCGGAAAACCAAATGGAGGCATTTCTCAATAGGGCATTAGACATTAGTATTAAACTAGTTAAGTTATGTAGCATAGCTGTCCTTATCTGCAGTGATTCAGAGCCTAGCTTCTGTTTCAGTTCTCCAGCTGCTTACTCAGTAAAAGCGCAGAGCTAACCGGCATCTCCTGAGGGTAACACCATCACTGTTCACAAGGACCTCATACGACCTCACTAAAAAGACAAAAAACAGTGGACTGTCCCTTTAAAGCAACTGAAAAACGTTTCATTCGGAATAATGAAGTTGTTGAAGTCGCTGTTACAAACCATTGGCTCTATTAAAATGCATCCATTAAAAACCTGCCATAAGAGGAAGTGCTGACTCGTCATTAGCCGCCACCATCTCGCCGTGTCGATGAATTAGTCACCAAAGCAGAAATTTTTTCCACCCCCTCTCTTTTGAAAAACGTGCACGCTGGGCTTCATTGTTGTGTGTGTGTTAAATTTCAGGATATTTCAGTCAGATCTCCACGTTAGCAGACGTCCAAGAGAACGTGATGAGGTATCTTCATGTCATGAGCCGCCCAAAGGTTATCGATCACGAACATGACACAGTGTGGACTGAAGCTTATGTGGACAGTGCAGTAAGTATATCCTCTCATCATTGTCTGAATTAGGGGTGGGAATCATGAGTGGCCCTATGGTACGATATTATCACGATACTTGGGCCACGATATTATTGCGAATTTTAACATCATACAATACAGTGAATATTGCGGTCCAATATATTGCGAATTGTTAAATTTTTCAACTGTTTTTGCATTTGTCTTTCCTTTATGTTTGTCTTATTTACACTGTATTTTATTTTCATGTTGACCTGCACATCTTGCAAACCTTATATATATTTGTTGCAGTAACTTTCTCCTGCTCTATGACGTCACCTCTGCCAACCTCACTGGACAAACAATGATTTTATTTTTCCATTATCATAGATTTGACTTCATATTAGAAATTAATTTGAAAAATCGATACTTGATCAGTGAGAAGATACGATGTATCACCAGACAAAATATCACGATACTTTGCTGTATCGATTTTTTTCTTTCACCTCGATTCTGAATTAATATTCCTTATACTCGGTTCACATTTACACACGACTGTTTGTCTGTAGACAGAGACACTTCCCCTGAAAAGTCTTTGATTGATTTGCTCGTATTACATAATATTGTAAGACGCTCATGTATTTCTGTCCATCACTGTTGCGTACAGTAAATCTGTGTACATCGGTGTGTTCTGTCTCAGCATCCTCATTCTTCATGCTTCTGCAAATATCCCTTATTATGAGCTTCATTAATCCGCATGGATCCTCCTCCTGATGCACATCTGTGTCCACAAAGTCAATGCTCAGAGCCGCCAATACACGAAGGCTCCAATTCATTCACTTTATTTATGTTTCTCTTACTGTGTTACAGCTTTCTATGGCTCATAAGGTAAATATCTGTACCTGGATTCATCTTTTTCCTGCTTTCAGGTTGAAACTAATGTTTATAAAATGAAATGTATTTGCTGTGTTTCTATTAGAGAACCTAAAACTTGATTCAGAGAGGAGATCGTGGACAAGTGATGCAAGAGGTCCACAAGGACTCTGCGTATTTGAGCTAAATTGTGTGAATTTGAAGTGACTTGAGAGGTTAAACGGCAGCTTATTGTCTCCACTCACATTATGCTTTACTGGTTCCTTGGAAGTCTAAAGTGAGGAGAAGCTATTCTCTCTGAGGAGCAGCAGCAGTAGAGGAGCATTTATTATACTTCTCCTCAGTATGGAGACAATGAACGCACACACACACACACACACACACTCGTACGCACACAGAAGGGTTGTGAGATTGTCCTCTGGAGTGTGTGCTTGTATCTGAGCCTCAGACACACCATTCATCATTCTGTGGATCATTGCATTTTATCTCCTAAAGCCCGTAATAAAACTGACATTGGAGTGGAGACCAAGGCAGAGGAGGAGAGAACGAAGGGAAGGAGGGAGAGATGGAGGGAGAGGTGGTTAGGCGTCCATGGGTATCTCTGTGTGTGCATGGGGAGGGGTTTGCGTAGACTCGAGCAGACCAGTTTCCTCCTCCATTGTGTGCAGTGATGAATTTAAGGACCCAACATTCCTCATGTTGTCAAGTCAGCCGCTACACACTGCAGCTCACCCCTCTCATGCACATACACAAATGGACATTACAGACACACACAACACACACACACAGGCACTCAGCTGTGTTGACTGACGAGGTGAGGGAATAGCAGACCTACTTTAGGAGCGCTCATGTGCTTAATTATGTCAGCGCTCATCCCGTAGTCCTGACCTCATCTCCTCCTCTGAGCCCGGCGTGAGAACCACGCGGTTGAGTTTTATGACACAGGGCGCTGCTTGATTCTGCGGACGTTTCTGCTTCTTTTAAGTGCCAGTTATCAATAAGTATAAAAAGAAAGACTTAAATAGTATCTCTTAAACCCTAGGATTGAAGAGTGGTTCAAAGAGATCAAATAAAATGTGTTTTCAGGACAAGTTTGAAGGCTTTTATGTGTTCAGTATCCAACTTTGGGTTAGCAGTTTAGTCCTCAAGCTCTTGTTCCTCTGAATAACAAGAGCGCCCTAGATATCTGTCTGAAAATGGACATTAAATATGTCAATCAGTTTTAGTCACTGTTGGTTAAAAAGAAAATCTGCTGATTCCTTCCTTTGCTATTACTCCAAGAGACACTGGATAGAATCAGAAAATGGAGGGAAGGAGTGGGGATCATAGACTGTATACAGAATATAGTACAGAATATAGTATAGTATAGTATAGTATAGTATAGAAAAGTATTGTATTGTATTGCATTGTATTGTACATACAGTCTATGGTGGGGAAAGGTGGTGGGTCAGAATCAAACTTGGTCTCTTGCTCCCAGGACTCTCATCTGTGTGTAATTTTAACTTCTAAGTCAAACTGTGACACTTTATATTTGTGTTTAGATCTCACAGGTTTAGTTCAAAAAAGTTTTTCATTTTTTTTCCCACTTTTTTACTTTTGACTGTTAACCTGCTTAAAAAATTGGACCAACCCTCTTTGAGTTTGATGATCTAAAAGTTAAATTGGAATTATATTAAAAGAAATTCTCTGTTTGTTTTTCTTTTGTAGTTGAAAGACAAATCAGGCCCGAGTCTGATGACCACTGTGGCCATGCCTGTTTTCAGCACAAAGAATGAAACGGTGAGTGTGTGACAGCGGTGGAAGGACACACACATGTTTGCTTTTTAAAACCATTTTATTAAACATGACCTTAAATAATCAGAAACAGATTAAATAGTCCTCAAAACTGCTTTTGGTAGGACTTTGAATCCAGGACTGTTACTTTCAGTTTTTACACACCTGAGCACTTCCTCCAGATCTGTTGAGTGACTGAATATTTATGCAGTTTTCATCTAAAGTTGTGTACTTGTGTTTTGAACCCTCTCATGCAGAAGAACCAGGGTATTCTGTTGGGGGTCGTAGGAACAGACATCCCTCTGCAGGAGCTGATGAAGCTCATTCCCAAACATATGGTAGAATCAGCTGTTCTCGCCCTTTTTTCCTTTTTTTGCTGCACATAAATTAAGTTTTAAATATGCACTTTTGAAAAATGTCTCCTTTTTGTTTCTGATTTGTGACTTTAGTTAGGAATCCACGGGTACGCATTCGCGATCACAAACAACGGCTACATCCTGATACACCCGGACCTGCGACCTTTGGTAATTGCATCTGCTGATGTTATTTTTGTGTCACAGCATTCCCAGACTTTACCCTGATTTTCTCCTCTTTTGTTTTTGTTCTTGTAACTGAATGCATAATGAAAAAGACGAAGTGAAAGCCTCTGTTAACAAAGGCACACAGAGACAAATGTGTAATCTGGTTAGGAGGCTGAATGGGCTGGTATAGTCTGTAATCCCCACCTTCTCCTTTGATGTATGCATGCAGGGATAAAGGCCACTCATAGGGCTGGCCGTCCTGAGGTTTCCCTGAGGTAACTTAACACTCGCTGGCAGAGAGCACAGCCGCCTGCACTGGGAACTCTGGTTCCTCAGGAGCTCTGGCTGTGCTAGTGGATCTGTGTGTGCCGGTGTTAGTGCCATTCCTCTCTGTGCAACCGTGTATGTGTGTTGGTCTTTGTGGGTATCTTTGTGAGTGTCTTTCTGTGGCTCAAACTGTGCTGTGGTTGTAGTCGGTGATTGTCATTTCTTGTGGACCAGATGACGTACAGTAGACGAGTTTGACATGTATCGTTAAATGCTCTGATGTAGACTTGTTTGAGCGTGGATTTTCTATCAATCATGTAAATTATTTTTAATTTACCTGACAGTGTTAATTTCACGGACGATTTGGTGAATAATTACGCAGCAGAACCTTTTAAAAAAGGCTTGATAAATCAGAGCATACAGCAAGTCTTTGTCTTAACGCTACAGACTGAACAAAGCCAAGCTTTCCTAAATAAATTCACTTCCATCTCAAAACGATGTTGATGTAGCAGCTCAAAGTAGACTGGCAGGCATAAACAACGTTTTTGTTGAATGATTTTTCAAAATAAAACATCACTGCACATAAAGTGTGATCATTAAACTGTGTATACTGTATTCCTCTGTGCAGTATCAGGATGGTCAGAAGAAGAGGAGGAAACCCAACTACAGCAGTGTGGATCTTTCAGAGGTGGAGTGGGAAGACAAAGATGATATTGTAAGTGTTAAACAGTCAAAACAAAAAATCATGCTGACTCAACAAAGTGTCTAAATAAATCTGAAAAGTCCTTTTTATGGACGATACAATCTTTGAACCTATCAGCTATTATCTGACGGCAATGTATGCCTCAGTGAAAGACTGATAAACGACTTCCAGCCAAGACATGCTGTGAACAATGTTGTTAACAGCCTAACGAGTAACTTCAAAAAAAAAACAAAAAACAACTAGGGCCCCGTTGGGGCACTGGCGGGCCCGAGCCGTGTCGCGCTGCCCCCCCCAACGCGCTGCCTCCCCGTCCCATTCGCGTCCTCTGGCCATCGTCCTCTCTGGTAACGCCCATCACTGCAAAGACCCTTTCCTTCATCGGCGTTTGCTGTTCTTCCTGCCAGTGTGTGTTGCTTTCACTTACACTTGCCACAGCCAGCCTCGTGAGTGCCTAGCCTATTGGATATCACTGTCATCTACACAGGACAGTCATTACCTTTCTATTAATACTTTGTTTTTTAATTTCACATTAATTTCCATATTGTATAAATGACTGGAAAAAACTTGAGCCCCTGCCCCTGTATAATCATGTGCACGTCCCTGTTCTAGCTCCAAGGTGAATCTTCACTGCTCATGTTCTCCTCAGAAATAGTCACCTCACTCCCCTCAGGTTACTGTACACATGCACCAACTATCTGCTTCAGGTTTGGATGGAGCTTCATGGTTGTCTTTTGGAGAAATGAACAGTCAAGTTGTGTTTGAAATTTGATTTTTTTCAGGGGCAAAAGGAAGCCTCTGCATTCTTGTCAAATATGTAAACAGCATGTTTTTGCAGGTGCTAAAAAACAGACTCTGAGTGTGTGTGTGTGTGTGTGTGTGTGTGTGTGTGTGTGTGTGTGTGTGTTGGCGTGTGTGTATATGTGTGTGTATCCTGCAGTACTCTGTACTCCTGCAGTGGCCAAAAAGACTTTTAAGAATGTGGATTTTTGGGTCATCTTTGGCGCCCCCTAGAACTGCAGTACTCTGTACTCCTGCAGTGGCCAAAATGACTTTTAAGAATGTGGATTTTTGGGTCATCTTTGGCGCCCCCTAGAACGTAAACCGTGGGGTGCAGCGTCATGATTTTTACAACTTTGAATGGGCATGGGGTGTAGATTGCCCTGAGCAAATTTGGTATCAGTGGGACGAAAGCCTTAGGAGGAGATAGCCACATTCCAATGTGTGCGAATCGGCAAAAAATGCGAAATAGCCCTTTAACCGTACATTATACAGATACGCGCTCTTTGACTTTTTCGTAGATCTAATTGAGATACACATGATTGTCAATTTTTGTGTCAATATGACAAAGCGTTCAGGCGTGACACTCAACAATGTGTATTTTCATGTAAGGGGACAAGAAAAAATTGACTTTTTTCTCCTGCCATGGGGGGGCGCTCTTTTGGGGAGTAAAAATTCCTTCACAAATGTGTTGATGGCTGGACATTGCATCATCCTAGAAAACTTGGAGGGCAGTGAGGACAAAAATAAAAAGTTATAAGACTTTTAAGAATGTGGATTTTTGGGTTATCTTTGGCGCCCCCTAGAACCTAAACCGTGGGGTGCAGCGTCATGATTTGTACAACTTTTAATGGCCATGGGGTGTAGACTGGCCTGAGCAAATGTGGTGCCGGTGGAACGAAAGCCTTCGGAGGAGTTAGCGAAATTCCAATGTGTGCGGATCGGCAAAAAATGCGAAATAACCCTTTAACCGTACATTTGACAGATACGCCCGCACTGACTTTTTTGTAGATCTTATTGAGATACATATGTGTGTCAATTTTTGTGTCAATATGACAAAACGTACAGACGTGACAGTCAATAGTGTGAATTTCCACCTTAGGGGGCGCTATGGAGCCATTTTGCATTTTATTGTTTGGGCGACTACAAAATATCGAATTTTTCACCAGGCCCGGTCGTCCTGCCAAATATCATGAGTTTTCGCCAGTGGGAAGTGGGCCATTTTCCAGTTTAAAGCGGAGGAAAAATAATAATAATAATAACAAAAGAAGAATCCATCAGGAACAAGAGGGCTCTCGCAGCTGCTTAGCAGCTACGCTCGGGCCCTAAAAACGTAACTGACTTATCTTGGGATAAATAAATACCACAACTCTTCAGGTCTACTTCAGTGCACACAGCCATATTCATGGGGAAGACTGCTGACTTGACAGTTGTCTTGAGGATGATCGTCGACATCCACCCCAGACAGTCATTTCTGACAGGACAGGCTGTTAGCAGGGGGCTGTATCAAACCATAATGATGGCAAGTTGATCGACAGGGAGAAGTTTGATAAATAAAAAGTGCAGAAGCAACAAGAACAACAATACTGAAGAAGAGCCAGTTTTCTAAAGGATCTTCACAAGGAGTGGACTGAGACTGGAGTTATTGCATCAAGAACCACTAAACACAGACTATAAAGGAACTACAGCTGTCTCATTCCTGATATTAAGCCACTCTTGAACCAGAGAGAACGTCAGAAGAGTCTCACCTGGGCTGAGGAGAAACTGAGCTGGTCTAGAGCTCAGATTAGAGGCTATTTTGCATTTCAATTAAGAATCAAGTTCCCAGAGTCTGGATGAAGCAGAAAGAGGCACAGAGTTAAAAGTGTTTGAAGTCCAGTGAAAAGTTTCCACAGTCTGTCTAAAGTCAACAGAGTAATCCTAACCCTGGAGGCTTCAGTGCACCATATACTTCCATCTGCTTACCAACTCCCCTGACCTGAACCTCATAGAGAATCTGTGATTTATATTCAAGGGGAAGATGAGTAAAAACAAAAATACAGATGAACTGCTATTAGAGCGAACTGGACCTTTGTAACACACTGATGCCTTAATTTAAGTCAGTGGTTCTCAAGTCCAGTTCCAACACACCACTGATTTAAGTAAAGGTGGCCCAACCAAGCCCTGAGTGTAGACATGTTTTTAAGACGCTGGACATTTCCTTATTTTGAATCTTTTTTTTTTATTATTTGATCTTTTAAATTTGAGGTTCAGGATTTCTGGTTATCATGTTCTGTCAGCCATGATCGTTATATTTACAACAACAAACAACAAAGAGTGGAATATTACACTCCACTTGTTATGAATATATATGTAAAAATTTATCCTTAAAAATGAACTTTTTAAAGATAGTCTTGTTTGTTCTGTTATTTACATGAAAGATTGTCTTGACTTCATGTTTCCATCAAACTGCTCGAGTGTGCCTGTTTCACACAGAATTTCAAACTAACCTAAAAATATCTTATCCAGTAACTCAGTAATGATGCAAAAACACAAGTCGATCGCTTTGACTCAACTCCTTCCCTCTCTGTGCCTCTTTGTGTGTTTTCTCTCTCAGCTGCGTAACGCCATGGTGAACAGGAAGACGGGGACTTTCTCTATGGAGGTGAAGAAGACAGTGGATCGAGGGGTGAGGCTGCAGATAAACTTGTTTTCTTATCAGATGAAGTCTCTTCTCTTATTTTGCATCGAGGCTACAGGAGGAAATCAAATCTTTTATCGCTCTTTTTAGAGGCGTGTCCTGAAGATGCACAACGACTATTACTACACAGACATCAAAGGGACTCCATTCAGGTAAAGGGAAACGTAGATGACTCCTCTTCCTGCTGTTGCTGTTAAATGTTGACTGACGGGTCTCTCTCTCTCTCTCTCTCTCTCTCTCTCTCTCTCTCTCTCTCTCTCTCTCTCTCTCTCTCTCTCTCTCTCTCTCTCTCTGTCTCTGTCTCTGTCTCTCTCTCTCTCTCTCTCTCTCTCTCTCTCTCTCTCTCTGTCTCTCTCTCTCTCTCTCTCTCTCTCTCTCTCTCTCTCTCTCTCTCTCTCTCTCTCTCTCTCTCTGTCTCTCTCTCTCTCTCTCTGTCTCTCTCTCTCTCTCTCTCTCTCTCTCTCTCTCTCTCTCTCTCTCTCTCTCTCTCTCTCTCTCTCTCTCTCTCTCTCTCTCTCTCTCTCTCTTCAGTGTCGGCGTTGCTCTCTCCAGAGGTCATGGAAAATACTTCTTCAGAGGAAATGTGTCACTTGAAGCGGGTATGTCAGCTCTGACTCTGTCTTTTACTCCATTAACAAAAGCCTGAACAGAGTGTGACGCTCGTCACTCTGACCTGCTTGTTTGGGAGGTCTTATTGTATCAGTCCTTCCGGGCTGGCACTGCTGAAGCGTTACTGACTTGTGTTTTTCAGGGCTCCGTGATCTGGAACAGCCAGATGTCGCCCTGGCAGATGAATGGTAACACTGGGGTTATGGGAGCGGGCATTCATGCGTTATGTAGGTTATCCCTCTGTGTTGATTTGGGATGTTTGAGGCCTGTGATGTAACAGTGGGGGGGCTCTGTTTGGACCACAGGACCTACTGCAACACAGAGGAGCAGCACGAGCATCGACACCTGACCCAGATTCAGGCCATCAAGCTGTTCATGACGGGCAAGAGACCCCACCTCAAGTGTAAGGCTCTTTTGAGACCAGACCCTTTTTATAATCCTCTGTGGACTCATTTCTTTTATTCGTGATTATTGTTCATACATCAGAAAACTAAAAAGGTCTGTTTTCTAATCTTTTTTTGCATCGATGTGAAGGTGACAGAGAGCTGATTCAGGAGGTGTTGTTTGACGCTGTGGTCACAGCTCCACTGGGGGCGTACTGGACTGGACTGGCTCTCAATAAGTCAGAGTGAGAACTTTTATAATCATTTTATATTTTCATGTTAGGTCTACGACCCACAACTGATTAATTCTGGGTTTCTGTAAAGGTTTTCTAATAACTAACTAATTAGGGGTAACGCTTGTCATCTTGTCATCACCAAAGACTCTCACTGTTTTCTAAAATTAATAACATGTCAGAAAATCATAAATTACCTAAAGCATTTAATTCTGAACTAATCCAATCTACTTTTATATACTGCATTAATAATAAAGGAAAGTTTACTTTTGTGCTTTACGTTAAATTACTGTAGCAAAAGTAAAATCACAAAAATGAAGAAAGTAGGGGCGGGCAGATGGTGAAGCAGGTTAGCGCGCCCCATGTAAGGGGACCACGATCCCTGCAGCACACGGTTGCAGGTTTGAGTCTGACCCCAACCATGTGCTGCATGTCCTCCCCCTTCTCTCTCTCTCTCAATCTCCCCACATTTCACCCTGTCCCGTCAATAAAAGGTAAAAATCACCCAAAAAAATACTTTTAAAAGGATGAGGAAAATTAAAGACATCATTCTACTGCTGGATTAAAAGCCAGAGACTTAAAAATGAGTCAAAATAAATCACGTTTGTTTATAAAAGCTTTTTAAACCTTTTTTTGGTGAATCACCTTTTTCAAATGCTTGGTTCACTTTTCTGTTATTACATCTTAAAGTAATGTGATTAATAATAATAATAATAATAATATTACATTTAATGTATAAGCGCCTTTCTGGACACTCAAGGACGCTTTAAAGAGTAAAAACAGCAAGATAAGAGCAATAGAAAAAAATGAAACGAAATTGAAAGAAAGTATATACTGTATATGTATTTGTATAAATAAAACAAACAAAAAAACGACAAGGTAAATTATAAGGACTGTGATCGTATACTGGACATAAGTTGCTTCTTTAATCTCTATTTTACTTTTTTCATTACAAGTTGCAGATAAATCCTTTTATAAAACAGTGTCAGTGTAGAGGAAATATTCCAAAATCTCACTCTGTGTAAAAATGTATTTCACAGTCCAGCTGCAGCTCAGATGTGTCTTTATCAATCTAAATGACCTAAATCAAGAGTCTTTGTTCCACAGTTAGTCTTTGGTTTGAAATCCTCCCTCTGTGCTCACACAGACACAGTTTTCTCTGGGCGCACTGATGCAGAGAGGACAACACAAAGAGGGCGTTTAGTCCTTAAAAAGAGTTTATTTGTCAAACTGCTGGAGCTTCACATTAGCTTCAGTTTAACTTAAGAGTTTACTGAGTCACAAAATGAGGACTGTGGAGTTCGGCCCCGATCACTTAAAAAAGAATCGTACAAGAGTTTTCAGTTTTTCGGTCTTGGTGCACTGTGGCTTTTGAACATGCAAGAGGACGTGTGGGTACGAACTTAAAACAATTAAAATGTCTTTAAATCTTATTAAATGATCATCTAAATGTTTTAAACTTGACAGAGTTCTAAAGAAAAAACTGTAAACCATGGCATCCATGTTTAAAAGTTTGTGTCGAGTTTAGTTTAGATGTTACTTTTCTGATAATTTGTCAACACATTGTTCGCTTCATTAATAATTATCTCCATACAAATATCAGATATTATGATAAATGCTGTGTGCCAAAAGTTCAGTCTTATCTCAAAGCTGATTGGCTGGAGAAAATGTTTCATCATAAAGATTACTGCAGTAAAAAATGTTTAACGTTTAAGAAGAAAAAGCTTGGAAATCAGAGCAACATGACTTGTATTGAGACGTTTTCCTCAGTAGATCGTCTTTAAGCAGCAACAGATCAGAGTTTCCTAAATAACAACAAACTACAACAAAGTCTCATTGCATTTAAAGTGTTTCTTATTTCCTACGAGAAAAAAAATCACATTTCAAAGATGCTTTGTGTTATTATTCTTGGACAACAGCGATGAGAGTCCACCTCTCAGGGTGTAAAAATGTGTCAATTTTGTTTTCACCGACAGAAACTCAGACAAAGGAGTGGAGATAGCTTTCTTGGGAACACGCACCGGCCTGTCGAGAACCAACTTATTTGTCCCCGCCGATCAGCTCTCCAATAAGTGAGTGACTCCGCTCAACATTTCCCTAATCATTCCTTACAGCGCGAGGCGAGGCCGGGATCATGCTTGATGAATCCGATCCTCCTCTGCTCGTCTCAGCTTCACTCTGTGTGTCTCTGCGTCCTCAGAGATTTCCTGACAGCCGAGGACAAGGAGGGTGTGTTTAATGCTGATCACTTCCCTCTGTGGTACAAGAGAGCGGCGGAGCAGGTCCCCGGCACATTCATCTACTCCATCCCCTTCAGCACAGGTACCCGGGACAAAATCTGAAAGTACAAACAAGATCTCAAGAGTGCAGAACAGAATGAAAGTTATCTGTGGATACTGAAGTAAACGCCTGATACAGATCGATATACTTTGAATTAGTAGGTTCACTCTTATTCAAAGTACTTCAGGATTTCATGTAGGTGCTGTCGTCACTCAGCATCTGAATTATTCCATTTCCACAGCCCTGGCTCTGTTATGGATTGTGGTTTTTACAGGTTTTCACTGATAATACGTTACAGCACAGCTCACCTCCTTTATAGGTGTTATCTTGTAAATGTGGCTAATGTTCTGTCTGCCAGCCACAGGATGGTGAATTCAGCTTGACTCTGCAGAACATTCACCACCTTTCTCTGTTAATGAAGACCGCACCCACTCAGGCTTAACGATCCTAACCCACCAATGCCCCCATCACAGCACCCATATCAGGATTATTAGACTCATCTGGCTGTAGGAAAAAAAAAGGTCTGACTGGACTGCATTACTGTAAAAGAAATGAAGTGGTACTGCGGCGTCTTCTGTGCCTGCCAGCCGAGGCTGCTGAGTGAAGAGCACCATCTAGTGGCAGAAATCTGTACTCTGAACAAATGACCTGAAGTTTTTTCTCTCTTTTCTGTTTCTAGCTTTGGAAAATAAGAGCGTGGTTTTAGCCAGCACTGCAATTCAGCTTCTTGATGACAGGAAGTCTCCGATTGTTGCAGGTAGTAAAGACTTTTATTTATATTGAAGTTCGTTTGTTGATGTGGTGCAGTTATTTTAGGTCAAGTCAAAGTTTATTTCTTAAGAACATATAAAAACAATCTCAGCTGACCAAAGTGCTGTACAGGAGTGTAATTTAATCATGAATACACTTTCTTAAATGGAATAAAAACAAACACAATATAAAAAAAACAAGTATATAAAAATAGAATAAAATAAGATGAAAAACAAAAAAAAGTAGAAGATAAGAAATGAAAGATAAAAGGAAAAAAGCCGAGGTGACTCGTCCAGCTGGGACTGAAAGCCAAAATTATCTCTTTGAATGTTGTTTGAAATAACTTATTAAAGATTAAAGTTCAGGGGTGACCGGGCTTTAATCCGTTGCTGTGCCTAAACTCTTGAATGATCTTCCCCGTCATGTCCGACTGTCCCCCTCACTGCCTGTTTTTAAATCAAATTAGAAAACGCACTTTTACTCTTTGGCTTTTTAACTCTTGAGAACTTTTAATCATGTTTTTACTGAACCATCGATGTCCTCCTGTTTTTAATGTGATCCTGTGTCTTTGTTTTATTGTTCATGTCAATTGTCTGTTTTTATTGTTCTTAATTTTACTGTACAGCACTTTGGTCAGTGTGTTGTTGTTTTTAAATGTGCTTGATAAATAAACCTGGACTGGATTGGATTGGAACTTATATTTAACTTTTCTCTGCTTTGTTGTCCTTGATTTAAGCCTTTTTTTCCTCGAGTTATCTAAATTTTTGTATGAAGTTTGTAAAATAGAAAGTGGTGAAAAACTGAAGTTATCTCATCTGTACCAGTAAGAGATAGAAGTCTTTGGGTAGATAAAAAATCCTTGTAAAAATCGAGGCCTGAGTCCTGGTTTTCTGCTGAAAATGCAAAGTGAAACTAACACGGTGAATCCTAATAAAGTGTGACACATGCTGTGTGTTTGAAACTAACCTGCCTTGCTTCATAAATCTAAACATATTTGGCCTGTTCAGCTGATCCTGAATCCGGTGTGTCATGTGCTTTGTTTTTGTGCTCAGCTGTGGGGATCCAGATGAAACTGGAGTTTTTTCAGAGGAAGTTCTGGACCGCCTGCAGACAGGTAACTAACCACACATTCAGGACTGCAGGATCAGCTTCCTACTCTGGTGTGAAACTAAACTACTAATGTTTGATGTTCAGTGCACAGCTCTGGATGGAAAGTGCAGCATCAGCTGTGATAATGACGTAAGAAGACCCTCTTAAGTCTGTCTTCTAAACTTTGCCTCCATCATTTGTTGTTAATTTGGATATTTATTTTCTTCTCTCTGTCAGGACATTAACTGTTATCTCATTGACAACAACGGCTTCATTCTGGTCACAGAGGAGCATTCTCAGGTAATGTGTGATTCAGTCTGTATTTTATAGCTTCAGAGCAGAAGTGAAGGGATGTTTAAATATGACAGTGGAGATCTTCATACATCATTTGCATCAGGTTTACCTTAACCCCCAAAAATGTCAGTTTATAAAATAGGCAGACAAATATCAAATAACTTCTCCAAGACGACTTCTTACTCCACGACCAACACAGTGAATAATTTAATTATAAATGTTGTTCATTGTACTAAACTTAATAATGAGCTGCAGGCTGTATCTGTCACTACAAAACATTTCAATAATATGTTTCTAAGAGTGAACAAAGTTAGAGGAGAAAACTTCTCTGATGGTTTGCTCCTGTTATTTCGTCCACTCGTCTTGTCTGGTCTGTGACGTACTTTCTCTCTCAGACAGGGCTCTTCTTCGGAGAGGTAGAAGGTGCTGTAATGAGCAAACTCCTCCAAATGGGCTCCTTCAAAAGGTCAATAACATGATAGAATATTTCACAGCACACACTAAACTTGACCTCAAAAGCACATTGTCATGTTGGGTGTTATTCTAAACTCCTTGCCGCTCTGTTTGTGTTGCAGGATCACGCTGTATGATTATCAGGCCCTGTGCAAAGAGTACGCAGGGAGCAGCGACAGCGCACGCACTTTATCGGATGTAAGTGTTTGAGATAAAAATCAGACAGTGGGTTTAAAGTTGCAGACATTCTCGAGTATTTAGAGTGACTCACACAGCGCTGTGGAAACATGAGCGAAGAAAAAAGAAACCCTTAAATTAACTCTGACACTGAGACAGTGTTAACCATGACTTCAGTTCTGCTCTCTGATTCTCATGTGAAATGTTTTTTTCTCTCCTCACAGCCCTTCTCTGTCGTGAAGTGGCTCCTGACTGAACTTATTATGTAAGAGCAACAACAGATTCAATCAATTTATTCATGTGGGTCTTTAATAAATCTAAAGTTACTCAGAAATGTGGCAGTAAGTTAATTTATTAGTTTGGTAATGGGGACGTTTTTATGAATGATTTATAATTTGATTCATGATAATATTTTCTCTAAACAGTCACTGTTTTTTTTTAACACGACGTTTGTGTTTTTCTTCCAAGTTTCCTCCTAGAGTTTAACCTCTACAGCTGGTGGAATGTGGACCTCTCAGTGAAAGGTAACTTTAATCGCTGCAGTCTCAGACGGTGTCTGTGTGTAAGAGAGTCAGAGAAGTAAAAGTGTGAGAAGCATGAGAATGAAGGCTTGAAACTTTCTCTGTCGCTCTGTGGTTACATGAATATTTGTGGTTCAGCTTTACTTCCCCTTATGTCACATTCAGCTCAGAGACCCCGGGGTAAAACCATGATGGTACCCTGTGACACAGAGTACCCTGCATTTGTCTCTGAACGCACCATCAAGGAAACAACAGGAAACATCGACTGTGACGGCTGTACCAGGTACAACGTGATGCCAAAGAACCGGCAAATACCCGACGTCTTTGACAACGACATCTGTAAAACAACAACCTTTAACACAAGTGTGTGTGTGTGTGTGTGTGTGTGTGTGTGTGTGTGTGTGTGTGTGTGTGTGTGTGTGTGTGTGTGTGTGTGTGTGTGTGTGTGTGTGTGTGTGTGTGTGTGTGTGTGTGTGTGCAGATCATTTGTCATACAGCAGATCCCCAGCAGTAACCTCTTTATGGTCGTTGTGGATAATAAGTGTGACTGCAGCAGCGCTCCTGCAGTAACCATGGACCCGATCGAGATCATGTATATCCTTCCTGCTCTGGTGTCTGAAGTGTATAAAAGTTTTCTGCATTTGCATCGTAGCTCATGAAGTAAGGGTCTGAACATAGGGGAGAGTGGGGCTTGGAGCCCTGTTGCCTGGAAATGGTCAAAGAAATTGATCATGTGACCAAATATTTAGGAGGTGGGCATCAATTCATGGAGTCTGTGAAGGTTAGAAGAACATGGGTGAAGGGGTTAGATATTTATTTACAAAAAAAAAAACCTTTTTCACTCTTGAAAGTGAATTTAGTCTGTCATAAGTTTTATTAGAAATGTGTTCAGACCAAAAAATATCATTTTAAATTTGTTAATTCATCAATTGTGGTATCTATGAGCTACAACATGAGGTCAAAAACCTAGGGAGGGATACGGCTCAACTTACCCTGTTCTTATGATCAACTGAACCCATACACGGGGTAAGATGACCATAGGAGACCACTTTTTTTTGGCATGCTATATTTTAAAGACACTTATGTTTCCACTCACTTACACTGATATATATGCAGATACACTAGTTAGAGACAAAACTATGATTGTCTTGATGTAGTGATCCAAATTTTTTAAGAATGTCTCATCTTAGCCCACTCTCCCCTACTAATTTCCTGTATTTTTATGCTCATGTAAATTCTTCTGTAGACTGTAAGCCATGATCAAACTTTGAGTCCTTTATATCCTTGACATCTTTGAACACAACGAGTCACTAAAATGTGACAGACTGAAGTTTCAGAAGGACAGAAAAAAACCTGAATCATGTCACCCTTTCCATCCTGAGGTATGTGAGTGCATGTTTCTTTACATCTGCTCTGAGTGTAAGTACAGAGACAAACTGTCTTTAGTGTTTTCTGACTTGATCAATCAGCTCATTGGCTGCATAAAAGTACGTCCTCGTCCTTCTGTCGAACACAAGTAGAGCTCATGTTACATAAGGCTGTGTTTTCTGCAGGAAAATGCCATGGAGTGTGGTTCAGCAACACGCCTCTCCAGTTGTCTAGCAGCAGTTTTGCTGCCTCTCATGGCAGCAACCATCAGCAGGTGACCATAAGCAGCAGGACTGGACGTCAGTAAGGACTAACTCAACCTGAAGATGCTTCCTAACACATAGAGAACATGGCCAATCAGAAATGAATTTGCTCATACTACTGCTACAGGCAGCGCTCTACTTAATAAAAACTCTTTAACAGTAGCTCTGAGGCTCACGTTCATTAATGCAGAACACATAAATGATGTGAAGCAGCAGAAGTTAAGAGTGTAATGGGATTGCTTGGTGACCCCTGAGAGCGCCGCAGACAGAACACCAACTTTTCTATTACATCCCAAGATTAAAAAGGAGAAATACTGTCAGCAGCTTGCCGTAGGAGTACAGGCATTTCTTGCCAAAGCATAAAAAAAATTCCTTTGTATGAGGAAAGATAGCCAGACATCTAACATGTTTATTCTTTGGTGTTTTGCAGAAAAGTGATGGTTTGTGTAAGTCCGCAGAATGTAAGATGCACTTTTGCCATATGTGAAAAAAAAAAAGCAGACGTTTAATAGTTGCTAAAAAGGTGAACAATGCTGTCAGAGTTTTCTGTATTCATAATTTCAAAGTTTATTTTTTGTAAGTCATTACTTTATAATGCCAGTAAAAACATCATATAAAGTATCTGTGAGAAGACTGAAACTTTAAACTTGCTTTGCTATTTTCCTCCGTGTTTGAAAGCAGAAGAGGTTTCAGAAAAGAGAAAGATGCATGACGAAGAGGATAACAGAATGTCACATAGATATCTCCTGCCGTTATTTGTGAGGTGAACACATCCTCCCACCACCTTTGAGAAAGCTTATGAATAATTAAAAAGAAATATTTTCCTTCAAACCCCTTGCTTTATTTTTCAAGTGTTGTGTGTTGTGTGTGTGTGTGTGTGTGTGTGTGTGTGTGTGTGTGTGTGTGTGTGTGTGTGTGTGTGTGTGTGTGTGTGTGTGTCTGAGTGAAAGTGATGGATGTGAGCTGGTGCATTATGTGACATGGAGAGATTAATGACACTGAGATTTTATGCACATGTATTTAGTCGTACAAGTTTTGGTCAAAGTCATAGTTCAGGTACAATAAAAGTAAATCGTAAATGAATGTTAATATGTTCATAATACAAAGATACAGAAAATAAACACAGATCTAAAAGAATGAACAGACAACATGTTATAACAGAATTAAATTTTACATCAGAGTAAATATACAGATTTGAACAGTATTGATAGTTTTAAAGATGTGACACTTGGCTAAGCAGTCTAATCACGCACTCCCTGTGTAGACTCTGAAGTCATCAAAGCAGGCGACCCCAAGTTCAGTTTCAATCCATAACTCTTTGACCCGTGGCAGTCCCTTCTTTCCTTCTGTTACTTTCTCTGTCTCAGTCTCAATGAAAGTGTAGCGAGCTCACCCTCCCAAAATTACCTCTGTGCTTCAGTCCTGTGCATCACATTTTAAACTCGTGACATGTCTGAGTGAAAAACTTACAGTTACAGTTACTTAATGGATTGGGGGTACTACTCTGACTCACTGGCCACGTTTACATGGGCACAATTTCTTGATCCGATTAAAAAGCTGAAGGATCGGATAATATGAATCCACTGTTTATATAGATGCAAAATCGAATAATCCGATCATGACGTGCGTATACATGCGCCAAGCTTTAGAAGCATTTGGACATGCGCAGAGTTGTTTAATTTCACTAAAACTACCGCAGAAGAAGAGTTGTATTTATGCATGTGCTGTCAACGACCAACAAACGCGGTAATGACTCACTCCATCCAATTCAGGAGTTTCCCCCTGTTAAATTTGGTCACTAGATGGCGCCCTCGCGTACTTATTTTACTCTTCTGTCAAAGGTCGCACTGTGCGTGCAGATGTGACATCATTACGCTGTATTTACGCCTTGTTATGTTACCGGAAGAGCAGACACGGCACCTGTGGTTGTGTTAATGCCAGAGAGTTAATAATGAAACCTCCTGTACTGGCCTCAATAAAAAAGCCAAAGGCTGAAGAGTGAAGATCGAGTCAGGTAAGAAAGTCACGATCGGAATAACTGTTTACATGGACGCGTTTCGGAATAACGATCGGCATAATCCACCCCTCTAGATCGGAATACAATTTCTCTGGATCAGAATCTTCCAATCGACATGTTTACATGACACATTTTTATTTCGATTGGGCATTTATTCCGATAGTTGTCCCCTCAGTCCCTCCTTGCCCTATTTCCTGACTCTTCAGCTGTCCTGATTTAAATCTGATCTCTGGAAAATAAACTATTAATTGTTTGATTCAGGCAGGAGAAAAGCAGTTAAAACTCTATCATAGCATTAACCTCTGACAACATATCAGCCATCTCTGAACATGGATTATGATTTGCACTTGTTATTTAAACTGTAAGCTTTATCTTTGCTCAGTAGAAAAAAAGTGAGTTTATCCGTGTGCCTGCACGGTACTATACATACTGTCCTGAAATGGTGTTTCTGGTGGCTTACAAAGGATGGTGGAGTAGTATGGGTCCTCCTGGAACTAAAGAGAGAAATAAACTTTGATAGTTTATACAATTTATATGTGGTACTTTTTTTATGTAGTACACAATATCAGACTTACATTGCTGTGGTTAGACTGCCGTCTGTTCACGTTCTCAGAACCTGTGAGAGAGGAGAGCATTGAGTAAGATGATGGTGTCTTCTGCAGATAGTTGAAAAATCAGAAATGTAAAGATGTTTCATTGAACATCTCTGTGTCTGTGGCTCAACTTACTGGAGTAATACATGTAATGATCAAAATACCAAACAAAAATTGGATTAACATCGAGTTTTTTGCACAGCACAATATCTACAACTATGACACTTGTAACCCGATACAGTCAAATCAGTTCCCCTCCCCTCAAAGAAAAGGCAGGCGGAGTACACTGTTTCTTCTTGGACAGCACTACTTTCATGTGAACAAGAGCTGTAGGTGTGGAGACATGAGGTTATTTTGTCTCAGTGCATTTGTGGTCAACCACATGCATGCTTATTTTCAGTTTCAGAATTAGGCCTGAACGATATATCGTTTGACTATCGTCATCGCGATGTACGTGTGTGCGATAGTCACATCGCAGAGGCTGCGATATTGGAGGTGAATGAACTCATTTAATTTCAAGGGTAACTGACTGAGATACACTCCATGTGACTCTGCATGTGCTGTGCAGCGATCCACCAATCACCTTTGTCCTTTACTCAGTTGCCAATCAGACTACCCTGCCAGCTGTCAATCAAAATCAGGGAGGAGAAAACCCACCCCTGCACATGTTCTGCACATGGAGGCAGGGCTCTCAAGTTTTGAACTAAGCTTAGAGTGAGATTTCCTTGGGGGGGTCGAAGAGTGATTGAAGATAATTATTAGTATAATAATCTAATAAATACAATGGAGTATGAGGGCCACATTAAGAAAGAAAAAAACATTTTTAAATCTTTGAGATTAAAGTTATTATTTAGGAGAATAAAGTCATTAATGACTTTAAGAATAAAGTAGTAAAGTTACCTGTTGTGGAGGAGAGTTGTTAAAATCAACACTGAGGAGCATTTAGATGGATTGTACTTTAGTATAGGTTTCACAAACATGGAGATACTTAATCCTTTAGTACATGAGCATAACACTGTCATGAGTATCAGAACTTTAAAAAGAATATATGAGAAATGCTGCTTTTGTGGAGGGGAAAATGGCTGGAAATGGCTGTACAGAGGCTAAATCCGTCAATGCAGCTGTTAATAGCAATAGCAAAGGGCTTTAGTTTATCATATGAGTTTATCTGCTATGAGATGTTGAGGTCTCTGCATGTGTAGGTTACTGACTTACTGTAATCATCGGGTCTATCTCGTCCTTATAAAAACCTGCTCTATTACGGCGAGTGTCTGTCTTCTTCTGTAGTTAAACCGCAAGATATCAAAATCTACCCAGATACAGCAATGCTGCTTTTTGATTGGCTGTTCAGTAGATATACTTTATTTGATTGGCTTGCGCGTGGCACGCAGCTTCTGAACTCTCGGAGAAACTCCGTTGATTTCCCCCTGTTCTATAGTTAAAGAGGTGCAACTTGGTGGACATCACCGTGTTCATTTAAATGCGTGAGAAGTACAATGTGTGGCGTGTGAGCGTGTGAACGAGTGGGAATGCGTGTGTCTCACGCTGAATGCGTGAGACTTGAGAGCCCTGTGGAGGGAGACGTGTGTCCGCTGAGAATTACTTTCGGAACTTTACTCATGACTGTTAAGCCCAACAAATAAGAACTGTATGGGTTTTAAATTGTACATTTCCGTGGACCACTCTACTATAAGCAGTGCGCGTTTTGCGAGGTGCATGCAATTCTCGGAGGACATGCGTTTCTCAGCACAACACCGCTAACAACAACAACAACGATCGCAAAATGAACAACGAACAAGCGAAAACCACCGAAAATGAAGATTTGTTGCCAAAAAGAAAAGGAAAGTCAGTTATCTGGAATTATTTCGGTTAAAAGAAGGATGATGTCGACCAAAACACGTCTTCTGTGTTCATCTGTTTCCACAATAACGTCCCAGCACAATAAAAGCTAAAAATATCTCTGAGACAGACAGAAGCCGTTCTACTAACATTCACAAAAAGAGGTAAGATCAGAGCAGATTAACTGTCCTCAAGATTTCAGCAGTGCAGCATAACATTAAATGCTATTCAGGTCATCTGGTGAAAATACTGTATTTTTAATATCGCAATATATATCGCAGGGTTGAAAAAAATCGCAATATTATTTTTTTCCAATATCGTGCAGCCTTATTCAGAATCACACCCTTCTCGCTTGTATACTATCATGCCACATTCCTGACAAGTAACCCTGAATGAAACAGGTAGTTGTTGTTCCTTTGGCATTTATGTTTCAACCCTGAAAGTAAGTGAAACTGATGGTGATGTTCAAATACTGTTTCCTACAAAGAAGAGAAAGAAAGAAGTAAAACTGTTACAGGAAATTAGATTTTCTCATGAAACTCAACACTTTGGTGTTGAACACGTGTTATGTGCCAACAATTTGTTTTGTTTTTCATTAATTTTTCATTGTATCTGTCATGGAATCACATCGAGGATTAAACACAAATGTTTCTGTAAATTGCTCGTGACAGAGCTAGATTTCAGTTTCTGTACAGAAGCTGCAGGTGAACATGAAAAGACTTTAAATTTATGAGATGTACGAATTGCCTTCCTCACCAGCTCTCCTTTTGCTGCAGAGGATTGCGGAAACTAACAACATGACACCTACAGTTGCACCACAACCAGCAGCCACTGCTACGAACTTCCATATCCGCCTTTCCCCTTTGAAAAAACACAAGACACAAATAAGAGTCAGTTTCACTTCTCACATTTTTAGTGATAGAAATGTTCAGTTTTTTTTCCCCATCACTGTACATCAAACGTGAGATGGAAAGTCAAGTCTTGCTTCAGCCTTGATACAAACTCACTGAGTAAATCAGGTTTCAACATTTTGTACCAATAAATTCAAGAAGAAAGGAATGACGCACTCTTACCTGGAGCTCTTTTCAGAGGGGTTACAGGGAAAGTTCTGGTGTTTCTGTCAGGCGTACCAACACTTGAACCTAGTGTGCACACAGCCACAATATTTTACAAATTCTTCACAGCATCAAACACACTTTGTTTTAGTCTAGGATGACTTTTCAGCAAGTTTCTGTATTTATATATTTATATCTGTTTTCTAAAGGCACATAAGATAAAACATTTAAACCAAAAATGCTCTTTTCTTGACCTACAGTATAAACACAAGAAGCAGCATGAATCATGAAGAATATTAAAAGTCACCTGACGGCGGTTTCACTGAGGCTTGAAGGGTAGAAACATCATCACCAGTGTTACTGACAGGACTGGTAGGCAGACGTGAAGATTGAGGAGAAGTGCCTTTAAAAACATTAATAATCATCATAACACTTTAATATACATACTTATGATCATTTATAGTCAGGGATTTATATATTCATAACTTTATTACCTTTTGTATGTTGTGCAGGTGGAATAGTAGTGGGAGCTCGAGTTGTCTGACCTAAATAAAGAGTAAACAAATACATGTTTAAATCTTTTAAGGCAGAATTGTCAGTGATTTATATATTTAGAACTTTATTACCTGTTGTATGTTGTGCAGGAGGAACAGTAGTGGGATCTCGAGTAGTGCGACCTAAGTTAAGAGTAAACAAAGATATTTTTAAACCTTTTTAGACAGAGTATCAGTGATTTTGTTCTGAGTACTGATTTAAATATAAGACATGTCCTACCTGTGCTCTCAGTGGATTTAGACATTGTTGGGGTTGTGCAAGACTCCTCTTTAACAATATCTGTAAAAGAAGAAAATTAGAGGAGTGACAAATGTTTGTATGGATAACAGTACGGGTTCAGCAATAACACTCTTGGTTACTGGTATTGTGCATATAATTGAGCATTTATTCTTAAAACAGAAGAGGTACAATTAAATGAAATTATTATTATTATTATTATTATTATTATTATTATTAATAATAATAATAATAATAATAATAATAATAATAATAATAATAATAATAATATTTTGAAGACACAAATCCAATTAATCTATCCTGTCATAATTCTATCATAAACTTGTGTCTCCTCTTCTCACTTACTGGTCAAGCTGTATCCATCACTGCGAGGAGACAAAGAGTTGGATCCACTCTCTAATGTATAATCACAGCTGGCGTCACTTTGATGACCTGAACACAGTCCACTCAGTAATTCAGGTATCGTGACAGTAAACTGACACATTGAGCTTTTTGTTATCGTGGTTGTGCCTCTTAAGATGTTGGCAGTTTTCACTGGATGACTTGCTTCTCCAAAGTACAGGTTACATTTTGTACCAGGAGGAGCAGGTCCAGGCAGAGAGCAAACAAAGAGAGCAGGTTCACCAGGAGAAAAATGGAGACTCAGTCGAGGTTTTTGACCTAGAAGATGAAAAAAACTTTATAAGGTTGATTTGTAAGACAAACGCTGATGACTTTTTTGTTTAGAAGTAAAAAAAATTTTTTTTTAATATTTTGAAAACACATTTTTTTAAACCTTTACCTTGCACATTTTGTCATTTGCACCAAGAGGAGGTGTTGAAATGATTTTTTTTCTTTCATGCTTAAATGGCATCAGGACATATCATCACCTGTAGCTGGACATAGAGAAACACTAACTCACTGTGTATGATGACAGAGGATGTCACACTGTGTGGAGATGGATGGTCTTCACCATTGAGCCTCTGGGTGTAGAAACATGTTAGTTTAACATCGAACCTCAGAGCAGCTGAAGTCTTTTGAGCCATTTTGAGCAGCTCAGTTCCTGTAAGGGTCTTCAAACAGGAGAGGACTCTACCAGGTCCTCCACTCAATGTGTCAATGAAACACTGAGACACAGGAACAGACGGTGGAGGCTGACAGCTCAGCGTAACCGTCTCTGTCTCATAGATCACTGGTGGATTCACTGACAGAGTCGGTGGAACAGAAGCTGAAAGTGAGGGAAAACATTGGATAGAATAACTTAATACAAAATATTGATGACAAACTTATTTGTTGAACCCTGATCGTGATCTGTGACTGTGATTTAGATGGATTTACTGTTACTGTTTTAAATTTTTATTGATCATTTCTTCATTGTGAAACTGCAGAAGCTCATCTAAACAATCACTTCATAGCAGCAGCGCTCACTCACTTCGAACAATGATGGAGGTTATCTCACTGTCAGGAGACGAATACCCATACAAGTAAAAACAGGTGATTTTAACCTCAGCAGGTGAATTCTGGTTGGTCATCTTCAGCAGCTCAGCTCCGGACAGATTCTGCAGACAAGAGAGGGTTTTGGCTGGTCCCCCTCTTTTCATGCGGAAATAACACTTAGACTGAGAAACAGATGATGGAGGCTGACAGTTCAGAGTGACTGAGTCTGTCTCTGTGATCACTGCTGGATTTACTGTCAGTTTGGGTGGAGCAAAAGCTGGAAAATCAAATTGAACAACTTTGATCAGAAGTGTAACAGATGCATCGAGGCAATAAAAGTCTTCATGATCAACAAAGTCTTAATGTCGAGTTTAAAAAAGAGATAATGTACTTCAGAGCCATAATGTGTATCTTACATTTACATTACAAGAAGTATTCAACACTGACCTTGTACTGTAAACACAGATGATGAACCTGTTAGAGAAAAGCTCATTAATTAAAATGAAATAGTTGAAACAAAGAAAGTTGTATAACTGTGTCGAGACACTATAAAAAAGAATCAACACAGACCAACAAAAATCAGTCTAAAAAGTTTTAACCTTTAGATGCTTAAGCTCTCTGATTTCTTACATTTACAATTAACTGAACAGAAGTGGTTGAACTTACACATGAGGAAGACTAACAGCAAGTGTCCAGCCATGATGAAGCTCAGACTCGTAAACCATCAGTGAACCTTCAAAGATTTAACCTGTGTGTCTGTCTACAAGGACTTATATTTACTTATGAGTCATTTTGCAGAACTTGCTCTGAAGAAAACCACAAAAGCATCAGAGGTAGTTCAGTCACATAGACAAGCCACAAACACACGCTGACATTATCTTTAAAAAAAAAGTTTTTCTTTTGTGTGTGTGTGTGTGTGTGTGTGGGGGGGGGTCACTGTGTATTTAGAACAGCTCTGCTGATGTGTTGTGTAACTGGAGCAGACAAATTAAAGACGGTTTTCATCGACATTTTTCTTCTTCATCTGACCTTTTGCATACTCCAGAATAGAAGAACTGTAATAGATGTACCAAGAACTAAAGAAACCCACACTTGCTCTTCCTCATCAAACTACCAAATACAGAGTTCACAATGAGCTGTAGCAGGGGGGTGACTGAGCAATAAAGACCACATGGACCTAAAAGTTTACTGTCTTCTAATCATGACACTCAATTCTTGGCACGAGTTCATTTGATTCCAGCTGGAATTTGATCTAAGTTTGTCTGGTGGGACAAGCTGAAGTGGCAAGAAGCTAAATTTTTGGCAGGTTGAGCTGAACGTGGCTTTACTTGATCCTTTAAGAAATATCTGTGAAATCCGTATGATAAAATTCAGGTTGACTCAGTCTTGTCATCTGATGGGAATAACAGGAATATCAAAGTATCATCTGCACTGCAGTCATGTGAGAAACCATCAGCACAAACAATTGCACAGAGTAAGTTGGTCTAAAAAGAGACGACCAAGCACTGACCCTTGAGGAACCCTTGTTGATTTACTCTAATGCCATCTTACTGAGTTTTAAATGTAACTTTATCACAAATTTTAGGACTGTCTCTCCATCAATATATCTTAAATTCTCACACTGTGTGCGGTTGCGTGTGTGTATGTGTGGGTGAATGCGTGTGGGTCCATGGGTGTGTGCGTGGGTGGGAGGGTTGGGTTTTATTGTCGTTATTGTTGTTTTTAGCCTCTGTGAGGCACTTTGAATTGCATTTTTTGTATGAAAAGTGCCATAAAAATAAAGTTGAATTTGAATTTGACTTCTATTTTTAACCAGTTTTTTCAACCACTCAAATACAGGAAGCATTTTTCATTGATATTTAATGAGAGACTTCAAAAATCACATTTTGGCTCATAAAAACTGAGACAAATATAAACACATTTTAAGATAAAAGCAGGTAAACTGCACACTGAAGAGAAGGTACATCCACATTTTGGCAGAAATACTGCACACTTCAGTGGATAGATGGATGGATCACTCTTGATCAAAATCTTAAGACCAGTTAAAAAACTGCAAGAATTTACATTTAGCACTGTTGGACCTTAAGACGGTTCTTAGTAGAGCCTCAAAATGCAAAAAGAAGAAATGGGAACAAGAGACCAAAAGTTTTGAGCAGGAAATTTATTGAAAACAACAATTTAACTGAAATCGGCTGTTCATCAGCTGATCAAAAGTTTAAGACCACAGCCTTTAAAAGCCCAAATCTGTGCGAAAATTTGGATTCCATGTCATTTCTTGTCAAGGGGTCACACTGTCAACATCTCTTGATGGCAAAGGCAAAAAAACTCACTGCTTTTGAATGTGGTAGGATTGTTGAGCTGCACAAAAAAGGCCTCTCACAACGTGCCATCGCTGCTGAGGTTGGACGCAGTAAGACTGTTATTTTTCATTTCTTAAAAGATCAGGAGGGTTATGGAACAAAAAAATCAAGTGGTAGACCCCAAAAAATCTCACCAGCGCTGAGCCGGAGGATCCGAATGTGTGTACATCAAGACGCGGGATGATCCTCATCCCAAATTAAGGCCATTACAGGTGCTGACTGCAGCCCAATAACAATCAGACGACATCTGTGAAGGAAGGGCTTTAAAAACAAAAAACGTCTTCAAAGGCCACGTCTCCTTCAACGCCACAAAATTGCCCGTTTGGACTTTGCGAGGGAGCACCAAACATGGGACCTTCAAAGGTGGAAGAAAGTTTTATTCTCTGATGAGAAAAAATTTAATCTCGATGGTCCTGATGTCTTCCAACTCTACTGGCATGACAAGGAGATGCCACCTGAGATGTTTTCTACGCGGCACAGTGGAGGGGGCACCATCATGATCTGGGATGCTTTCTCCTTTAATGGAACAGTGGAGCTCCAGGTTGTGCAGGGGCGTCAAACAGCAGCTGGCTATGTGGAGATGTTGCAGCGGGCATTCATCATGACTGAGGGCCCTCGTCTGTGTGGCAATGACTGGGTTTTTCAGCAGGACAACGCTACAATTCACAAGGCCCGTCTGACCAAGAACTTTCTCCAGGAGAATAGCATCACTCTTTTGGACCATCCTGCATGTTCCCCTGATCTAAATCCAATTGAGAACATTTGGGGATGGATGGCAAGAGAGGTTTATAAAAATGGACATCAGTTCCAGACAGTGGATGCCCTCCGTTAAGCCATCTTTACCACTTGGAACAACATTCCCACTAGCCTTTTGGAAACACTTGTATCAAGCATGCCAATACAAAATTTTGAAGTAATCAACAATATGGTGGAGCTACTCATTACTGAGTCAGTTTTTGACACTTTAATTTCTGTTTTTGGAGGTGTTTAGGTTTTTTTGAGCTGTGGTCTTAAACTTTTGATCAGCTGATGAACAGCCGATTTCAGTTAAATTGTTGTTTTTCATAAATTACCTACTCGAAACTTTTGGTCTCTTGTTCCCATTTCTTCTTTTTGCATTTTGAAGCTCTACGAAGAACCGTCTTAAGGTCCAACAGTGCTAAATATAAATTCTTGCAGTTTTTTAACTGGTCTTAAGATTTTGATCAGGAGTGTATTTAGTACTTATACTATTGCAGATGAAATCAGGGCTTACATTGACTAAATTGTAGTTACTGAGGTTGAATGTAATTAAGTTCTCTCTTAATAATTTTCAACCACTGTGCTGATACATTAAAAATAGCTGTTAGTGGTGAGGATGGTTGTAATCCGTCTCTGAAAAGCAAGATAACCACCCCTCATGTTCTGTCTGTGAACACGAGCTGTACCACACGCTATCCAAATATTTTTAGCTTAACTTCTTTGTGGCTACCATGTCATGCACATCATTTTTAACTTTTGTGTAAACAAACAAGTTTATGATGGTTAAGAGTCAGTTAAGCCCTGGCCAAACATAACTCTGATATCTACCTGAGTTCATAATGGGGCCCTGTCTTTAAAAGCCTGTTGCAGTCCAACAGGGCCCTCTAGTGGGCATGGATCCATCAAACCTAACATGATGTACAATACTGTGGATTAAGTTCAGGTTAACAAGCAGGTGCATGTCTAGACTTTTTGACTGGGGTGGCCTGACCAAGACACTGATGCAGCAGTGACATGAAGTCTGTGAGTCCACACACCAATAACTGTCATGTGTTTGTTACAGACCCCAGGATGGTTCCTGCAAACAGATTAGGATCCTGTATAAAACAGGAGGGAAAATGAGACAGGCAGCGGTGCTTCTGTTCACTTCAGTCCGTTGACTGAAGAAGCAGCCTAAGAGTCCGTTATCAAGAGCATCCCAAGGGAGAAGCATAGCGCCACACTGACCCCTACTGGCAGGGTTGCACAAATTACATTACATTGAACTCTTAAGTTCTTACCAGGACATTTACTCGCCTTTATGGCTCATATTCTACTTATCTTATAATGAAAATAGTCTCTTGAACGTAAGACAACATACACAATATCATAAATGTGACAACATATTTTCATATTTTCTTACTATATTACACGACACCCATACAGAAAATTTTAGAATAAGTCCTTTATTATGATCAGGCAAATAGCCAAATGGAATAATGTTGAAAGTTGATTACATTTTTTTTTTCACAAATTTTCTCAGTTTCTGAGTCTCACCGCTCACAAGGATTACATATTACAAAAAAACTATAATAAACCCTCAAATGAATAAAAACTCAACTATATTGTAAGTTTCATCGTACAAAATAAAAATGTGGATATACTTGAAGCTGCAGGGTTCTGTACACCGTGTCCTTCAGGGCTGATGAAGGTTGATTCTCAGAGATGAAGTTCATTCAACAGACTGAAAAGAAAGAAACTTATCAATAATCTGACAGAAAACTTAAATTTTACAGACAGTCAAACTCTACTTACGTCTCATTTTTGTCATCCTTGTTTCTTTTCAAGGTCCTGTAGGTAAAACACAATCACACAGAGACGATTATTTTCACTCAAGTTTTGTATTTCACTTCATGTTCTGTTAGAAAAATAGGGAGTAGCATTCAAGAGACTTGTGTAGGTTTCTGCAAAGTGAGAAGCAGCTCACCATTAAGAAGTCAGAATTTAGTACATAAGTGACCACACTGAAGGTTTCATCTTTGCCTGCAGGGAACTGTAAGATAAGAGAGAAAGAGTCAAGGGTAAGAGGAAAAGTTCACATCTAACTTGACAAATTCAGTCATTTCAAAGAGCTATAAATGCTCGAATTTTCTTTTATTATTGATTTAAATAAAATTATAATTACCAATCCTCCATGAAAGCGAACATTACCGTTGACGTTTGCTTTTGTCCTGTGTACAAAAATGAAATGGATAAATCAGTTTTAATAACAGAACATGTTCTTATTGTTATGTCCTGAGAAAACTAACCCATAACTAACAAGAAAGAGGAGTTTTATTCCAAAATATATCTCACCTCTCATTAAAACTTTCTGGAAAAAGGGGCACTAAAAAAAAGACAAAGAAAGAATAATAGGACTGATGCTGCATATCAATGCTGCTGTTTATGTGTGAGCTTATCAACATCAGTCATTTCTGACTGATGTAATTCAGTCATTAAGAACTGCATTACGTGATTAAATTTAAATACATTTTTAAATGACAAATCATTTTCAACCCACAAATTTTCCTTTAATTTATGTTACTTGGTTTAGCAGCTCCTTTCCCCGAGCTAGTGTCTTCCCTGTGTGATACTCTTTGGTGACAACATCACCGAACTTCATGTTCACATGTTCACTTTGGGTTCACAGCTATCTCTACTCCCAATTCTTAAGTTCTTAGCAAAATATCTTAAACTGTTGGCAGGAAAAAAACATTTAAAGTCTATCCCAAACACATTTCAATATATCAATGAGTATGGCACTTGATATCAAGTCAATTCTCAAAATAAGACGGGGGAAGTACACTGTTTCCTTTCGGACAGCACTGCTCTCATTTGAAAAGCAGCATTAGGTCTGCAGCATAAAAAAAAAAACCAACAACTCTAAATTTATGAGATGTTCAAACTGCCTTCCTCACCAGCTCTCCTTTTGTTGCAGAGGATTGCAGAAACCAACAACATGAGACCTACAGTTGCACCACAACCAGCAGACACTGCTACTAAATTTGATATCCACATTTCCCCTTTGAAAAAACACAAGACACAAACAAGAGTCAGTTTCACTTCTCACATTTTTAGTGATAGAAATGTTCAGTTTTTTTTCCCATCACTGTACGTCAAACACGAGATAGAAAGTCAAGTCTTGCTTCAGCCTTGATACAAACTCACTGAGTAAATCAGGTTTTAACATTTTGTACCAATAAATTCAAGAAGAAAGGAATGACGCACTCTTACCTGGAGCTCTTTTCAGAGGGGTTACAGGGAAAGTTCTGGTGTTTCTGTCAGGTGTACTAACACTTGAACCACCTAGTGTGCACACAGCCACAATATTTTACAAACCATCAAAGCATCAAACACACTTTGTATAAGTCTAAGATGACTTTTTAGCAAGTTTCTGTATTTATAACAATAATAATAGTAATAATAATTATTATTATTATTATGACAAAAAAATTTCCCCCATGGGGGATCAATAAAGGAATTTTTTATTCTTCTATTCTATTCTATTCTATTCTATTCTATTCTATTCTATGCTATTCTATTTTATTCTAATAATAATAATAATATAACTTCATTTTTATAGCACTTTTAAAAAGTTTACAAAGTGCTTTGAAAAATAGTCATACAGCACAGAACATCAGCACATGGAAATAAAAACAAAAGCTCAGTTAAAAACAAGGCCTCCGAACTGAAGGCCAATTTCATATGTCATAAGAGAAGAACCCTACAACATAAAATGAGACCATGAGGACCAAAGTAAGAACATAAAATAGGAAAAAAGAGATGCAATAAAAAAGGGGGTTGAAAGCAGGAAACAGGATAGTAAATATAAAAATACGATACTAATAATGATAATAAAATAACAACAAAATAATTATGATAATAATAGTAATGATAAATTGAATAAAAGAAATAAGCAAGAGATAAAACAATAAAAAGCCTAATAGGTTAAATAAGAAAATAAGAAAAATGAAAGCTAAAAAGACAGTAAGCTGAAATAAAAGAGAATTAAAAAAAAAATAAAAGAGAAAGGACAGAATCACATAAAAGCAAGTCTGTAAAAGTGAGTTTATTTATATATTTGTATCTGTTTTCTAAAGGCACGTAAGATAAAACCTTTAAATCAAAAATGTTCTTTTCTTGACCTACAGTATAAACACAAGAAGCAGCATGAATCATGAAGAATATTAAAAGTCACCTGACGGTGGTTTCACTGAGGCTTGAAGGGTAGAAACATCATCACCAGTGTTACTGACAGGACTGGTAGGCAGACGTGAAGATTGAGGAGAAGTGCCTTTAAAAACAATTTATTACCTTTATTACCTGTTGTATGTTGTGCAGGAGGAACAGTAGTGGGAGCTTGAATTGTCCGACCTAAGTTAAGAGTAAACAAAGATATTTTTAAACCTTTTTTGACAGAGTATCAGTGATTTTGTTCTGAGTACTGATTTAAATATAAGACATGTCCTACCTGTGCTCTCAGTGGATTTAGACATTGTTGGGGTTGTGCAAGACTCCTCTTTAACAATATCTGTAAAAGAAGAAAATTAAACAAGTGACAAATGTTTGTATGGATAGCAGTACAGGTTCAGTAATAACACCATGGGAAACTGTGATTGTGCAGACACAAACATTTATTTTTAAAACAGGAAAGTCTTAATGAATGTACTTTGGTATAAGTGTTGATTTAATGATCAAAACTGAAAAAGACGCTTTATCTATGTGTTCGTGCTGAACTGATCAAATTAATTTGATTTCTTAAACCATACTTTCATTTTTAATATTCCAGGCAAAACTTTCATGAAATTTATGATTATAATTTTGAAGACACAAATCCAATTAATCTATCCTGTCATAATTCTATCATAAACTTGTGTCTCCTCTTCTCACTTACTGGTCAAGCTGTATCCATCACTGCGAGGAGACAAAGAGTTGGATCCACTCTCTAATGTATAATCACAGCTGGCGTCACTTTGATGACCTGAACACAGTCCACTCAGTAATTCAGGTATCGTGACAGTAAACTGACACATTGAGCTTTTTGTTATCGTGGTTGTGCCTCTTAAGATGTTGGCAGTTTTCACTGGATGACTTGCTTCTCCAAAGTACAGGTTACATTTTGAACCAGGAGGAGCAGGTCCAGGCAGAGAGCAAACAAAGAGAGCAGGTTCACCAGGAGAAAAATGGAGACTCAGTCGAGGTTTTTGACCTAGAAGAAGATGGAAAAGTTAAAATAATAATAATAATAATAATAATAATTTAAAAACTCATTTTTTTAGACTTTTAACTTGCACATTTTGTCATTTACACCAAGAGGAGGTGTTGAAATGTTTATTTTGCACTTAAACAGCATCAGGACATATCATCACCTGTAGCTGGACATAGAGAAACACTAACTCACTGTGTATGATGATGGAGGATGTTGCACTGTGTGGAGATGGATGGTCTTCACCATTGAGCCTCTGGGTGTAGAAACATGTTAGTTTAACATTGAACCTCTGAGCAGCTGAAGTCTTTTGAGCCATTTTGAGCAGCTCAGTTCCTGTAAGGGTCTTCAAACAGGAGACGACTCTACCAGGTCCTCCACTCAATGTGTCAATGAAACACTGAGACACAGGAACAGACGATGGAGGCTGACAGCTCAGCGTAACCGTCTCTGTCTCATAGATCTCTGGTGGATTTACTGACAGAGTCGGTGGAACAGAAGCTGAAAATGAGAGAAAATATTGGATAGAATAACTGTTATTTTTTCATAATTTAAAATATTGATGACAAACTTATTTGTTGAACCCTGATCGTGATCTGTGACTGTGATTTAGATGGATTTACTGTTACTGTTTTTAATCCTTTATTGATAATTTCTTGGTTGTGAAACTGCAGAAGCTCATCTAAACTATCACTTCATAGCAGCAGCGCTCACTCACTTCGAACAATGATGGAGGATATCTCACTGTCAGGAGACGAATACCCATACAAGTAAAAACAGGTGATTTTAACCTCAGCAGGTGAAATCTTGTTGGTCATCTTCAGCAGCTCAGCTCCGGACAGATTCTGCAGACAAGAGAGGGTTTTGGCTGGTCCCCCTCTTGTCACACGGAAATAACACTTAGACTGAGAAAAAGATGATGGAGGCTGACAGTTCAGAGTGACCGAGTCTGTCTCTGTGATCACTGCTGGATTTACTGTCAGTTTGGGTGGAGCAAAAGCTGAAAAAATCAAATTGAACAACTTTGATCAGAAGTGTAACAGATGCATCGAGGCAATAAAAGTCTTCATGATCAACAAAGTCTTAATGTCGAGTTTAAAAAAGAGATAATGTACTTCAGAGCCATAATGTGTATCTTACATTTACATTACAAGAAGTATTCAATACTGACCTTGTACTGTAAACACAGAAGATGAACCTGTTAGAGAAAAGCTCATTAATTAAAATGAAATAGTTGAAACAAAGAAAGTTGTATAACTGTGTCGAGACACTATAAAAAAGAATCAACACAGACCAACAAAAATCGGTCTAAAAAGTTTTAACCTTTAGATGCTTAAGCTCTCTGATTTCTTACATTTACAATTAATTGAACAGAAGTGGTTGAACTTACACATGAGGAAGACTAACAGCAAGTGTCCAGCCATGATGAAGCTCAGACTCGTAAACCATCAGTGAACCTTCAAAGATTTAACCTGTGTGTCTGTCTACAAGGACTTATATTTACTTATGAGTCATTTTGCAGAACTTGCTCTGAAGAAAACCACAAAAGCATCAGAGGTAGTTCAGTCACATAGACAAGCCACAAACACACGCTGATATTATCTTTAAAAAAAAGTTTTTCTTTTGTGTGTGTGTGTGTGTGTGGGGGGGGGGGGGTCACTGTGTATTTAGAACAGCTCTGCTGATGTGTTGTGTAACTGGAGCAGACAAATTAAAGACGGTTTTCATCGACATTTTTTCTTCTTCATCTGACCTTCTGCATACTCCAGAATAGAAGAACTGTAATAGATGTACCAAGAACTAAAGTAACCCACACTTGCTCTTCCTCATCAAACTACCAAATACAGAGTTCACAATGAGCTGTAGCAGGGGGGTGACTGAGCAATAAAGACCACATGGACCTAAAAGTTTACTGTCTTCTAATCATGACACTCAATTCTTGGCACGAGTTCATTTGATTCCAGCTGGAATTTGATCTAAGTTTGTCTGGTGGGACAAGCTGAAATGGCAAGAAGCTAAATTTTTGGCAGGTTGAGCTGAACGTGGCTTTCCTTGATCCTTTAAGAAATATCTGTGAAATCCAGATGATAGAATTCAGGTTGACTCAGTCTTGTCATCTGATGGGAATAACAGGAATATCAAAGTATCATCTGCACTGCATTCAACCGCTGACCCTTGAGGAACCCTTGTTAATTTACTATAATGCCATCTTACTGAGTTTCAAATGTAACTTTATTTCTCCATCAATATATCTTAAATTCTCACACTGTGTGCGGTTGCGTGTGTGTATGTGTGGGTGAATGCGTGTGGGTCCATGGGTGTGTGCATGGGTGGGAGGGTTGGGTTTTATTGTCGTTATTGTTGTTTTTAGCCTCTGTGAGACACTTTGAATTGCATTTTTTGTATGAAAAGTGCCATAAAAATAAAGTTGAATTTGAATTTGACTTCTATTTTTAACCAGTTTTTTCAACCACTCAAATACAGGAAGCATTTTTCATTGATATTTAATGAGAGACTTCAAAAATCACATTTTGGCTCATAAAAACTGACACAAATATAAACACATTTTAAGATGAACGCAGGTAAACTGCACACTGAAGAGAAGGTACATCCACATTTTGGCAGAAATACTGCACACTTCAGTGGATAGATGGATGGATCATATTGTATTTAGTACTTATACTATTGCAGATGAAATCAGGACTTACATTGACTAAATTGTAGTTACTGAGGTTGAATGTAATGCAGTTCTCTCTTAATAATTTTCAACTGCTGTGCTGATACATTAAGAATAGCTGTTAGTGGTGAGGTTGGTTGTAATCCATCTCTGAAAAGCGAGACAACCACCCCTCATGTTCTGTCTGTGAACATGAGCTGTACCACACGCTATCCAAATATTTTTAGCTTAACTTCTTTGTGGCTACCATGTCGTGCACATCATTTTTAACTTTTGTGTAAACAAACAAGATTGTGATGGTTAAGAGTCAGTTAAGCCCTGGCCAAACATAACTCTACACTGCTTTAAAATCAACATGATGAACAAATCTCCAAGGCACTCTGCACAGACATAAATTCTTGACAAGCTTCATGATATCTACCTGAGTTCATAATGGGGCCCTGTCTTTAAAAGCCTGTTGCAGTCCAACAGGGCCCTCTAGTGGGCATGGATCCATCAAACCTAACATGATGTACAATACTGTGGATTAAGTTCAGGTTAACAAGCAGGTGCATGTCTAGACTTTTTGACTGGGTATCAACCAAATGGAATAATGCTGAAAGTTGATTGTTTTTAATCTTCTTTTCTTCACAAATTTTTTCAGTTTCTGAGTCTCACCGCTCACAAGAATTGCATCTTATAAAAAACTAAAATAAACCCTCAAATGAATAAAAACTCAACTATACTGACTGTTTCACTGTACAAAATAAAAATGTGGATATCCTGGAAGCTGCAGGGTTCTGTACACCGTGTCTTCCAGGGCTGATGAAGGTTGATTCTCAGAGATGAAGTTCATTCAGTAGACTGAAAAAGAAAGAAACTTACTTATAATCTGACAGAAAACTTAAAACTCATGATTGAATTAAATCAGATGAGACTCATAAAGTAATATAGATACTAACAGACATGTAGTAAATGGACACGGCAGGGAGCCAAACCAGCAACTGCTACAAGAACTTTAGCTTAGACTACTAGACCATCTTCACCCCTGCAAAAATATCTTATTGAACATATTTAACAGCAGAAGCCTTACTCTTCGTTCCTCTATGTGCAAAGTGAGAAGCAGCTCACCATTAAGAAGTCAGAATTTAGTACATAAGTGACCACACTGAAGGTTTCATCTTTGCCTGCAGGGAACTGTAAGATAAGAGAGAAAGAGTCAAGGGTAAGAGGAAAAGTTCACGTCTAACTTGACAAATTAATTCATTTCAAAGAGCTAAAAATGCTCGAATTTTCTTTTATTATTGATTTAAATAAAATTATAATTACCAATCCTCCATGCCTCAAAATACTTGTGTACAAAAACTCTCCTGTAACTGAAAGTTTAAAATTTTTTAAAGCAATAAACCCAAAATACAAAAGTGATATGTGCAATATAATGTATATATAAAGTATCACAATGATGTTGCCTGACCACTAAAAGCGAACATTACCGTTGACGTTTGCTTTTGTCCTGTGTACAAAAATGAAATGGATAAATCAGTTTTAATAAAAGAACATGTTCTTATTGTTATGTCTTCAGAAAACTAACCCATAACTAACAAGAAAGAGGAGTTTTATTCCAAAATATATCTCACCTCTCATTAAAACTTTCTGGAAAAAGGGGCACTAAAAAAAAAGACAAAGAAAGAATAATAGGACTGATGCTGCTTATCAATGTTGCTGTTTATGTGTGAGCTTATCAATATCAGTCAGAAATGACTGATGTTATTCAGTCATTAAGAACTGCATTAGGTAATTAAACTTTCAGAAAATACATTTTTAAATGACAAATCAATTTTAACCCACAAATTTTCCTTTAATTTATGTTACTTGGTTTAGCAGCTCCTTCCCCTGAGCTACTGTCTTCCCTGTGTGATACTCTTTGGTGACAACATCCAAAACTTTGTGTTCATAACTATCTCTACTCCCAACTCTCAAGTGCTTTACAAAATATCCTAAGTTGTTGGCAGGAAAAACATTTGAAGTCTAGCCCAAATACATTTTATAATATCAATGAGTATGGCACTTGATATCAAGTCAATTCTCAAGAAAAGAGAGGGGAAGTACACTGTTTCTTCTTGGACAGCACTGCTCTCATGTGAACAAGAGCATTAGGTCTGCAGCAAGTTTAGAAAAAAACAACTCTAAATTTATGAGATGTTCAAACTGCCTTCCTCACCAGCTCTCCTTTTGCTGCAGAGGATTGCAGAAACCAACAACATGAGACCTACAGTTGCACCACAACCAGCAGACACTGCTACTAAATTCAATATCCGCCTTTCCCCTTTGAAAAAACACAAGTCACAAATAAGAGTCAGTTTCACCTCTCACATCGTTGTACATCAAACGTGAGATGGAAAGTCAAGTCTTGCTTCAGCCTTGATATTAAGTCACAGAGTAAATCAGGTTTCAACATTTTGTACCAATAAATTCAAGGATAAAGGAATGACGCACTCTTACCTGGAGCTCTTTTCAGAGGGGTTACAGGGAAAGTTCTGGTGTTTCTGTCAGGCGTACCAACACTTGAACCTAGTGTGCACACAGCCACAATATTTTACAATTCTTCACAGCATCAAACACACTTTGTATAAGTCTAGGATGACTTTTTAGCAAGTTTCTGTATTTATATATTTGTATCTGTTTTTACCAAAATGTATTAAATACGCCACATGTCCTCATTGTTACTGCAGTTAAATTCTTTATAAATTTACCATTAAAGATTTTACTTGTTTTTTGTACAGCAGAAGTAACTGACCGTGGAGATGGAGACACACTGTTGGTTGAACCTGATGGGGCATCAAACAGTTTAGAGAACATTTAGTTAGTGATTTAGTCAGTGGTTCATTTTCATGATATTTCTACTACATAATAGAATACTAATACTTTGTTTATTATTACACAGAGCCTTTTAATACAAGATTTCACAATGGGCTTTTTACATACATGGAAAAGTATCCATATGAATGGAATGTGGTTACCAAAGAGGACCAAAAACAAAACTAATCCGAACTACATCTGTAACTCAAACATTGTATGCACCCAGGCACCACAAAAACCAAGGAACCCAAAATACAATCAAGAAGACCAAGTCTGTAAGAAAGTGAAACCAGTTTTTAAAAATAAGGGATAATAGAAAATTAAGAAAGGCAGAAACTCTGAAAATAGCGCTCACATTTACTAGAGTCCTTTTGCCTTAGTTCAGTTTACATGTCAAAGCAACAGAAATTTATCAACTCACTGTGTATGATGATGGAGGATATGTCACTGTGTGGTGACGGAGAGTTTATGTCTTGAAGCTTCTCGATATAAAAACATTTAACTTTAATTTCTGCTGGTGATCTCTGATGTGATATGTGCAGCAGCTCAGTTCCTGTTAGTGTCTGCAGACAAAGGGTTACTCTGACATGTCCTCCAAAGTCAAAGTTACACTGGAACACAGAAAGATATGATGGAGGCCGACAGTGCAGCGTTACAGATTCTGTCTCTGAGATCACTGCTGAATTCACTGTCAGCTTAGGGGGAAGAGAAGCTGAAATTAAAAAAAATACACATTTATCACAGGTAAGTCCACATCAATACATTGAGAATTTACACTGATCCAAGCAGAGTATATTTGCACAGCACAAAAATAGCATACAGGAAACATTTAACCATTCAAATTACTTTGTAAAACAAACAAAGCACAGCTGAACATCAGTGAAAATACTGACCCTGTACTTGAATCTCATGACAGCAGCCTGTGATGAAAAAATCAATAAAATAATAATTAACTGGTTGGTCTATAGAAAAATTGTAAAAGAATCAAGTTTTACCTCATGTGCAGTTCTGTTTGTAAGAGGAGGAATCAAGACTAACATAAAGAAATATTCAAGTTTCCCACATGAAACTAGTTGTAATCTTTACATCGTAGTTTCAAAATTTGGCACAGACTAACAGCATACGACATAAATGTCCCTAACATATAAAAGAAAACATACTCACATAAAATTTGCATGATATAAATTTGTATTTGTGTTTTTTTAGTAGCCCAGATTTATGTTACACATTGTAATCAGAAAATTTTACTTACACATAAGAACAAACAACAGGTGACCCGTCATGTTGAAGCTCAATACTGACACAGACCAGAGTCCTCTCAGGAGAACACTGATGTGTCTGAATCTGCAGACTCTGAGCTTATCATTTTGCAAAGGTGCTAACAGGAAAACCTCAGATCATCTCAGAGCTAAATTCAAACCACAAAGCAAGTTCACACACAGAAACACTTAGCACTTGTCTTATAATAGCTCAAAGTGGTTCTACTCTGGTTAAGAAGTGTTCACTCATCAGACCATCTGCTTACATTTGTATGTATCGTTGCCTTTAAGCATGTTTGTGTTCTGTTGTAAAGTGATGTTAATATTTTACTTAAAATATCATCACTAATACATCACTTTTTCAAGACAGCTACTGCGGCACAACAAACTATTTATGTATTATTATCATTCTTTAACAACACTTTCCCCTGAGCATAAATACTCTTTGTTATTTCTACTGTATAAATTCTACAGACGATGGAGGCCGACAGTTCAGCTTGACCGTCTCTGTCTCATAGATCTCTGGTGGATTTACTGACAGAGTCGGTGGAACAGAAGCTGAAAGTGAGAGAAAATATTGGATTTAAAGGAATAAGTTATTTTTTCATAATTTAAAATATTGACGACAAACTTATTTGTTAAACCCTGATCGTGATCTGTGACTGTGATTTAGATGCATTTGCTGTTACTGTTTTAATGCTTGATTGATAATTTCTTGGTTGTGGAACTGCTGAAGCTCTTCTAAACAATCACTTCATAGCAGCAGCGCTCACTCACTTCGAACAATGATGGAGGATATCTCACTGTCAGGAGACGAAGACCCATACAAGTAAAAACAGGTGATTTTAACCTCAGCAGGTGAAATCTTGTTGGTCATCTTCAGCAGCTCAGCTCCGGACAGATTCTGCAGACAAGAGAGGGCTTTGGCTGGTCCCCCTCTTGTCATGCAGAAATAACACTTAGACTGAGAAAAAGATGATGGAGGCTGACAGTTCAGAGTGACCGAGTCTGTCTCTGTGATCACTGCTGGATTTATCATTTTGAACTTTTGTGTAAAAACAAGATTGTGATGGTTGAGTGCCAATTGAGCCCTGGCCAAACACAACTCTGCACAGCTTGAACACATCTCTGCCATGATGACATGATGAACAAATCTCCAAGGCACTCTGCACGGACATAAATTCTTGACAAGCTTCATGATATCTACCTGAGTTCATAATGGGGCCCTGTCTTTAAAAGCCTGTTGCAGTCCAACAGGGCCCTCTAGTGGGCATGGATCCATCAAACCTAACATGATGTACAATACTGTGGATTAAGTTCAGGTTAACAAGCAGGTGCATGTCTAGACTTTTTGACTGGGGTGGCCTGACAAAGACACTGATGTAGCAGTGACATGAAGTCTGTGAGTCCACACACCAATAACTGTCATTTATTACTATATGAAACAACACCCATTCAGTAAATTTAGAATAAGTCCTTTATTATGATCAGGCAAATAGCCAAATGGAATAATGTTGAAAGTTGATTGTTTTTTTATTTTATTTTTTGTTCACAAAATTTTTCAGTTTCTGAGTCTCACCGCTCACAAGGATCATAGATTACAAAAAAACTAAAATAAACCCTCAAATGAATAAAAACTCAACTATATTGTAAGTTTCATCGTACAAAATAAAAATGTGGATATCCTTGAAGCTGCAGGGTTCTGTACAACGTGTCCTCCAGGGCTGATGAAGGTTGATCCTCAGAGATGAAGTTCATTCAGTAGACTGAAAAAAGAAAGAAACTTATTGATACTTTGACAGAAAACTTAAATTTTACAGACAGTCAAACTCTACTTACGTCTCATTTTTGTCATCCTTGTTTCTTTTCAAGGTCCTGTAGGTAAAACACAATCACACAGAGACGATTATTTTCACTCAAGTTTTGTTTTTCACTTCATGTTCTGTAAAAAAATAGGGAATAGCATTCAAGAGACTTGTGTAGGTTTCTGCAAAGTGAGAAGCAGCTCACCATTAAGAAGTCAGAATTTAGTACATAAGTGACCACACTGAAGGTTTCATCTTTGCCTGCAGGGAACTGTAAGATAAGAGAGAAAGAGTCAAGGGTAAGAGGAAAAGTTCACATCTAACTTGACAAATTCATTCACTTCAAAGAGCTATAAATGCTCGAATTTTCTTTTATTATTGATTTAAATAAAATTATAATTACCAATCCTCCATGCCTCAAAATACCCGTGTACAAACACTCCACTGAAACAGAAAGTTTAAAATTTTTTAAAGCAGTAAACCCAAAATACAAAAGTGATATGTGCAATATAATGTATATATAAAGTATCATTACCGTTGACGTTTGCTTTTGTCCTGTGTACAAAAATGAAATGGATAAATCAGTTTTAATAAAAGAACATGTTCTCTTTGTTATGTCCTCAGAAAACCGATCCATAACTAACAAGAACAAGAAGTTTTATTCCAAAATATATCTCACCTCTCATTAAAACTTTCTGGAAAAAGGGACACTAAATAAAAGACAAAGAAAGAATAATAGGACTGATGCTGCATATCAATGCTGCTGTTTATGTGTTTCAACATCAGTCATTTCTGACTGATGTTAGAACTGATGTTGACCCAGTGTCTTCCCTGTATGATACTCTTTGGTGACAACATCACCAAACTTCATGTTCCCTTTGGGTTCTCAGCTATCTCTACTCCCAATTCTCAAGTTTTTTTTTAGTTTTTTTACAAAATATCTTAAACTGTTGAAAGTGTAAAACAAAAACACTTTATAATATCTATAAGTATGACGCTTGATACAGTCAAGTCAATTCTCCTCCCCTCAAAGAAAAGACGGGGGACGTACATTGTTTCCTCTTGGACAGCTCTGCTCTCATTTGAAAAGCAGCATTAGGTCAGCAGCATAAAAAATAAAAAAACAACTCTAAATTTATGAGATGTATGAATTGCCTTCCTCACCAGCTCTCCTTTTGTTGCAGAGGATTGTGGAAACTAACAACATGACACCTACAGTTGCACCACAACCAGCAGACACTGCTACTAAATTCAATATCCACCTTTCTCCTTTGAAAAAACACAAGTCACAAATAAGAGTCAGTTTCACTTCTCACATTTTTAGTGATAGAAATGTTCAGTTTTTTTTCCCATCACTGTACATCAAACACAAGATGGAAGATGAAGATTTGCTTCAGCCTTGATACAAACTCACAGAGTAAATCAGGTTTCAACTTTTTGTACCAATAAATTCAAGGATAAAGGAATGACGCACTCTTACCTGGAGCTCTATTCAGAGGGGTTACAGGGAAAGTTCTGGTGTTTCTGTCAGGGGTAGTAACACCTGAACCACCTAGTGTGCACACAGCCACAACATTTTACAATCCATCACAGCATCAAACACACTTAAGTCTAGGATGACTTTTCAGCAAGTTTCTGTATTTATATATTTATATCTGTTTTCTAAAGGCACATAAGATAAAACATTTAAATCAAAAATGCTCTTTTCTTGACCCACAGTATAAACACAAGAAGCAGCATGAATCATGAAGAATATTAAAAGTCACCTGACGGCGGTTTCACTGAGGCTTGAAGGGTAGAAACATCATCACCAGTGTTACTGACAGGACTGGTAGGCAGACGTGAAGATTGAGGAGAAGTGCCTTTAAAAACATTAATAATCATCATAATCACCTTAATAGACATACTTATGATCATGTATAGTCAGGGATTTATATATTCATAACTTTATTACCTTTTGTATGTTGCGCAGAAGGAGCAGGAGTGGGAGCTCGAGTTGTCTGACCTAAATAAAGAGTAAACAAATACATGTTTAAATCTTTTAAGGCAGAATGGTCAGTGATTTATATATTTAGAACTTTATTACCTGTTGTATGTTGTGCAGGAGGAACAGTAGTGGGAGCTCGAGTAGTGCGACCTAAGTTAAGAGTAAATAAAGATATTTTTAAACCTTTTTAGACAGAGTGGTCGGTGATTTTGTTCTGAGTACTGATTTAAATATAAGACATGTCCTACCTGTGCTCTCAGTGGATTTAGACATTGTTGGGGTTGTGCAGGACTCCTCTTTAACAATATCTGCAGTAGAAAAAAATTAAACAAGTGACAAATGTTTGTATGGATAACAGTACGGGTTCAGTAATAACACTATGGGTTACTGTTGTGCACATACTTGAGCATTTATGTTTTAAAGTGGAGAGCTATGATGCATCTGCTTTGGTATGAGTGTTGATTTAATGACCAAAACTGAAAAGGACTTAGACCTTTTTCTATGTGTTCATGCTAAACTTATCAATCTCATTTGATTTCTAATATCAAACTTTCATAATTTTATATTTCAACACTTAAATATTTAGGTTCTATCCTGCGTCTCTTACTGTCAAACAGTCAAAATTCTCTTTATTTACAATCATGTTCAGTGAGTGTAGGGCAGCAGTGAATCACAAACTTCTGTCTCCTCTGCTCTTCTAAACTATCACTTCATAGCAGCAGCGCTCACTCACTTCGAACAATGATGGAGGATATCTCACTCTCAGGGGACACAGACCCATACAAGTAAAAACAGGTGACGTTAAACTCAGCAGGTGAAATCTTGTTGGTCATCTTCAGCAGCTCAGCTCCAGACAGATTCTGCAGACAAGAGAGGGTTTTGGCGGTTCCTCCTCTTTTCATGCGGAAATAACACTTAGACTGAGAAACAGATGATGGAGGCTGACAGTTCAGAGTGACCGAGTCTGTCTCTGTGATCACTGCTGGATTCACTGACAGAGTTGGTGGAAGAGTAGCTGAAAATAAGGGCAAATATTGGATAGAATAACTATGTTGATTTTTCACAACACAAAATATTGATGACAAACTTAATTGTTAAATCCTGATCATGATCGGTGATTTAGATGAATTTACTGTTACTGTTTTACATTTTTTATTGATCATTTCTTCATTGTGGAACTGCAGAAGCTCTTCTAAACAATCACTTCATAGCAGCAGCGCTCACTCACATAGAACGATGATGGAGGTTATCTCACTGTCAGGAGACACAGACCCATACAAGTAAAAACAGGTGACGTTAAACTCAGCAGGTGAAATCTTGTTGGTCATCTTCAGCAGCTCAGCTCCGGACAGATTCTGCAGACAAGAGAGGGTTTTGGCTGGTCCCCCTCTTTTCATGCGGAAATAACACTTAGACTGAGAAACAGATGATGGAGGCTGACAGTTCAGAGTGACCGAGTCTGTCTCTGTGATCACTGCTGGATTTACTGTCAGTTTGGGCGGAGCAAAAGCTGAAAAAATAAACACTGATTCAATTTAGAGCATTCAAAATAGAGAAATATAACTGTGTAGACCAACTGTAACAAAATATAAATGGCAGATTATGAGTAACTTCAAATTCTTTGATCACATTACACCTAAACATTAAATTAACTTTGAAATTGGGACTGACCTTGAGTTTCCAACACAGAAATAAGATCTGTTGGGAAAAAAATGTAAAACGGGGTGTGAAAACATTTTTTTAAAACAGTTAATATTTGAACACGATGTAAAATAATTTTGAAAAATGGTGAGATCAACATAAATGTTCCAACATTACAAACCTGTCTGACACAAAGAAAACAAAATATCAGAAGAAGTAAAGACACAGAAATTAGGTAACACTTACACATGAGGAAGACTAACATCAGGCCCCCGGCCATGGTGAAGCTCAGTTATGTTCAGACCTAAAACCCAAGACTGACTTTATGGGCTCTGCAGAGCAGTGTCATTTTACAATCTCAAACCGCATTAGACAGTAAAGGTTTATTTAGAGAAATGGACAGGCCACAAACACGAATACCCGACATATTTATAATCAGCTTAGTCTTTGTGGTATTGTTGATCTATCTAAAATAAACTTTATGTAGAATTCACACATTTATTTAGAATAATTGAACACACTTTTCTTTTCTATTGTTTCCCTGATTACTTGTCCACAGTGACGAGTGCTGCATCACACCTGAAGAGATAAAATAAAACTTAAAACACAGACTATTTTGTGTGTGAACTTAACAGTAGATTTGATAGAAACTTTAACCCAGTGAACTAGAGCTCATGTTGGACTGCACATAAAGATTTATATATATATATGGAGATCCACTCAGTCCAGCCCAGTCCACCTAGTATGCACAGCTTATCCACTTTGTTTCTTCAAATCCCAAGACTCTTTTCTCCACCGTGGATAAACTCCTCAAATCCTAAAACAATTCATCCACATCATTTACAAAGTCACCACCATTCACAGTGACCTCAGCACCTCATCTGGTTTTACTTCCTGGTTTCACTCTCTCCTCACCTCCTCCACAGCCTCTGTCTTATTTCTCGCTCCTGCCCACTTCTGATTTACCAAAAAATGTATCTGCAATAACAAATTCCACCTGGATCAACCCTCACTCCTTCAAACGTGCTTCTATTACCCTTCCATCCTCAAAAAACCTGGTCTCAGCCCTGACAGAATGTCTACTTTGCAGACCATCTCTAACCTTCTTTTCCTTTGCCTCCCAACCTAAATCTCACCTTGCCTCCAATAGTTCAGTTCAGCTTTAGTTCTTCTTTAGCTCTAGTATATACAGTCTACGGCTGTAACTTGCAACCTTAGATGGTCCCTCTGAGGTCCACCTTGGTCTTTCCCTCATAATCCGGAGTTTATATGGCCCCTTTATATCTACAGAGTTGTTAGGCAGGATATGAGTCAAAGCACTGAACAAAATCCCTGTATTATCCTCAATGTAACCTCACTATGAGAGGAGCACAGCCTCTATCCTAAGCATTAGACTGTATACAGAACAGTATATACAGTCTATGATCCTAAGATGTCAGCACAGATCACCATCTGAAACTTCTAACGACCAATTTTACTGTCTGGTTCCCTAACATATTGGAAAAAGACATGATTGAAGGGATGCTGAACTACCATTATCTGTGGGTAATGTTTTGAGTCATGCAGTTATAACTCATCAGGCTTTTTGAACAGACTAGAGAAAAAAAAAAGTCCTTATATAACTTGGCAGAGATAACATGGTGGTTTATATTTTTGAGAACCCAAACCTTCTCAAATTAGTCTCAGGCCTGTCCCTGTCTTGGCTCTGGTCCACCAGCAGAGGTTGTGATTGTACCACAAATGAAGACGTTCAACAGACTTTACATTAACCGAGCTAATACAGTCAGGCATTAAAACATTTTTAATCTCACTGTGCATAGAAACATGTCTAAAGGTTGTGTTCTTACCATAGACTGTATAAAGAATAGTATATAAAGTCTACGGTTCTTACGCACAGCAACAACGCATATAAGCAAACAGGAGAGGACACAATTCTTCCCCTTTAGTCATCCCAAACAAACAACAGGTCAGAGGTACTTTCTGCTAAATAATTATGAGAAGAGACAACACATGAACTGCAGTAAATTTATTTTTCTCACTTTTTAAATCATTACATTCAATTAAAAACAAGTTTCACTTTTACATCAATATTAAAGAAAATCATGTTTCAGATCAAGTCTGTGTAGACTCTATGCTCTGTTTTACTGCTCAGCAGAAAAAGGGGTTTCAGTGTAGCTGCAGGGTGCTGTAAATCATGCCCTGGGGGGCTGATGGAGGGTTGTCTTCAGAGATGGTGGAGTAGAGGTGGTATTCATCAGTCTGAAAAAGAGAGAACCCCATCAGAATCTACATTAACTATAAACCTTACTGCTGAGCATAGCTTCCGCCAGGCCTCACTTACCACAAAGTTTTGATCTTCCTTGTTTATTTTTTCTGTTCCTGCAAGTCAAAGAGAATCACAGAAAGATTATTATTTTCACTCAAGCCTGGCATTTCATATAATCTTCTGTACAAAACAAGAAGAGACACAAGCTGTGATGAGATGTGTTTATTCCTGTAGACACAAAGATCTAACACAATAATGCGTCCTTGCACTCCCCTGAATTTAGATATACAGTATACTGTATTTCAGAAATATTCACTCAAGTCTTCACCAAAATCTTTATGTATCACAACTAAATGAAACTGTCTTTCCTGTCTCATGCTGTTGCTGTATTCATGTTTTTAAATACAGTGAAAAGCATGTAGACATGACAGGTAGACTGCTGGAGCTCAAACCTTCTAACTGAGAAACCACGGACTCTGCCACTGAGCTACAGCCAGAGATGAACTGAATATGTAAAGGAAAAGCAGCTCACCAGCAGGACAGTCAGCACCTGGGACTGAGGTGATAACACTGTAGGTTTCATCTTTCCTTGTTGGTAACTTCAAGGTAACACAGAAGGAGGCCGAGGGTATGTGAGACAAAAAACATGATTTAATTTACACCTTTGAGAAACTTTACCTTTCAATGTTTGATTTGGAGTAACATTAAAGTTATATTTAATAATAAATTTTAGATAGTGATTAAATACCAAATTCTGATCGTCAAGATTTCCCGTGTTCGAGGACCCCACTGCAAAAGTAGGTAAAGCAAGTAAATACAGTGTAAGACCAAAATACAAATGAAACATTCAGTTTATTGTATGTATAAATATAAAAATGATGTTGTCTAAATACTTAATGTATACATCACCAGTAGAATTGACTTGTTCCCTAAAGAAAATCATATTTAGACAGTTTTAATATTGAGTATTACCTCAATTTTTTTCAGTCACTTTATAACTTAAGATAACAATTAAAAACAATGCATACCTCTTGTTGAAGCATCTTCCTAAAAGGAGATGAATAGATATAGATAGATAGATGAATAGATGAATAGACAGAGAGGAAGAAAGAGAAAGAAAAGATGGATGGAGTCAAAGAATGAAAGGTTTTACGCACCAACACTGAGAGAATCCTTCATAGCTTGGTGGTAACATCCAAATTATATTTAGGAATTCATCTGAACTAACACCCATCATTATCACTCTCTTGATGATATCAGAGTCAAGTGAAAAAAATAACACAGGAGATGATTGATTATTTTTAAAGATCCCTCCATTAACCAACATCTCCTCCTGATGTGCTGATTTAACGAGGACTTGATCCCTGACACATTCACTAATAGACCATGGCTCTGTGATCGTCAGGAAACATTCAAGTAATCAACAGAAAAATTCTCACCAGTTCTTCTTTTGGCACAGAAAAGTGTCGTTCCCAGCAAAATAACTCCCACAGTGACTCCAACACCAGTGACTACCTTTGTTTCTGTTCAGGAGGTCACATACAAATCAGAACAGTGAATCATTAAGGTCACTAGGCGTCATGATTTTATGCAGTATTCAAACCAAGCAGAAATGCCGAATGTTGTCTCTTGTTCTTTTAAATGCTCATAACAAACACACATACAACCTTTTCAGTGCTTGATCTACTTTCATATGAAAACTTTCCAAACTACTGACAAGTAATAAAGTACAGACAGATAAACTAAAAGCTGAAGCACAGAGATTGAAAAAGTGTTGAGTTTATATCAGAAAATAGTTTGTTTCAATAAAATATGTATCCATCAAAGCATATCCAATTCAGAACACATCCTCATTGTAGTAAAAATAAATATTGTAAAATGCAAAATTTGTTTACCTAAGATGATTTGACCTGATGGCTGTGTTGTTAAAGTGATAGATGTAGGAGACTGAGTCATGCCAACTGTGGAACCTGGTAAATAAAAAGTTTGATAGGACATAAATTTCCAAACTAAAAGTAGACTTTAGTCACTGGTTTATTCAATTGAGATATGTCTCTTTGAAAGAGCAAAAATCAAAACACGTTTAGTTTGTGGAATTTTTTTTTATAAAACTTGAACTTTAAAATCAAAAGTTGAATTCAGTCAATGGTTTCATAAAATGAACTATATCTTTACCAAAATGTATTAGATATGCCACATGTCCTCATTGTTACTGCCATTGAATTCTTTATAAATTTACCATTAAAGATTTTACCTGTTTTTTGTACAGCAGAAGTGACTGACCATGGAGAAGGAGACACACTGGTGGTTGAATCTGGGACATTAAAAGGTTTAGAGAACATTAACTTTCAAATCAAAAGTGTGATTTAGTCAGTGGTTCGTTTTCATTATATTTTTACCCAAAAGTAAGTTAAATGTTGTAAACAGTAAATGTTGAAAATTCTAACTTAACATACCTGACACAATTTTATCTGTCTTTGCTTTATTAGTTACAGATGTTGGAGACTGAGACATGACAACTGTGGAGCCTGGTGAATAAAAAGTTAATTAGAACATACATTTCCAAATTGAAAGTTGAATTCAGTCACTGGATTATTTTAATGAAATACGTCTCTTAAAAAGAGTAAAAATTCAACCATGTTTCCACATTATTAATGTTGAAAAATGTTGACTTTATATACCTGAGATTATTTTTCCTGATGTTTGGGCTGTAGTAGTTACAGATGTAGGAGACTGAGACTTGCTGCCTGTTGAATGTTGTGGAGAAAAAAAATATAGAACTTGAACCTTAAAATCAAAAGTTGAATTCAGTCGCTGGTTTTATAAAATGAACTCCGTCTTTACCAAGATGTATTAAATACGCCACATGTCCTCATTGTTACTGCAGTTAAAATTCTTTATAAATTTACCTGTAAAGATTTTACTTGTTTTTTGTGCTGCAGAAGTAACTGACCGTGGAGATGGAGACACACTGGCGGTTGAACCTGATGGGGCATTAAAAGGTTTAAAGAACATTAACTTTCAAATTGAAAGTGTGATTTAGTCGGTGGTTCGTTTTCATGATATTTCTACTATAATAATACTTTATTGTTTCTTATTACACAGAGCCTTTTAATACCAGATTTTCACTATGGCCAAAACTAATCCAAACTACATCTCTAACCCAAACAATGTAAGCACCCAGGCACCACAAAAACCCAGGAACCCAAAACACAACCAAGAAGACCAAGTCTGTAAGAAAATGAAACTACTTTTTAAAATCGATATTGAGCCATCTGAGATAAAAGACATTCAAGGAAGGCAGAAACTCTTGTAAATAGTGTTCACATTTACTAAAGTCATATTGTGTTAGTTCAGTTTACATGTCAAAGCAAGAGAAATTCAGCGACTCACTGTGTATGATGATGGAGGATGTGTCACTGTGTGGTGACGGAGAGTTTAGGTCTTCAAGCTTCTCGATATAAAAACATTTAACTTTAATTTCTGCTGGTGAGCTCTGATGTGATATGTGCAGCAGCTCAGTTCCTGTTAGTGTCTGCAGACAAGAGAGTACTCTGACATGTCCTCCAAAGTCAAAGGTACACTGGTACATGTTAAGATATGATGGAGGCCGACAGTCCAACGTTACAGATTCTGTCTCTGAGATCACTGCTGAATTCACTGTCAGCTTAGGGGGAAGAGAAGCTGAAATTAAAAAAAATACACATTTATCACATGTAAGTCCACATCAATACATTAAGAATTTACACTTATCCAAGCAGAGTATATTTGCACAGCACAAAAATAGCATACAGGAAACATTTAACCAGTCAAATTACTTTGTAAAAAGATTTATGGAGCCAATATAGCAGTAAGAGCACAGCTGAACATCAGTGAAAATACTGACCCTGTACTTGAATCTCATGACAGCAGCCTGTGATGAAAAAATCAATAAAATAATAATTAACTGGTTGGTCTATAGAAAAATGGTAAAAGAATCAAGTTTTACCTCATGTGCAGTTCTGTTTGTAAGATGAGGAATCAAGACTAACATAAAGAAATATTCAAGTTTCCCACATGAAACTCGTTGTAATCTTTACATCATAGTTTCAAAATTTGGCACAGACTAACAGCATACAACATAAATGTCCCTAACATATCAAAGAAAACATTACATACTCATGTAAAATTTGCATGATATAAATTTGTATTTGTGTTTTTTTAGTAGCCCGGATTTATGTTACATATTGTAATCAGAAAATTTTACTTACACATAAGAACAAACAACAGGTGACCCGTCATGTTGAAGCTCAATACTGACACAGACCAGAGTCCTCTCAGGAGAACACTGATGTGTCTGAATCTGCAGACTCTGAGCTTATCATTTTGCAAAGGTGCTAACAGGAAAACCTCAGATCATCTCAGAGCTAAATTCAAACCACAAAGCAAGTTCACACACAGAAACACTTCGCACTTGTCTTATAGTAGATCAAAGTGTTTCTTCTTTGGTTAAGAAATGTTCTCCCACCAGATATCTGTCTTTATTCGTATGTACTCTTGCCTTGAAGCATATTGAGTTCTGTTGTAAAGTGATCTCAATAATTCTACTTGAAATATCATTGCTTATCCATCACTTACTGCGGCACAACAAAATATTTCTGTATTATCATCATTCTATGAACACTTTCCTCTGAACATAAATATTCTTTGTTATTTCTACTGTATACATATTCCTTGTGTTTAGAGGCAGCTGAACCAAGCTTACTCATCTACTCCTCCACTGCATCAGCAGAACATGCTGAAATCATCTCTCTTGTCTGGAGCAGGTGGTACCTCTGCAGCACTGCTGTTGGTGTCGCTGACTGTAAGAGGAAAACAATATCAGATAGGGGAGAGTGGGGTAAGATGAGCCATTTTTCATATTTCTGATCACTACATCAAGGCAATCATAGTTTTGTCTCTAACTAGAGAATCTGCAAATATTTTAAGATGTTGTTCATCCCTGCAAATCAACAGACTGAGTGCAAACATAACTGTCTTTAATATATAGTGTGCCAAAAAAAGTGGTCTCCTGTGGTTATCTTACCCCGTGTATGGGGTAAGTTGACCATAGGAGCGGGGTAAGATGAGCCATATCCTTACTACCCCCCACTCTCCACCTCAGCCCTCCCTCACCTTCTCTCTCCCTAAATAACAGTCACTTCTTCACATTCATGTGTATTTTTATCTATTATACACTATTCAACTGGTACAATGATTCTTTTCATTATTATTGCATATAACTGCTAAAAGGCTGTTTTATAAAAAGTCATTTTAACATGAGAATGTCTTTAAGTGATTCAGAACATTCACAGATCTGTATTTTTGGAAAGAAAAAGTAACATTTCAACAATCTGAACTGAAACTCTGATCCTCCCATCAGACTCCTTTACTTTCTCAGTTGAACCACTGGATCAACTTAACCCAGAACTACTATGATGACTTTATTAGTCCTCTAAGCTAAAATGGTGGACGTTCATACTTGGTTTTTGACCTCATGTTGTAGCTCATAGATACCATAGATATATTGCTCTGAACACAATTCTAATAAAACTTATGACAGACTAAATTCACTTTCAAGAGTGAAAAATGTTTTTTTGTAAATAAATGTCTAACCCCTTCACTCATGTGCTTCTAACCTTCACAGACTCCATGAATTGATGCCCATCTCCTAAATATTTGGTCACATGATCAATTTCTTTGACCATTTCCGAGCAACAGCGGTGGGCTCAACATACCCTTTGGTTCAACTTACCAGAGTCTTGACTATAATTTGTTGGTACCTTCAAGCTATTGTCTACACCTCACAGTTTCTAAAACACGTCAATTTTGTGTCATATTTTTTTATGGTCTGTCTTACTCTAAAACATCAAGAAATGCACATTTCAAGTCTATGCTATGTGGCGGTAGGACACCAGTTCAGTGTAAACTGTTCTGCAACACTTAGTTCAATGAGTGAGAAACCACATCTACAGAGCTACTGTTTGTCAGACACAAGACAGAAAAAAAACCTGTTTTCTCACTCTGACAGGTCTGGTTTTGCATTTTGTGTCCACATTGATGTTCAAAATGGACACCTCATTAAAGAAATCAAAGGCAACCAAAACGACGTAGCCTTTGGTCTCTTTCGCTCTAATTAACCCCTGATGATTTGCACCTGGCGTGATGTGATTCACCTGGTCTCGTTTTACCGGAAGCGACTTCATAAAGGCAAAAACGCGGGTGAGAGTCGATGTGGCGCCCTACGTTTTAAGATTTCACATAAGCTCCTCACTAAGTTCAATATTATTTTGCTTTTGTTGGGTGTGTTTTGTTATTTTTGAATTCGCTGTAATGCCTCCTAAAAAGCAAGCAGCAGACACTGTTGAGGTTCCCGTGTCCACAGACGATGTTCCAATGGAGGAGAAAGTCGAGGAAGGACCAGGTTTGAGTCAACAAATGTGGTTTTGAGTAGAGAACATTGACTTCACAAATTCTCCATTTTGAGGAATGGAAATCTTGTCGTTTTCTCCATAGATGCTGCGTCGCTGGCCAAACTTACATCTCACCCATCTACAGCCATCATGGTTCGAGAAGCACTGAAAGAGCTGGACTCCCGCAAAGGCGTCTCATCTCAGGCCATACAGAGTTACATCAAACAGAAATACCCCTCCGTCGATCAGGTTCGGTTGAAGCATTTGGTCAGGAGAGCCCTGAAAAAGGGGATCGAGACCGGCACGTTGGTACGACCTGCCAATTCCAATGTCACCACAGGCGCAACGGGAAAGTTTAGGGTAGGTTGTCAAGTCCACAGTAGAACCAGAATAAGTTTAGGAAGGCAATTTAACGAGAGATTTTCATTCTGTCTTTAGCTTGCACCAAAAACGAAAGAGGCAAAGACAAAAAGTGAGAATACAGATCCAAATGTGCAGAAAGTTACCAAAGCAGCTAAGGAAGGTGCCAAAAAGTCTCCCAAAGCAGGTACTAATTTAACAAATGGAAGTATAAGTCTCCTCTTTTTTTATTATATATTTTTGACCTAATTACATGTTTTTCTTAAAGGTACTACAAAGAAAGACAAAGCTAATGAGGAAGCAAAGACAAAGAAGGTAAGAAGATGGGCTACCTGTGTGCCATTTACAAAGTAACTACTGAAAGAGACTTTGCTGACTGTATAATATTTTTGTGGTTGTAAGTTGGTCAAACATTGATGGATATTTGCAGTGCCTTGTTAAAACTTGAAACCAAATTATTTAAACTTGTGTTTTTCTCTATTTTCAAGGACCCAAAGCCTCCCAAAAAGCCAAAGAAAGGTGAAGAGACTCAAGCTTCAAAGCCCGCTCCTGCGAAGAAGCCGAAGGCCAAAAAAGATGCAGAGAAAGGAGAAGGAAGTAAAGGAACCTCTGATTCAGACAAACCTAAAGCAGCAAAGAAAACTAAAGGGGCAGCAAAAAGTACAAATGCAGAAAAACCAACAAAGGCTGCTAAGACTGCAAAGGCAGGAGATGACGCCCCTGCTCCTAAAGCACCTGGTAAACGAGGGAAGAAGACGGCGGACTAAAACTGTAACTCTGAACTAATGTTTTTATACTGTTTAATTTTGCAATAAACTCTTAATTTTTGAACTTTTTGAAATTTTTACATCCTTTTTTAAGTTATAATAAAACTGGTGACTAACTTCAACCAAGTATCTCGTTCCTGTTGTCTGACAGTCATGACTGTATTAAGTTGATTTTAAATATTCTGTAGGTCGTTCTTTAACTGTGACCTTGAGTCTGGGAATTCTGACTTTGTGCATGTGTAGATGTATTAAATATAGATGATCTAAAGCAGCTGGAAATTTTTATTTTAAAACGTGCTTTATATACAATTACACTATTCTATAATGATCTTAAATAAGGTAAAATTTTAAGGATTTTTGTGTGTGTGAAGGTGTCACTGGTGTTGTTAAGAAGAAGAAATGGGTGACCTTTACAGCCAGTGGTACTGTTTCAAGAAAGGATGCCAGAGATGAGAGAATTTTAACTCTTCCTTTTCAGAGTAGTAAAGAAAATGTTAAGGCACTGTAAAATAGCAAAAACAAAGAGTATAAAAAGTAGTTGAATATTTTTTATCAGAGGGAGGATATGATTAACGACCACTGACATATAGTGAAAAATGACTGCTGAGAGTGCTAGAACATCGAATAGATTTCCAAGAAGTGTTTGTACAGTGTCTTGCTCCAAGCCTTCAAGCTGTACCACCTGCTGTTGTTGCTCCAGCTTGAAGAGACGTGTCTGACAAGCGTCCAGTGCCTCCTACAATCAGAGATGAAGCGGTCAGAGAAGATGCTCGAGTGTTAAGACACATTTAGCCTGGCAAGTTACTAAATGAAGGGTACCATCATGCCTCTGTTTAACCCCTTGAACTCTGATCTTTCTAATATTTAAACAGTAGTGCTTTTTGAGACAGGTTCTCAGGTATAGTAAGGCACAAACTAAGTAAAACATGTGGATACAGTACAGTAGTGGTGGATTTTCAGGGACCCTTTTTGTTCAATAAAAGAAAAAAATCTATGAGCCAAATTGTTGTTCTAGTTTCCAGTAAACCAGGTTAATGAAGCAGGAAAATCTCGAGTAAAACTGGTCTAATGTTGATTAATGTACGGCTACACATACATGGTCCATCTGAATGGAACACAACTATAATAATATCTGTATTGCCTGGAAATTTCACAGTAAATGATCGGACGTCTGCTTTGCTCTTACATAAAAATCGGTTGCCTTTTCATAAGACAGGTAGGTAATCTTCTCCTCCATAATGACCAGCCCCTCTTTCAAAATCAAAATCTCGTTTTGGTGTAGTTCTCTCAAGTCAAGTTCAGCCGCCCCTCCAGAAGGTCACACCTATAAAACAGTGACAGCAGTTAAACACAGACCAGATGTAACCCTCAACACGTCACATATCCAGTAGAAATGTGGTCTGTTGCCTGTGAGTTCCTCTTGTAGGGCATCTCTAAACATGGTGTACTTCTTGCTTTACAGTTTTTTAAAGCATTCCTAAAATGGGACTTGGTTATTCTCTAGATCTTGGATCTAACTGACTAAAGTCTGAGGCCTGAGCACAGTCAGGTGTTACATCCCTGGAGCAAGTGGGTCTTCCTGCAGCTTCGGAAGAGCCAAAAGAAAAATTACTGTAACAGCCATTATCCATGCCATACAGCTGCCCTGTTTCCCTGGAGCCCAATCAGCTGCTGTTTTTGTCTTTTCGGTTTTGGTTTGGGGTGTTTTTGTTTGGTTTTGTCAGCATTTTATTGATTTATTGTAATTAAAAACAGCTCATTTTAGAAGAACCAACTGGGTTTTACAGAGTTTTAATCATTTCTTTGTGTAACTTTTTCTTTCTTCTCCCCTACAGTGCGGTGGTGGCTGGCTGGCGGTGGAAGCTGGGTGGTTGGGTGGTTCCCCGCACCTTTTTGTTGTGGTGGTAGGCGCACTGGGGCACCGTAGTCTACACAAGTTTGCAGTGTTTGCTGTGAGTTCACTGTGGTGGGTAAGTACACTCCTAGGACACTTCCTTTGGTAGACTGCCTCCCTGATGCTAGCTCCCACTCACTGCCCCTCTCTTCTGTTAGTTTTAACTAATTCATCTGGATGTGTTTTTAATTGTGAAAAAGAATAATTTGTAATAAACCTTTCTGATCAACTCCTTCAATAACTGACTTAAACATTCATTGCCAGTTCATCACTAACTCCTATTTTTCTGTCAGCAGACACGTCCGGTCCCACAAATATTTTGCATTTAATATTATGAATAATTTTTGATTTGTTTTGAATCACATCTCTGTCTCGTCATATTTTTTAAACCTGTGTTAGCCTTTTATGGTTGGAACTCGGTACTACTCCTTGGGTGACAGTCCCTGGGTGGCGTTGTTGAGTCTGAAATTAGCCCCAATCCCACATGGTCACATAATCAAATTTATCAGCGATCATTTAGTTACAACTGTGAGCCGCATTAGTCGGCCACATATCAAGACGGTTTAACCATCAGCTGCAGGAGACCCTGCTGGCTAAAAAATACCATTGAAATTTCATGTTGCTTAGCAACACTAACACGTTAATGATTGAGTCCATGCTGAACGACTGAAATCTTGTTTGATACAGATGCTTATATGATGGCCGCGAGGGTTAGAGCGCCCCATGTATGGGGACCACGGTCCCCACAGCGGTCGCAGGCTTGAGTCCGACCCCGACCATGTGCTGCATGTCATCCCCCTTCTCTCTCTCTATCTCCCCACATTTCACCCTGTACTATCAATAAAAGGCAAAAATCACCCCAAAACACATAAAAAATAAAAAAGAGGTTCTCTCCTAAAAAGACGATTGAACAGTTTGCATATTAACAGATTGATCGAAGGAGGAGGCGTGTTGTAATGAGTACAATTCAGGAACTGTGTGACAAAACATAAAAGTTAAAGTTAGACTCAGTTTTCATCTTTCAAAACAGCAAATTTATTTGTCTTTAAAAAATAAAAAAAATCAACTAAAAAGTATTACTATGTCATTGTCACTAATAGAAACAGTACGGAAGCACTGAGTCTTTGAGCACATTTCCGCTCTTCAAGTATGTTCAACAGTTCATAGATTATTCTTCTGCAATGGGAAACCCATCAGGATAGCAAGACCCGGCTGGCCCAGAGGGCAGGGTTGCAAATCCAAAGTTAAGTACTTGATAGTATTATCCTGGTTGTGGCAGAACCAGTGTTATAGACTCCACACATCCAAAAGACACAAGTCAAGAACCCACTGTTATTTGATCCAGTGACAAGTCTGATTTCAGAGCAAAGTAGCTGCACCCCCATTCTTCAGATTCAGATGTAGCAAAGAGGAAGAGGAGGAGTTGGTCACACAAGCTGAAATTTCAAAAGACTGAATTAAAAAGAACGAAAGAGCAGACTGAAATATTCCAATGGCAAGACCAGAAGAGAGAGAACTTAGAAAAGAGAAACATAGACAACTAAATCAGCAGAACACTGTCGGCTCATTGCAGTTAAAAGAAAGTTAAAAAATCAGTTGTGTTAAAAATAGCAGTGACTTCAAAACAATACCACTTGATTCAGCTCAAAAGTAATAAAACTCTGAATTACAATTTCTTCAGTGGCGAAACAATGCAAAAGTTTTCCACATGTAAACAAATTCACTCAGAAGAGAGAAATCAAGTGTGCAGTTCTCTCCGCCCCTCCTTCAAATATGCCCCATTCATCCTTACAGTATGTGCTTGTGCCACAAATGCACCAAAGACAGCGAGTGGATACCAAACATCCAGCGTTTTTATCTTCACCCTTTCCATAATATTCTTCTCATAACATCTTTCAGGAAGTAATAAAGTGACGAACCTCTGATGTAACCCCCCTGAGTGTTTTGAGAAGAAGGAAAGATAGGACCATTGAGATTCAATTTCCCGAACGGGTCAGTGTCCTCGTTTTAAATGACAACCCCGCCCCTCTGTTCTGTGAATGTTTAAATAAGCGTTTCAAAGTCGGTCATCTGGGGTGCAAGAGAAAGCGATGGAGATATTCCGAAACGGCCTCCCAGTGCCTCCAGAGGAAGGCCAAGAGGATTACAAGAAGAAGTGTAGAAAGCGTGCGGCTGCGTGTTTTCATCAACGGGACGACACAGTTGGCCACTGTGGACACAAACACTAAGAGGACTGCCATGACAGCTAGCAGCACATTGATTAGTTTTCCAAGTAGAGTCCTTGCTGTGGCATTCTCCAAACCTTCAAGCTGCACCACCTGCTGTTGCTGCTGCTGCAGCTCCATCTTGGAGATGCGTGTTTGACATGCCTCCAGTGCCTCCTACGGGTCAGGGACAAGAGTGTTAGTGTAGTTAGTGACGAAACTCAGCAGACAAAGTCAAAACACATTTTTTTGTTATGCCTCTTACTTGAATGTCTCTCGCTCTCTCATAAGACTGATAAGCAATCTTCTCCTCCATACTGGCTAGTTCCTGTTTCAAGTTCAGTATCTCATTCTGGTGCAGTTCTGTCAAGTCATTGAGCTGTTCTTCTAAACGTTCACACCTGGAAAACAGAAAAAAAACAGCATATCATACAGGAGATATTTTAGTTTCATCTACTCATATGGACGGTCTGTGCCCAGGTCATTAGAGGATACCTGTACCGCTCCTCCTGCAGAGCCTCCATGATCATGGTATAGTCTCTCTGATAGTGGGTTTTTAAATTTTCAAAGGACTCCTCCAATCTACCCTGGTTTTCCCGGAGCTCCTGAATCTCATGAAGTATAGCATCAAAGCCGGAGGCCTGGCCGTGTTCTAAGGTGTTGCCCTTAGAGCTTGGGGGACCTCCAGGGGCTCCGGTGGTGCTGTTGGCTCCCGCAGAGCCAGATGTTGCACTAGAACAGTCATCATCACTTCCATACTTTGGGCTGGATTGGAGCTGTCCTGTTCCGAGGGTTCTCGTTCCCCCAGGAGTCACGCTTTCATCTCCCTGGGATTCATCCAGAGAGTCTTTCAGGGCTGCAATGTTGTCCGCACTGCCGAACTTGTTGCGAATGAGAGAGGCGATTTCTCTTGGCTTTGACACGACTGCACCAGCTGCAGAGTGAGTGGCTTGAGAGAAACTGGAAAGGCCACCTGTCACCTGTAAGAGGTGAGAAGGTTGTTAGTACTCTGGAGAATCAAGGCTGTATGATTTCTGGTTTGACCATTACAAACATACAGGCGTACAGCAGAATGGCAGCAATTGCAAAGTCAGATTAAAAACAAAAACTTGTTTATTTATTTATACTTGGACAGCTACACTGGGTTCAGTTCCTGTAGCACTAGGTGAGTGTGGTTTAAGTGAGTTGTATTATGTTGGTATAGATATGAAGTGGGATGGGATCCAAAAGAAAAAGATAGTGACCCGGATTAAATAAATGTTCATGTAGACAGCACCTACACCAAGGTGGGGAGTAGTTTGTGTTTCTAAGAGCCAGCTGTTGTGAGCCAAAAGGGAGCTGTTAAAAAAGCTGTTCGGAGCTAAATGGTCCTTCCTGGGGCGAATGACCTGCATTATTATAAAAAGCTGGAATTCCCGTCACCAGGAGCATCTATGGTGAGGTTGTTAACCTTATGAAGCAGAGGGATCCAAACACTTCTCCTTCAGTGTGTGATGGCTTGTAGAAGAAGGAAGAGCATACAGCCCTTCCGGGATTGAAGTAATCTGCGGATCTTTATGGATATGGTAGGTTTATATCTTTTACTGAACTTGGATCACGGGGTTGAGGCAGGAAGGGGCAGACTGTTATATTTTCAACAGGTTTTAATGTTAATGTAAATGTTACCCTCTGTTCGTTTTGAGCAGAAAATAACAGATTAACTGTGAAATGAATGTCTTTGTTGGTAAATCAATTATTGATTAGGTTACATTTTGATTAACTCTCCTCTGAACACTACTTCCTCAATGAACAGCGGACCAGTCGGCCTACAGAGAGGTTATGAGTGACAGCGATCCAGACAATCAATATGCAGAACTCTCAATTAGAAATAGGAAGATTAATTAACTCCATTGCTCGGTATTTTAATCAGCATCTCCAATGCACACCAGCATGGCAGAAATTAATGGGATTTTATTTTATCTTGGAAAATTAATTTACCCAATTATTTGATATCTAACTCTGCCAACGGAGAGGCCAATAAATACTGGCTGGTGAACTAATTTGGTTATGACCTTAAGTTTAGAAAAAGCTGCTTTACAGAAACACATACAATATAAATTACTGAAAATCAACTGACTGAAGTCTAATTTGGTAAGTATTAATGTGTAATAAGTTAAAGGGGCACCAAAACCACAACTCTATTAGTATTGATAGTGGGGCAGAGAACACAAAAATGCTCTGACCTCTTAAAATAGTGACTCTATAAAAGAGTCAAAACTCGCCGTCACCCAAAAAACACCAACTTTTTCTGATTAAAACCCTTTAAGAAATGCTGGGAGAGCAACAAAGGGAATATTGGAGGCACTAAGAACACAAACACACACACACACACACACACACACACACACACACACACACACACACACACACACACACACACACACACCTTGGCTCCTACATCCTTAAGCCCCTGGTGCATGTCTCTGAAAACATCTTTGGGCTGCCGAGGGATGCCGTTGTGCTCCACCTCTCGAAGTTTCCGGTGGTAATGCTCCAGCTTCCTCTGCAGTTGCTGGATAGTCTGAGCCGACTTTTGGTTTTTCTTCTCAAACACTTGTTTGATGCGTGCGCTCTGCTGTTTGTCTGCGTTGTTTGCCAGTTTCAGGTACTCGGCCACATTGTCATCACGTGCAGTTTGTTCAATTTTGATTTGTTCTGTGAGCTTCAGGATCTTTTGCTGTAGCTGGGCAATGGCCTGCTTTGTTCGCTGTGGGTCTGGGGTACTGTCAACTACATCATATCCATCTGCACCGTATGGGAGGGCGTTGGGCGACACAGCAGGGCCTGATCCATCATATCGATCCAGCTGTTCAAAAGAGATAAGACAATTAACAATGAGAAGAAATCTGAAGAATCATTAGAAGTCTGTCATGTCAATGCATTGAAATCACTGTTTCCTATTACTGTAAGACAAGTCATCAATTCTGCATTGTTGTGCTTACATTGGGGGTGTAATGCAAATGTAGTTAACACCTGTTTTTTCTGGATCTACACTAAGTTAGTCACTACATATTTACAACAGCAGATGGCGCCTGTAAAACCACATCTCCTTTGTGACAGTCACTTCATGGCTCCAGCTCAAGGAGTCCCAGAGGGGGAAGGCCACAGTGAGCGTTAAGAGGAACAAAAGCCTCATAATGGTCCAGCTTAACTGAGGATTTAACTGAAGTTGTGGCATTGATTTCAGTTTGAACCCTGAGGAGGTAGTTCAGTCAGGAAGCCTAGTGACTTAAAGCCATAAACAGTCATCAGAGGATTGAGGCTCAAACTGGAGCAATATGAGGACTAGAAAATATTAATTATGGGTTATCAACACAAACTGAATCATCCTCATTACCAGAGCTACCAGCTACAATTTAAAAAGTGAAAGAATTTCAGCTTATTATGATTAAAAGTACTAAATGAACAATCCTATCTTGGTGAGAATGTGCTTCGAGTTTTTGGTCAGGTAAATGTTTCCAGATCTGATTATCATGATACAGAATTATTTTTATAACAGGGTTGAAACAAAGTTTTATATTTAGCCTGATAAATCTGTCAAGTCAAATATGATGTCATGCAGCCTTGCTAGTTCACAGAGGAGCTCAGACAGAGATGTTGATGGGACAATTTCCTGTTTTTTCTCAACAAAGTTACAACATACATTTTCAACTTTACTGCATCTATCGTGCAAAAAAAAAATCAAACATCAATTCAGCAGGAACTATTTATTTTTCACCCTCTATTGTTGAAAGGACTGCCAAGCATGGTGGCAAAGACACAAAGACACAAAGACACAAAGACACGACTACTCATCCAAAGAGAGTAGTTTTACCTAAGCCAAATATAAACAAGAAATACAACAGTTCCTCATGATGAACATGAAAGGAGGGCCGAGGATCCGATCCTTCAAACTCACAGAATCTGTTTGATTAATTTGAGTCTTATCTGTTTGGTATTATCCATTAATTTATGATCACTACTGTCTCATTGTCATTCCAGAGGGTTTTCTGCCATGACACAGATTCCTTGTACACCACTTCATGACACTATTATGTATCCTCTGCTCTTGTAACCATAAGAGGTTTTAGACATACTTGTAAGATTCCTGAAAAGCTCAGTTTCACATGTATATTATCGATTACCTTAAATAATCTGTTACTTTATAAGCTTTTACTGTTTCATCTGTAGGATGTAGTAACTTTTTTCAAATATTTCCGTCAAACAAAACAATCATTCTGTCTGAGAGTGTTTAGCCCTGCAAGCCTTCTTTGACCTGAAGTACTCTCAGAGACAGCGAGGTCTAAATTTAGAAAGGCTTAAAGCACATAGTGACCAACCAGTCAAAGGCAAACTCTGACCTTCAACCGCTGACGGCTCATCTCCACATTCACCGGTTCATCCAGGCACATCCAACACCATTAACAGCCGTTTATCATGTCTGCACATTCACTTAGCTTTGATATTCTTGGACAGATATTAGCTCAAGTCTCATCAGGACTTTTCTTGTGTTTGCTTCTTTGCGAGGGCACAGTGTTTTTTAATACCTTTAAAATCTGAATGTTTTATAACCGGAGCAAAGTTTATTTGGAATCTAAATGTACAGATTGAAGTGATCTAAAATATTGTGTTTGTCAGAGACTGTGGAAAATGAGAGGCAGATTTCAATCGAGAAAAAGGTTCATGTTTTTAGGCTTTAAGTTGCTGAAGGAAGAGGTTGTCTGGGTTTGAAGAAATTTACCTTCATTGGTGTGAAATTAAAATGATAAAAATGAGTTTTTTAAAAGCCAGTGTTTGGGTTTCATGGTTATTTGGAGCAAATAGGTTTTTGAGTTTTGAAAATGTAAACACTGGATTTGAGCAGAAAATGAAGCAGTTTGCGCCAATTTTAGTCCATTTTGTACATTTTTAGTACAAAGTGAAAACAGTACCTGAACCCTCTGTAAAGACAACAATTCGAAGACTTACACAACAACAACACATACATATATACAGTATATATAAACACAATGGTTTACTGCAGGTTTAGGGTTATAACAATAGTGTGTTTTTAGATTAAACTAACAGTATTTCCTTTCATCTCTGGTTTTGTGTCCTTGGTTTTAAATGCAAGATAAGTCTGAACAGAGTGACCAGAAAGTATAGCAGTTCTCCTCCCTTGTGTGCCCTCACTCACTGACACTCAGCCACTGCCTGAGTGACCTACATCCCAAAGCTCCCAAATCTCCTCGAGTAACGCTTGTAGTAAGACTTGAATCTCTTCCTGCTCTGTGAAGAGTCTTCAGTTGCTAGATGACGGTATTTCCCCTCCATTTTTGACAGGACGGGGACACTAACCTTGTCTTGCTCTTCAGTTGAGTGGTAACCCGAGGTCAGCAGCATATCAGCTATGGCAGGGCTGCTTGGTGTGTCTGTGGTCGAGGAAGAGCGCGGGCGTCCAGCCTGAAGCAGGGCTTCATGGGTGCTGCGCCTGTGGATCTGCGGGCTCCCCTTCTGGGGAGCATCCGCAGAACCCCCCACCTTGCTGCGGCGACTCTGCAGGCTGGTGCCTCGCTTCATCATGGGTGGAGCGCCTCGGATCTGCTGTAGAACTCTGCTCAGAGCTGCGGGAGGGGCAGAAGTGGCAGAGTTGTCAGAATCCACGGGCAGGGCTGAGGCAGCAAGGGCGTCCCCCACCTCAGACCCCACTTCAGTGGGTTCGGAGGAAGGGGCGCCCACGCAGGCAGAGATGGAGTCATGTGGGGAAACTGAGGAGCGTCGGCGCTGTGGCTGGAAGAAGTGCTTCAGGCCATGGCCCAACGCTCCCATGTTCTCCAGGGCATTATGGGTGATTTTGGACAAGCCATGCTCTGACTCCGACGCCCTCCTGCCGACCTCCAGCTCCGCTCGCCCGCCCGCGTCCGGCTCTTCTGGACTCTGCTCACTACTACCCTGATCCATCTGAGACCTCCAGTTTCACAGTGAGGCTCTACTGGGGGTGCAGGGGACTAGCTACGCCCCGTCGACACCCCCCCTCTGAGAGACTGGTTGAGAGCCAGGGAGCAGAGGGGTTGGCGCTCAGTTGGGCCTTTTGAGTGGGCATGCATCTGTGGCTTGGCTCAATGTCATGCTTGTCTACCACAAAAGGAAAATAAAATGAATTATGACATGCAGCAGTGGGTGATGAACATAATAAGCAGTGGCAGAATTAAAAACAAACAACAGAAACTGGGTTGACACAGACATGATAGCTGCTGGTTTTTTTTGGACATTCTAACAGAAAAAGTTTGTTGTTCAATTTGTCTGAATATCAATTCATGATTGACAAAAGGCTGAGAGATATCAGTACGTATCCATTAAAGCTAAACTGATTATTGCATATTGGACAGTGCCAACCCAGCAATACAAAAACACAAAGTTTACAAAATTAACAACGTATAAGAACACTTTCTGAAATAGTTGAAGATCAGTTACCCTGAGAAAACTTCTGTTCTCTCTTTGCCTTATTGTATTTCTGGGCATTCCAGCAGATTTATACAAAAGAGTTCTCAACTAGTGAATTATTATATTCCAGAAAGTATTCATCACAAAATAAATAACAAACAGAACTCTGAGAGCTTCAGCATCACTAACAAAAAGAAAATTAAACTCTAAATGGACAGTTGTTGTCGTCTGCTTCTCAGAGGATTAAGATTTTTAGTGATTGACAGCAGTTCCACTTTGTGTCTCATTTTATAACAAGACTAAAATCCTGAACTGTGACCAGATCCATGTCTTTAGCTCTCAGGTGTCGGCTTATATTAAAGCCTTATGACTTTACCAACGTGTGAGGTAAGTGAGAAGGGGTGAGAGAGAGTGCCACTTACCATCAGCCCTGCTTCTCCTCCACTGATTCACAAGTCAGGAGAAGCTAAACGAAGGAGAAAAACACATTTAAAACATCGATTACATAAGGACTCTTTATGCCACATGACTGTAAACATTAAAACATGACATAAGCTTAACTGCTTTGGGGCGGAGTATTACAAACACCCTTTTATTCTCATTACCCACTTGACTACTTGGGCAGTGAGTCAATAAGATTTTCTTGCAGTAAGTCCAGTAATATGCCACAACAGAATACAGTCAAACAACAGACAGTAATCCTGTCTTTGTCATTCCTATGAATGAGTCACCTTTTTCTTGTCCATCTGTGCTCAGAGAGGAATTCTACCTCTTCTGGTTGCAATCCTTATTGTTGTTCCTTGTTTGTCGTAAGTTTCATTTGTTTGTTTGTTTGTTTTTATTTTGTAGGGGTTTTACGGATGTGTACTGAAGGTCTAAAGAGATAAGGTATCACACACTGCACATTACTGTCATATTTGCGAGGCCAACAGTGAGCTGAGACTTGAAAAATGCAGCAGTATCTACCGGTCAGATTCTGGACTGAAACACCCCCTTGTTCACCTCTCCCATCAAGACAAGAAGCTCCAGTGCTGCATGATAACTACAACTCTTCATACTCCACAACGACAACACTCTCTTCTTTGGTTTCATCTTCCAACCGATGCATTTTCGGCAACGACTTACCAAAAACAAAGATGCACAAGGCCCTTGCTCACTTGTCTGTGTTACAACTATGTTTCATGGCAGTGGAAGATAGCGGCTTCCACTAAAGAAGACCTTCCCCAATATAGACACACTGTCAAAGGCTAATTCTTTGTTTACAAAAACTGATCAGCTGCTATGATGCACCATCCCTCAAACAGGCCATGCAGTATCAGAAAGACCATGGAGGTCCAGTAATCCAAGGAGAAGCTGTTGCCGCAGCAACCAGATTCACTACTGAGGTAGGATGGGGAGGGAATTTCTCTTGGAATTTAGGCTAGTCCGTTTTTCAGGTGATAACATCTTTCTGCCTCCGATTCTGTTCCTTCGCTAAGTTTCAGGGCTAAATTCAAGCTGATTAATTAAAAAATAAATACACGTTTATTGAAATGGCCAAGCACTCTTTATGGTATTATTTTTATTAATAAAAAAACACCATATACAAATATAGAGTTGTTTTATATTGAGGAGATAAAAATGTGAACATCCTGAATATTTCATTTCTTCTCCAACAAGTCTGTTCTGCTAAATGCTGCCTATCACTGCACACTGTACCTTTATACATGTGGACATGATCAGGTTTACACAACTGTTTACATACAAAAATGAACACTGACAAAAGTGATCATCTTCATCAAATTCTTCCCTCATCTGTGAAAACTCAGTTCTGAACTCCAAGGACCTCATCTGACCCCGTATGCTCCAGTCAAAGGGAATTAAAACCTAAACGTTCGTTCTCTCCACTCCCTGATTTGTTTGGCAATATAAGCTCTTAATTACATGTTATCATATTAAACCAGAGTTTTCTCTATTACTATGCATTACACATACACTGAACATCCAGACAGGACCTTTTACAACATAGAGAGAAGTGTATTCATGCACAACATACTCCAAGCCTGAAGTGATGGGTCTGAGTATGCAGCGCATAGATTATTTTGCAGACAAACAGAAAATGATTCCACGAGTCAGCAGAGCTATGAAGTATCACTTAACAAGCCAGCAGCACAATCTCGCTGCAAAAACCCTCTGAAATGCTCCATTAGTGCTACACTGTGACTCATTACTGCTGCTCCTGCTGTTAGATCTGCACTGTTGGATGAGAGAGCACGTTGTTAAAGGGTAGGTGGTAGTGAGAATAGTATGAAAATGGAAAGAGAATCCTACCCGAGCTCAAAGACAGACTGTTTCATGTTTGAATTTTATTAGATTACTTAGAGAACTTAATCATTGTACTCACTATACAAGACAAACAGTAATGTCTATCAGTTATCATCACGTCACCTCCTTCCTTCTGTAAGGGATTCACTTTTAAAATAAGCAGACTACTGTGAAGTATTGCGAGTGATAAATGTGCATTACTTGCCTGCTGAGTTCCTAATCTTTCCTCTGCCAACTATTATATGTCGTCATGTAACTGTGTATCCCAGTGGTTTAACACTGAAAACCTGCTGCTTTCAACTTTATATTAAAAATTCTTCACTGACATGGACCTATATCCTTCATCTACACAGAAAATACAGTTGCATGAGCCTCCTTCAGGCTAAGGGTAAAGTGTTCCCTCTGAAATGGGTCAGCCAACATTCGCCTATCACTCTGTGTTCACGCGGTGATCCAAGGTCACATCATCTACAGAGTGTTGTACGTATCTGGAAGCATTTGAGCCTTAAAAAAATACCAGAAACAACAAAAAAGGCAAATTTGGATCTGTCTGAAATCAGTGTTACCTTGTCTACATCTACTGCTTTAGATCAGCACTTTGTTTCAGACTTGAATTACAAAATAAGACACTGAATTTGGTGTTTAATATGAATATCAAAATTTTTAATCCTTTTTTCTATCCTCTCTTTTTCTATTGCTGGGCATAATTTTATAGCTGCACTTACCATGGAGACCATGTGTCTTTGAAATTAACATGCCTTAAGTGTTGTAAAGTGTAAGAATTAATGATAATTTTCAGTCAGAATAGTTACAGTCATAACACAGAGATACACGACTAAGCCAAAGCCCAAGTAGATGTACAAACTCACCTTCAGATGTGGTCATCAGCAGATGATCTGTAGACTTATTTCCACAAAAAAAGACCTCAGTCCAGGCAAATTTCAGGCTCTGTGTCCCCTGGGTAATTTTTTGGGAATGGAACTGGGAAAGGATAGCTGTCGATTTTTAGTAGGCTGGTGCCATGGACATTTAGAAAAATCACATGCTGCAAAGTAAAACAAACAGAGATAAGAGCATGAGAAACACGTTGTTGTGATGGCTATTCTGACATCTTTTAGTTGGCATCAGATACACAAATGATGCTTTTGACTGAACCCAGGTGAACCTCATAGAAAACCACTGTTATGATATGGTGGTCTCTGCACCGAGGCAGGCAAATAATAAAACTTCTAATGGCTACAAGTGTTTCTATACAAACACACACAAACACACAAACACAGACAGGAGGGGAAACAGGACAGCAATTTATATCAAGCTGTCGGATATTTAGACCGAACCAAAGATTTTGTTTTTTACTGCAGATCAGAGTTATCATACCTTACACAAGGTTCAAACTTAACTAAATGAATCCAGCGTCTCATTCTGTGTCCTTAAATCAATGTGTAAAGGACCTTGAATTGCCCATTTGCTAAAAGAAGCCACTTAACTTCCCTGACAAGTCAGAATCTGACAGATAAAGTCAATCAGTCCACATAAATAATACATTCTACATGATTCTGAATAACATTATTTTGTGATTTCAGCTCCTAAACCAACACAGTTTTAGATCAGAGAGGTTTCATGTTTTCTCTTTCATGCTCTAAATGTCTTTGCAGTCGGTGGGAAACAAAGTCTGGCTCAAAACACTGGGGGGGGGGGGGGCTTTATCTTGTGATGTTATAGTTGGCTCTTTTTGCATGACTTCAGAGTAAGTGGGGATAAAGCTGGACAGAAACAGAACCAGTATGCGTACTCAGACTGTACCTGAAATGAAGACGATGGAAATAAAAGGAAAAGACCATTGAAGAGTGTGGCTTCATTAAAGAGAGAGGAAAATGAAAGCATGTGTTTTAATTTGGTGGAGCACAGGCCTCCACGGGCTTTTAAATTAATTACTGTGTAATGTTAATTAACGTGCCAAAAAGCTCCCTTCAGGGTATCTGCAGGACATAAACTATTCCTCTCTTTGTAAAAATGTTCAGAATGACAATCACTTAAGAACAGATGTATAAACAGCACATGAGTGTATATAATTGTTATCTGCATGAATAGACCGGTGCAGTCATTCGATGAGATCATCACATAGTCTTCAGTCATCTACCACTGTAATCATTCACATTTTCATTTACATTAAACTACAACGTGGAACAAACGGCCCAAAAACACTCACTTACATTTGAGGGTTGAACTCCAAATACGCATTTTAGGTGTAATACTTCATTTACTCATTGGGTAACAGGTGCATTCAGTGTTGTTACATGTGGCCGTTTCATTTTACGTTGTGTAACTATGTTTTCTATTGTTACTACTTCAGATAATACTTCGAAATTGAAACGTGTGAAGTTATCGGTTACAAAAATAAACACATCTCCAAGGTTGTTGTTTATAAGTTAGAGCAAAGTCTACAGATAACCCACCGGTTTAACGTTAGCTTAAGATAAGCAGAGGCTCGACTAGCAGGAGGCTAACCAACCATCGTAGGCCAGGCGTTTAACAAACTCCACCGTGGGTATTAATTCATAAAACGTCAACGAAGGCGATGGTTCTGTTAAGAAAATGTGCCAACCGTGGATGTACAAAAGGTGTTCATACATCGTTGCCTCCTATCTGATGGGTTGTCTGCTTCTCTCGTGGCTAGCAGTTTAGCAACCGTGTTTGTACCGGAGGGTGTTGGCTTTACTTCACAGCGCACACCGGTGAAGCTGTGCGGAGCGAGGACATTGCACTGTAGCGCTCTATCTGTCGACACCTTTGAGACTATGATAAGGCATCATTACAGTTTCAACATGGTTCACATATGTAAGCCCAGACAGATGGCATCAAATGTTCCCAAGTTTGATTACCCGCCCCTCTGGTTCACCTGAGCTGAAACTGAAGAAGCAGCAGGCTATCGTTATTTTCTACATGCTGTGAATGCTGCTAGGCTCAGGGACAGGGGGTTACTTTAATCTGATTACCACAAATTAGATCTCATCACTGCTATAGCGACTAATAAATCAGACTGCTCATGTGCCAATCATCTCATTCACATTACGAATTTTAATGAGTAGAACAGATGATAGCCTAGTTTTAAAACGAACAAAAAAATTCAACAATCAGATTTCCCCTGTATTTTGCTTACCCACCAATCATCTATGTACAGTTAATAAACTGGACTCAACAATGGAAGCTTCTAGCAACAATCTAAAATCAAGCTGCGATAAAGTACATATTGACAAACCAAAATCTAACATTTGTATAAATAGGGGACCCTTAACAAAAAGGGTGGGAGAAAAAACTGATTCACGTAACTATCAGGATTTTTAGTTTTACAATTTTTTAATCGATTTTTATTATTTTAAGAATAAAAGGTCCTTTCACACCAGGACAGTTTTTGTTGTGCAATTATTTCGGACCTCAATATATATTTTTTCGAACCCTGTTAATACAAGCGTTCACATGAGCAACATTTTCCCGTCCTGCGATATTGCGGCATTTATTTTTTCGAATCATGGTCGATTTTTCTAAAGTTTCACATACTGTGTGTCCACTTCTGACCAATCAGATTACGTGTTGTTGCAACATCAGATTCACTGGTATATCCAACATGGCTGACCGGCTGATGTTTACGTGTCGGAGAACAGAGTGCTTTTTGATAAAAAACACAAACATTACAAAGATAACGACCTGAAGGACAACTTGTAGAGAGTCATAGTGTCGGATCACTCATATGACAATGGTTTGTGTGCTTTAACAGTTTGATAAACGCCTTTGTTTTAACTTTCATCTGTGCTAACGTAAGCTAACGGTTGTTACCATAATTTCTTGTGCTTATCTTATCGCCTCTGATTGGCTATAAGTGCTGACCGTTTGGCTTGGCGTGTTCTATATTCCCGTCGGCCCCGGTGTGTAAGGACATTAAATCTTAAAAACCGACCTACATGTGGTGTGTACTTTTTGGGGGAAATATGGTTCCTGGAATAGTCAGTAGACAATCATAATCATTCAACAGTTTCACTACTGTTAAAAATGCAGACTAAAAATCGAGAAAATTCAGAATATCGTAGAATCGCAGTTTGAATTGAACCGGCATCCAAAAAAATCGTAGACGAATCGAATCGGGAGAAAATCATATCGTCCCAGCCCTACGAAACAATCATGATTAAATTAGCTGTATCGGCATGAACCACTAATTAAACTTGATTTCACAGCCTTGCAGCGGCGCACCGTCCAACTGTCATCACCACAGTAAAAAAAGGCCCTCAAAGGAGTGAAAGGCTCAAACAGACAGGATGAATTCAGATTGAAGGTATCTGGTAGCCATCTGTCACAAACTCCCACTAGGCTTCCTTAATCACACCTCAGAGTCTTGTATTTCATGGTGGCGTGTTTGGTTGAACAGCTCGCTGAGTGCAGGTTTGCATTAGCTTTAACCCTCTTATTTGCAATAGCTATAACAACCAGCGCTGAACTTCACTGAGGACAAAGTCAAAGCTGTTAGCTGGATCAGTTTGTTTAGCATATCCTGCTGGAAGAAGCGCTCTCAAAATGTCACTGAATCCGGCCTGGGTGTTGTCCCTAAAGTGTAACCTCTGCATTTGTATCGGTAGCACAAGAACAAAATCGCTTTTCGTGATAACTGATATGTAAACACGCTCATCATCGCCCACCCAGATCATCCCGGGTGGTAAAACAGGCGCTTACTCGCCGCCTGTGCTACTCCGCCTGTCAGTTAGCAGGCTGGCTAGACTGTAGCTAGAAAAACAAGGTTCCAGCCTCTGCCATGGTTAGCTATAGGCGGACAGGGCACATCGCTTAGCGGCAGCTACGATAGCATAAACAACCTGAATCAACCTAAGACATGATACGAATCAGATAACAGCGCACGGAAACACAGTTCATTCACACACCGCTCCGTAAAATGTCTTTTTATACTGACTTCAACTTACATGGGCGCTGAGAGGATTGTGTTGATGACCATTCATTTCTCCCGATAGTGGAACACTCCCACGTTGACGTCAAATAGCGTGCTCGACGTCAGAACAGCTGAGTACCGGAGGCAACGAGCCATCCCGTCTGAGCCGTGCAGGTGATCCGGTTAAAAAGGTTTAGGAGGCTGCTGCTTTTTGTCTTTTTTATACAAGATATACTTGATTGCATAAAAGTAATTATGATTCTGAATATTATAACACTGATTATTATCGTAATATGCAAGTATGTCTAATAAGTAACCAATTAATGTTGAGCAGATATCTTTGTGTACAATATGTCGGTATTTATACAGATATTTGTAATTTATACAAATTGATTTTTTTTTTATGTCTAATTTGCAAGGAAGGGATAGGATTAGATAAGCTTCTTGCTTCATTTTATTCCTTCTCAAACTGTTTATTTTGACATATGTTGTGTAAATTTATCTTTGACATAGGAGACCACTGTTTTTGGCATGCTATATTATCAAGACAGTTATGTTTACACTCATTCTGTTGGTTTGAAGGGATGCACAACATCTTAAAATATATGCAGATACACTAGTTAGAGACAAAACTATGATTGACTTGATGTAGTGATCTGAAATATGAAAAATGTCTCATCTTACCCCACCCTCCCCTGCTCTATGTTTCTTTTTACTGTGTTTTTTGTAGACCTTTAAATTAAATAATAATCCGATGGGATAAACGTTTGTTTTACTTCTAAAAAAATAAACTGAAAATGGCATCTATTGTATTGAATCACCCTTTCAATATTCTAGATGATAATACATTTATTTACACAAAAATCAAACTGGATGATGATCCACCCATGACCTTGGTTTGTGGAATCCAGACATGAACCATCATAAATTAAACTTCAATTTACAGCCATTACCTCAAACAGCAATCAATTAATTTAGTAGACAGCTGAGTAGCAAACTTTGAGTTTAATTTTATTTAAATTTTACTGTATGCAACAGAAACTAAAGTTGCCTGCTCTGTGACACATCGCTTTTATCCATTTCTTTCTAAAAAACAAAAATGAGGGAGGATATTTTGAACGATTTTTCTCATCTTTGAAGTTAGACAGACACATGTGGGAAAGGCACATTTGGGAACCGCCTGTAGAACCTCTGTCAGTTTCTTACTGCCACCAGTTTGCCTTGATGACAAACAAAATGAGGGCAGGGCACAATAATCAGGCTGACATTCACCCGATTGAACTGGGTTTGAGCTGGGGGATCAGGAAATACCGGAACGGGAGCCTATTGAAGAACAGAATAGGCTGGTACATAGGGTGTTGGTAATGAAATGGCTTTGGGGCAGCAGGCTTTAGGATGGAAGATGTGTTGCTTGTTGAAGTAGTTATGGGTGCAGGAGTTTGTGGGTATTCAAGAGGAGGGTTCATTGTGATCTGGTCAGTCTGAGGATACAAGTATACTGTGGAGTATTGAGGAAACTAAAGGGACTCATGTGGCCTGAGTGAAGGGTACAGAGCTGCAAGTGCTTTTTGGTTTTCAGAATTACTCTCAGTATCAGCTCCGTACAAGTAATGTGCACATACTGGTGCCAAATTTACCTGTGGTGGAGACTAGAGTCTACATTGGATGAGTGGCACCAGGAAACACCGGCCACTAAGTAAATATTTGGATCAGAGGACACTGGGAGGGAATGAGGATACTACAGGATGTAGTTGTTATTGTGGTAGACTTGTCATGTCTGGCAACAGGGTGCGTGACTCAACATCTGCCAGAAGAGTAAATACCCATTACCCTACAAGGAAACAAACTGAGAAAGTCCCATTCACTGCGACTTCTATTTGTAACCACAAGAGGGCCCACCATACCATAGCTCTCTCTATAGTCCTCTGTTATAGGGTCTGGTTAAGCACCAGTTCTCATAAAAATACCTCCACAGCAAATCCACAACTGCTGAAGGCTGCTGTACAGTCTAGGTCCTACATCAGTTTAATATATTAGATACGAAAATTAACTTACTCTTTTCTTTTGAGCTAACAGATGGAAAAATAGGTTACATCACTTTCGCTTGACAGAGGCTAATTTACTGCAAAACCACCACTCTTCACCACCATCGCATGTAGCAGGAATAATACATCAGTTTAACTATGCAAAGCAGCCGAAATGATCAATCATACCCACAGCACTGGGCAGTTCCTTCAGTGGCAGGCTTCTTCACCCTCAGTGTGTGACAGAGAGATACTGCAGGTCCTTCCTGCAGTTTAACTGTTTAGTCAGACTGTTTATCCAAGCCTGCTCCCAGTAGTCAAGGTTTTTTTAGCACAACTAATAGACCATAACTCAGTGTTACCTCTATGTGCAATATTGACTGGCCAGATATTTAATATAATTGCAAATACCTACATTCCAGAACCCGGAGGAGCAACAAAGTCTGCTCTTTCTTAATTTTCTGTAAATTTAGTTTTTTTTTTCCATGTTATGTTGTGTTTTGTCGACTGCTGATGGATGTTTCTGCTTGGAGAAGAGTTTGTTCAGGAGATGAGCTTCTCTCATTATGACAGTGCGGGTGTGACGACGTCAAATAGTGGCAGACATCTGAAGGTGTTTTTTGTGGTTAACGTGCTGGTGTGAGACGGCATTTGGTGGGAGATGTTAAGTTAATTGGTTGTAAAATATCAGAATTAAATCATTATGTACAAATATTATAGGAGTAATCCCAGATTTAATGGTGTAGTTTTGTTATTGCCAATACCAGCAGTCATAAATTGATCAATGTTGCCTAAACAATGAGCAAATCACAGGCCAGTTTATTAGGAACACTTATTCTCTTTCTCAAGTTCAACAAAAGTTTATCCAGAAAAAAACTCACAACTGTAACAATGATTTATTTGAAATTTTTGAATGTTACTCAGTGTTATAGCCAACACTTATCAATCATCTTCATTTACAAGCAATGCCATGACCACATCAATGTTATTTTAATTATTTAAGAACATAACAGCATTATTTATTATCAAGGATAATCTATAGACATAAGTAACTTCAGTGACGTAATGAAGTCAAACAAAAAAACTGCCTCAGACAGTAACTCTAAGCTTATTGATTAAAAGCAGTTTATTCAACATTAGCAAAAATAGAAACACAATTCAACTTGATTATTATGAGACCCTCACTGTATTCACTGGGAATAAGTTTAAAGAGTTATGAAAATATATTATAAAATATATTAAAGAGTAATGAAAAAAGGTTGTCTAAAAATTGGCCTCATCCAAAATATTGAGATAAAATTGTGATATCATGTCATATTTGTAAAATGGAAAAACAGCTAATACTAGCTGTGGCCATGTTCAGCAGGGGGATTTCAGTCCATTTGTTCTCTATGTTGATGTAGCAGCCATCTTCCTCTGATATCATGGTAATGATATAATGGTAATTATCCCAAAGAGGAGACTTTGCTACAAATCATTATCATTTCAACACCGAGAAATTGATCAACAGCCAAAACTCAGTGACAACCTGGAGGGACATTGAGCATTACTTCAAGTTAAAAGTAACACATTATATATTTAGCTAGCAAGTCAAACTGCTGCTTGTCAATATTATGTTACTGTTGAAAAGGCTACCAGGCCAAAACTACTCTGTCCTGTTATTTTAGAATTAACACTGCCTTCAAATCAAACTCATACAGTCATGAAGTCATGTCGTGACATGGTGTAAACTACAGACTTGGTGTTCAGGTGGTAAATGAATTGGGAATAGAATCACTAAGAAACAATTCTTCAATGTTTTCTATGTGAAAGTGCTTATATTAGTTAATCTCTGAAACAACACAAAGAAAAACAAACGTGAACAATTAAATGAATGATCTTGATTTACATTCACCATAGCCTCTTTGGTCCCACATGTGGCTAGCATTAATCAAACAGGCTTCAGCTGACATCAGCTAGTTTAAGTCCTCTGACTTCAGACCCTGTCAGTAATCACATATTGTATTTGTGGGTTCATGGGCTCTGCCTTTTCTAAAAATATCAGCATACAAAAACGGATTTATAAACAAAACTATAGCAAGAAATTGCCTGAGGGTACCAAAAACTGAGTTACAGCTGATTTCTATCTGCCTCATCTGTGTCGGCTGCAATGTTGGATGGCATTTAGTCAAGGACATTTAGTATACTGACATTTTCTGTGGTCAATAAGGTAGCTAACAGGTTACCAAACATGTTGTTTCTTGAAGATATTCCCGTTTCCCTTTAAAAAGTTGCTGATTTTTGCCTTTTCAGTTATTGATCATGTTAGAAACATTACAACTCGTCAAATTCTCCGTGATACACCAATACGTCTGCTAAGTGACTGTGTTGTGTGGGATTGTTACGTTTCACAGAGGGTAGAAAATTGACCGAAATAAATGAAGAGACAATTTAAAGGTCTGTCACGTCATCATCTGACCAGTCTTGTAGATACATCCCAGATGAATTTAATTCTTCTATCCATTGTGCGGGAGCTTGAAACCACACACCACTGTTACAATAACCAGCAGCACAAGGCGGCTGTGCCGGCTCCTTTAACTCTGTGTCCATGGTCCAGCGGTAGCCACTGCAATCTGTAGAGAATGTTGTAGCACCAACATCTCTGCCCACAGTCTCAGTCCAAGAGGGGGGTTGAGGTGTGAAAAGACCTCTGTCCACAAGCTGCCCGTCATGTCGAGTGTCGTCACTGTTGCATCCAAAGTTAACGTTAGAAACGTCAAACTCTATTAGTGAGAGAATACAATCACGTTCATTTACTTGTTTCTGCCACAGAAGAGCAGCCTGGGAGTCATAGGCACTATTATTGCATCCAGGATCTGGCTTGTATTCTGCTTTAATAGTGGATAGTGGATCATCGTACGGACACATGGCTTTGTCGTTAAAACCTGCTCTCGACAGGTTATACTTTGTCCAGTTGCTCGGTATGAGGTCTTCCCAGGATTTCTCAGGCTTTTTAAATGTTCCATTATGTATGTGAACCAAGAAACTACTCAATAAGTTGTTTTGGTCCATTGTTTTGGAAGGTTTGCTTGTAAATTGTCCTGAATCACCCCTTGATTGAACCATAGAGGGTGTCCAGAAGATCCAGGATCCCAGGACAAGCAAAGAAAACCCCCAGGACACCTCAAAGATTCTGGCCCAAAACTGGCTGAGCCACCAGCCCCAGCTGAAGCGCCTCCAGTTCCCCAAAAGCCCATAAAGCCAAAGGAGACTATACATCTGAAGGCTGCAGCAGAGAACCCCGAGTAAGGCGCACACTGCTGTAACTCGCTTTGCCCGTCTCTCAATCCTCTGTGAAGGAACCCACTGAGGGACAGAGGACCTGAGGAAGGAATGTAGACGAGAAAATGACTTAACGAGGATTACCGTGCAGAATGGAAGGCCCCAGCAGAGGGAGAAGGTCTGGAGCAACAGCGGAAGAGCCGGTGACAACGTTGGAGAGAAAAGGTCTGCGAGAAATAATGAAGTGCATACTGATATAGCCAGCACTCCAACCACCCATGGATGCTGCTGCAGGTTTAATGGAAAAAGCATCAGATTCAACCCTCTGAGTGTGACCAGAGCCAGGGCTACCTGTGCCCACAACAGGAGCTGAAGAGGAGCATTATGCAGTGCTGCCAGAGTAGCTCGAGACAGGACCTGACAAGTACCATAAGGGTCTAGTAGAAGGAGGACAGCGCGTAGAGTCCCACTCAGGATCAGGAGACAGTTTGCAGAGATCAAGGCGTCACAAAAGGGACGAGGGCGAGTGCACGCACCAGCCATTCCCACTACCGCCAATCCTGCAATTAACATGAAAAGACTTGCTGATCCAAAGACATGTAGCTCCCAAGCAAATGCCAGTGTACGCCTCATATCATCCCAGAGCAGATTGGTGCCATTTAAGCTCGTGGAAACAACACAACGACCAAGCACACAAGAAACTCTTGGTCCTGAGAAATCCGGTTTGGTCAGAGATGTGAACACGTTGTTTTGGAGCGGGTGATCAGGGCTGTTGAAAGCTGAAAATGAGAGACAGGAAGAGAGAGAGAAACTCTTAATGTCTAATGCAAGAGACTGAGCAAAGATCTTAGGGACTAATGATGTTATGAATGTATGACTTGACCTCAATCTGCTGTAAAATCTTGACTTACCATGCAGAAAGTCTTCATTTACTCTGGATGAGTGTCTCTGTCTCCACTGTTCTTCAGCTGTAAACCGGCGGCCTCCAAAGTGAGCCTCATCTGAGATAAAATGCTCTCTGGAATGAGCATATCCTGTAATTGTAGCACTACTCTTGTCAGCTCGGGGGTCATGAGGTCCTGAGGGATAAAGACTAAATGTTGTTGCTTTAGTTGATAAGATTTCTGGTGCGGATGGGTTTGCTTTTCTGGCTTGTTCAGACCCCCCGTGGAGGATGTCTTGACTGATGAGCTTCAATGCTGTGCCATCACCAGTATGTCCACTGCTTTCTTCAGAGTTCCCGTCGCTTTCTGAATGGTAGACAACTTCACTGGCTGAGATTTCCAGGTCCTCATTGCCTCCGTCTTTGCTCAGGAAACGAGCAGATTTTTCCAGTGAATGTGAATCTTGAATAATGCTTCCAAGTGTTGAGAGCGATACTGTAAGCACGATCAGGAGCGGAGATAAATGCTGCATTGTTGCTGAATATTTTCAAGACCTGTGAAAGACCACGGAAAAGGAACGGTTAAAACGTGAGAACAATGATTGTGTGCGAGCTGATAGTAGACAGACTTTAGAGGTAAGGAGTCAAACAGATTTCCAGATAATTAATCTTGTGTGCCAATCCTATCAAGGAGGGTTATTCCCATGAGTAATCTAGTGAGCCACTTTACAGCGTCTATGGATGATAAATTGTCCCGCCAGAAATACAAAGCATTGAAACAGAAACGTGAATGTTTAATGTGAATCAGCCTAATGTGTGCAACCATTATAACAACACAGTATAGTGTTTTTAGAAAAGGACTATTCTGCTCTAAATTATTCAAAGAAACAAAAGAGCGCAAGTTTAACACACAACACTTTTATTTTCAAAATGGTGTGACATTTTTTTTAATACATTACATTATTCTTAAAATGCAACCTCAGGAAAGTAAAGTTGACAAATTAGTATTTTTCTTTTCGGATTTTTAAAAACTCACATATTAACTCAACTTTATGTTTTACAGTCTAAGAAAAAGCTGCATTCTATTAATATGGAACATTTGAAAAGATTTACATGCAATATGAAGAAGACTGAAGAAGAGCATCCAATCTCAACTGACAGCAGTTTTTAAACATTACAAAGTAATACGACATTGTCAATGCTACTGCTTCTACAGTTTTAGTCAAAAACAGTTCAACTAATTAATCACAACAGATAACTCAAATGTACCTGCTAATCCTTTTATTGCTTCGCTTCCTTTTAGTGCATCATGGGCAGCCCTCCATTTTCTGTGGCTGCAAAACGCGTGTGCCATCTGATTTCTGATGTTGTGCATAAAGAGCATTACGGTAAGTGCACACATTGGATTTACGGGCATGTTTACAGGCATCTAGCCTTTAAGCATATGTCTTATTCCTATTACAGCACCGGCTGGTTACTTGGCAGCCTCCTTCCTGAGGTCACCTGCAAAATAAAAAAATATATATATAAACACTTCCAGTAGCTAGTTTTTTTTTTCTTTTAAACAGGTCAAGAAAAGGACCTTGCGGACCACAATCTTTGCATGGTTACATTTAAAGATTATAAAATCAAAAGTTATTTTAATGATAGCCAACAAAACTCACCTGCATCCTTTAACAACACTTGTGTCAAGGTAAATCCCCTCTCAAAGGGATTACTTTAAGATTCTTAGAGTAGCACAATGTCACGTGAAGTCATAATGAGACGCCAACTAGACTAGACTGGAGTATGCTGGTGTTTGTGCCAACAAACAGGATCATTAGTTTACAAACTCTGCAATAAGAGCCAAACAGTAAAATAATAATGCAAGCTTAGTAGATCTATTATTTTTTAATAATCAGATTTGATCTTATTTTCAGAATTTACATAGAACCATACATCATTTTGATTCAAATTAAAGAAATATGTGTCCTTGTATTTATACAAAAAGTATTTTTTTATCATTATCTCAGTCTGGGACCCCCTAAACCACCGTCTCCCCTCCATATAGTTTCACTCAGACCTTTAGGCAAGTAATCCATAAGGTGCCGCCATGTGTCCATAAAGATATCATCATTCCCTTTTAATTTGGCACTTAGCCTTTCCATCGGTAAAATTCTAAAAATGTCTTTGTACCACTGAGTCACAGTGGGACGTTCGTTGCTAGTCCAATTAAATAGTACACATTTTCTGGCCAAAAATGAGAGTTTATTAATTAATGTTGATCTTCTCACATCCATAACTCTATTTGTAAGTCAAAGCCTGAAATAAAAAAATCCAATCAGGTTTGACTTTTAATCTTGAAATGCAAAATTGAAAACATGAAATAAACCACCAAATATTTTTTCCCCACATTCTTGACTCTTTATCAAATCTTCCTTACTCTTTAATTTCCCAGATTTCTGTGGTTTATTAAGGACATTTTAAATGATGGTGCTAAAGTTTACATTATTGTACTGGAGGAAATCTGCAGACTTCATAGTGATGGGCCAATAATAATACAAATATGATATGATCTTGTGGGCCAGATTTGTCCCCCGGTCCTTAAGTTTGACACCTGTGCTGTAGATTATTATAAAAGTAGACCCATTATTCTAAAATTGTTTGATGTTTTCTTAATCCATATCCAAAAATATGTTTCATAAAAATATGAAAATGCATTTTTATACATCTACTGCAAACACTCCCACCAGAAAGTCATTGCAGAATCACAGACAGTGTGCAGTCAGTGTGGGAATTAACTCTTTCCTATCCAGTGTGAAATGGACACAGCCTATTCACACAGTGCATCTGTGGTGGTCTACCTTAAGAAGGGCAAGAGGCAGTTTGTTGTGGGGAGAACAGGGGGAGGCTCTCAGTAGCACATGCCTGGCTCTTTAAGGCAGACTGGGGAAGTTAAAAAATATTAAAGGTACATACATTCAAATTTATAACGAAGCTTTAACACATAATGCTGCTTGATACTTGAGTCTGGTGTCACTTTATGAGCGTGTCAGTGACTGTGTTTATATTAACTTTGGGGAGACCTGTGCTGCAGTGGACCCTGAAAGTGTGGGAAGTATAAAAATAAATTAGTTAGAAATTCAACAACATGGCTTTTTATTTCCGAATGGAAGTGAGTCTCATAAGGCTAGATGATAACAACGTTTAGGGAGAAAACTGTATGAAAGTTAAAGTAGTCTACTCAATGTCTCCCAGTTGGTTCCAACAATATATGGGAATGCATATTTGCATAGGTCTACGTTAATTCTCTACATTTCTGTCCAAAATGGTGCCGAAAACAGTGGCTTATACACCATTTCATGCGTAAATTCAGTGCAGATTCCAGTAATCTAGTTTTTATCTTAACATTTTATATACAGTATCATAACAGTGCACTGTACAGAGCATGCCTCAGCGTGTATGTCTTATCCGCATACCATTACAGCTGTATAGAGTCGTATGATAACGCAAGTTTAGGTGTGTGGATGGGATCTTTTGTGAGGAGGGCCGGTGAACCTCACACAGAGATCAGCAGCAGTCTGTGGAGGAATCGCGCTGTTTTCGTGGCCTGTACTTCCGTCATTTTACATCTTACTGGATAAACATAGTGGGGGGGATTTTTGTGGGTTGCTCGTATGTAGTGAGCCCAGTTTGAATGAGCGGTTGTGTGTTTGTTCCTGAAGCTGGTAAACTAGTTTTCGAGCGGAGAGCTGCTGCTGCTGCTGGATCTCACCCTTCTGAAATAAGCAGACGTCAGACCTCGCCCGCCCGCCGCTGTGTTAACATTTTAACGCAATCTAATCACCGTATAGTTTGCGGGTCCAGACTGCTGCGCTCAGTATGTAGCAGAATTAACGGCATCCTGTTGGTAGCTGTTAGACGATTATCGGCTTTTTTAGTTTTAAACACCGTGCCTTGGCGGAAAGGAGAGGATTCGTTTTATTTAAGGTAGCATGACAGGATCCAGCTCCGTCGAGCTAACTAGCTAACCGGCTAACGTTAGCGCAATGCTTAGCTAGCTTTGTGTTATTGCAATGGAGAGAGTTAGTAATTTTTTGCAACGTGTAAAAACTATGCATTTTTTGACATGACACTGGAAGTAAGCTGTGTTTGAAATGTGTAAAGTTTGTGAGATAGCTAACTGCCTGTATGGGCTATGACAACATAGACCAATGCTAACATTAGCATGCTAACAGCAGCTTTATCGTACACACTATTGTTAGACAGCCGGGAAAATGGTAATAAAAAACACAATATAAAGACTCATAGAATATTTATAACATCTTACCTTGAAAGGAACTCAGTGTATGTATAAGAGGCAAGCCATAGAGTACAGCTTTGTAAATTGGAGGCTAGCTCAGTCATTGTATTACTATTAATCAAATACACTGTGTTGAATTTCCTCTTCTACTCTTATGTTTTCAAAGCAAACATTTTTAATGCTACTAAATCTTTTTATTTGGCGCTTTTGTAGCCATAGTTGCAAAGGCCAACCAGTGAGATAGTAGTATAGATTTTAATTTACATTTCCAGCTGTTAACGACCTGAAATGTTCATGTTTCTTGATGTTTCACAGGTTTAATAACGATGAATGAGCAGGAGAGTGGAGTGGTCTCCTTTGATGAGTATGTGCGACAGAAGGCCCGCACTGTTCCTCAGCACAGGATGAAGGAGTTCCTGGAGTCTCTTGCCAAGGGCCCAGAGGTGCTGCAGGAGTTCAGCCAGCAGGGAGGTGCGGCCACCACCACAACCACCACCACAGCTATGGTGTACCAGCATCAGGGTGCCAACTGTATCTACACAGACAGCACAGAGGTGGCAGGCTCCCTGTTGGAGCTGGCTTGTCCGGTAACTATAATTTCATGTTTTTGTTATAGCATTTAAAGGGATATTCTGGTGTAAAATTAATTTAGGGTCAAACACAGCGTAACTCCAAGTTAGACACCCGAAAGATCAATGTTGCAGACCGCTTGCAACACAGAAAGCCACGCGCTCAACCAAAAAGCCACTCTATAGCCACAAATAATGCTCAGAACAGCACTTAACTTCATCAACAGGACATATAGGGTCCCAGCCATAGCACTAGCCACCAAACATCTTTTGAACTTCGCCTGATTTCTTTAGCAAAGACACTAAACACAACTCACCTACTCTCTTCCAGCAGCAGCTTGTTTGTAGTGAGACCTCAGGCCAGTCCATGACGGACTGCAGCGGGGTGACGCAGCTCAAGGAAGAACATTTATGATAATTTTTTTATCATTTCCTTGAAGTAACTATCACTATATTGATTATTCTGTACTTCAGACGCGGTAGTTCTTCTGCCTTAGCGTCTCAGGCTGATTGCATTTCCACACAGAAATTATCATAAATGTTCTTCCTTGAGCTGCGTCACCCCACTGCAGTCGATGATTTCGCCTGGAGGTCTCTGTAAAAACAAGCGGCTGGAAGAGAGAAGGTGAGTTGTTTTGAGTCTCTTTGCTAAAGAAATCAGGCAAAGTTAAAAAGATGTTTGGTGGCTAGTACTATGACTGGGACCCTATATGTCCTGTTGATGAAGTTAGGTGCTGTTCTGAGCATTATTTGTGGCTATAGAGTGGCGTTTCAGTTGAGCATGTGGCTCCCTGTATTGCTATCTGCGGTCGTTACTAAAGTTGCAAGCAGCTGGCAACATTCATCTCTCGACGGGGTGTTTAACTCGGTGTCACGGTGTGTTTGACCCTAACTTAATTTTACACCGGATTATCCCTTTAATGTTGAGTGATATTTTTAATACCACCAAGTAGGCCACCCTTTATAACTGCACGTTTTTGTTTTATGTTTTTTTTTCTTTCTGCATGTGCAGGTCACCTCAGCAGAGATTTCTCCACATCTGTCTGTACATCAAGAGTCTGAGCAGCAGCTTCAAGTGCAGGTGAGTTTTTAAGCCAGTTTCAGTCTCTGTTATTATAACATACTTGTGTATTTCTGAAGACTGATGGAGCTTACAAGTTCCAGAAATGGATTCATTTCTCAGTGATGAGAGGAAAACCAATGAGAAGGTAGTCAAGCCATGGAATAAAGGAGCACCCACCCTCTGTTGAGAAAAAGGTTCTATGAAAGATTTATGCCAAACCAAAACTACTGCAAATATTTATGTATGATTAATCACATAGTATGAGTGTGTTGTGTTCCTGATGTGAATTTTTTTGTTGATTAAAACTTCAATTTTAAAAGCTTAGATACATGTATATTTATGCTGTATTTCTTACACTATAGGTCTCCATACAGACCGTTAGTTGTGAGGAGGCTGGATCATTTTCTAGTACCCCCATTCTGCTGCTGAACTTGTGTTTGTCACTGTCTTTAAGTACCTAGACATGAATGAACTCCTCTACTGACAGTCCTAAAGAGGAGACTATTTGACTGCTGTGACTTTTCACATTTCTCCAGGAATGCCAGGAAGAGATGTTTTCTTTGGCAAAAGTCCCTGAAACACTAAAACATGAAATCTGTTCAACTTTCAAGTATTAATTTTTCTTTCTTTCTAATGTGCCAGGTGCAGATTCAGGAACAGCAGGGTCAAGCAGTAAGCCAGGTTCTCCAGGTGGCTTCTCCATCTCAGCAGGACCTGCAAGGAATAACAGCAGCTCATCTTGTTCAGCAGGGAGAGCTCACAGAGGAGCAACAGCAGCAGGTACGCTAGTAGAGCCATCAAAACGATCTCTGAATATGAAGCTCATCCAAATGCTGTATTGTCACTGTGTTGGTTGTACTTCACAGCTTCAGGCCCAGCTGGTTGCAGCTGTAGCAGGGGGACAACAAATCCACCTGTCAAGTGGCCAACAAATCCAGCATATTCAGTTGCCAGGGGGCCAGCAAATTCAGATTCAAGCTGGTCAACAGATTCAGCTACAGGATGGCCAGCATATCACACTGCAGGATGGCCAGCAAATTCACTTACAAGGAGGCCAGCAAATTCAACTACAAGATGGCCAACAAATTCAGCTACCAGGGGGCCAACAGATTCAGATCCAGACCATAGAGGCCATGTCCCCCTCGCAGCAGCAGGACTCTCCCCGGGAGGCAGAAAGGAGGACTGCTACGGTCTCAACTGTTCTCCAACCTGCGAAGAAGCGTAAGGTGGATGTTCCTGTAGCTGTGTCGTATGCTGTACCACAAGGCCAACAGGTGGCTACAGTTCTAGCTATCCCTCAGGGTCAGCAGCAGAGCTATGTTTCCCTTCGACCAGATTTACTCACCGTCGATAGCGCTCAACTGTACAGCACTACGGGAACAATCACAGGCCCTACAGGTGAGACCTGGACCATCCCTGTGTACTCCACTCCTCAGCAGCAGGGTGTGACTCACATCGCAATTCCACAGGAGACTTATAACACTGTACAAGTTGCCACCACCAACGGTAAGGACAAAGTGACGTCCACTTCTTCATTAAGGTCTGTGGACGGGCAGTCGGTCACCACAGGGACACAGGAAGAAATCGTGCAGACCTTGTTCCCAGCGCAGTTCATGAATGGAAATATTCACATCCCTGTGGCAGTGCAGACAGTGGGAGGGACGTACAACACAACACAGTCTGTACACATATGGGACCCAAGTCAACAGCAGGGACAAGTAGAAGAGGGACAAGAACAGCAGCTCCATCTGCAGGTATGACTCAGTTCATCCTTTTACTGGACTTAGAAGACCGGAACTGAACTTATCTTGTTCTTTGTACCTGTATTTTCATCATTTAGTGTTTTAATAATCCACATTGATGCTGAATAGATTTGTGTTTTTTGGTACGGTAAATATTAAAATACTCTGGCATGTATGAAATGAATCACATTTACCCAGTTTGAATTTTATTTAGATATATTACTATGAGGTTTTCAAAAAAGTCATTTTTCTGACTGCTCTCTCAGAATACGAACTCGGATACTTTGTGTGTGTATATCTCTATATGTATATATTTATTTATTTTGTGGAATGTTTTACAGGGTCACATAGAGACAGAGGCCAATGCTGAGCCACCCACAGAGATTCTAGTTCCTGTCTGTCTGAAGCCGGAGGAAGGCCTGGAGATCTGGCGCCTTTGGGCAAAGCGAAAAAACGTGGAGCTGAACAAGCAGGAAAAGACAAAGCTTGCACCCATCGGACGTAAGTCATAAATTGAATGCTAAACTCCATTAGAAGTTTAGCAAACAACCCTAGAGTGTATCATGTTAAGCAACAGAAGCCTGTTTTGTTGGCTGTTGAGGTGACTTATCTTCTGCTTTAAATTAAGAAACAAGAAAACACAGTGGCAGATAGAAACGTTTCTAATCCTCCTCTGTCTGGTTCCAGGGCGTCAGCCGCTGCGTTTTCAGGAGGACCTAGTGTCCAGTGCTGTAGCTGAGCTAAACTTGGCTCTTTGTCTGATGACTCAAGAGGCTCGAGGAGAAGACAACGAAGAGTTTGCCTCCGATGTCCTGTATTATATTTTCTTGTGTATACAAAAGGTGAGTTTCATCATGGGTCGTCTGAATATCCTCCACAGGGTTCTTTTAGATTTTACTCACTGTGTCGATTTCTTCCTGTAGTATCTCTTTGAAAATGGCCGCGTGGATGACATTTTCTCTGATCCATATTACACACGTTTTGGTGGGTGTTTACACAAAATCCTGGAAGGCTGGAAGCCAAGTGTCCATCCATTAGGTAAACAGACAATAACCGTTTACTATTTTAATAAAGTACTTCACAGACAGAAATACTCACACTTTTTTTCATCTTAGGTTATGTCATTCCAAGTCATGTCACTGAAGAGATGCTCTGGGAGTGTAAGCAGCTCGGTGCACATTCACCTGCCACATTGCTGACAACTCTAATGTACTTCAACACTAAGTGAGTAACTGCCTTTTGTATAGTGATACAAATATGTGATTGGGATGAAGTACTAAGTGTAAAAATGGTCTTTTTCACAGGCATTTCCACCTGGTTACACCTGAACAGCACCTGAAAGTAGCTTTCTCAAAGGTCCTACGACACACAAGGAAGAACCCTGCTAACACCAAGGACAAAGCCACCAGTATTCGCCTTCTGAAAGTACAGGGAGCTCACAGCGCGGGGCAGAAAGGTGACACACTCTTCTTAGCCTCATATTTAAGTTTGGATGTGGTTCCATGTAATTTTTACAGTTGACATCACTGATGTTTTTGTGACGTCTGTTTTAGGACCTGATGAAATGTTTGAAGAGCAGACTGAAGATCCAGAGAATCCTCTCCGCTGCCCGATAAAGCTGTATGACTTTTACCTCTTCAAATGGTGAGTTATGCACCATCACACTGCACAAAATTAAAGCCAAAATACCTCTGCAAGCACCCCTTATATCTTTAACTGTTTACGTCCTCATTATGGAGTCTGTGTCAGGGGCAGATGGTCTGTAAAGCTCTGCACAATCTTCATCTGGAGACATCTGGACTGCAGACAGTACATGACTTTTTTTTTGGTTATACTGTATGTAGCGGCATTTTTGCGATTCCCGTTGTCCGCCGCGAAATTTGCCTCACAAACGGATCTGGTAAGAATTGGCGGACAGTGAAAATTGTTGCCGTTCCTTATCAGAGCCGTTTCGGATACGGTGGAAATTCGGGGTAACTAGACAGCAACCAGTCAAAAGAGGAAGTTTGAAATGTTGTGCTTTCCCTTTCGTGTAACTCATTCTCCAAATATCTTTCTGTCTTGATCTCCAGCCCTCAAAGCGTTAAGGGACGAAACGACGCTTACTACATGACTCCAGAGCCTGTGGTTGCGCCTAACAGCCCAATGTGGTACTCAACTCAGCCTCTCAGCAGTGAGCAGGTGGAGCACATGCTGGCCCGCATCATCGTGGTGCGGGAAATCCAGGAGATTGTCAACACGAGCCAGTGAGCCTAACTGAGCTCATGGGATCTAGTCCTTTGGTCACTGACCGGTGGACATGCAGTATCCATCCTGTCTCTATAGACCTCAACGAGCATTTATCAGATGGAACAACACTCTAAACAATCACCCTCTGTTTTACGGCAGCAAAGATTTTTTTTTTTCTCTCACTTTTTGTTTCCAGCTGATGGGAGGGACTGTACTTTCTCAAACTCCTCTTTAAGCCATTGCCTCTGTAACCTTTGAACTGGCATGTAAGGAAAACTCGACCTCTGTTGAACTATGATTTTTTTTTTTCCCCCCTGTGAGAGTCGGTCTTATCAGTATGATATGAGGATATTTAACCCTCAATACTTAACCTCACAGACCATTAACCACCTTACTTCTCGAGTCCCTCTATGACACATTACACCCTACTGGACAGTTACAGGGGACCACCGCTTATACTTGTTTTGTATACCAACTGCATTTTGGAACATGTATTGATAAGTTCAAAGCTGAAAATTTTGTGCCTGTTTTCAAAAATAACATCATAATTTATGCTTGTGGATTACTGTGTGAGTTTGAACCTCCAGATATTCACAAGGTCAAGTGCTCTATCGTAGTGATTCAGGAGATCAGAAACATTTTCTCAGGTGTAAGCTAGTGACTGAAAGCCCCACCGAGGGTTTATTTGCCAACCGTTTCATGTATGTATGTATTGTCCATCATTAAAAGGGACATGCAGACACCTTGGTCTAGCTGACACAGTTTTATAATTGTTTCAACAAAGCGCTGTGTCATACTTGCAAGTCCTGTAATGTCGACATATAGGCCTTAACAGCAGGACTTGTCATAGGGAGACCATTCAAAGCCTTGTGGTACCTCTCATGAATTACACTTAAATTTAGAAGAACAGTGCTAAGTGCTTAACAGGGCCCAGAGTTTGGTGAAGGTTCATTACTGTCTGCTGTCTTCTGTATTCTAATGCAGGGGAAACCATAAAACTACCCATGTAGGTGACTGCTGATTTTCTGAAAGGCTGCAAACATTAAAATGTGTATTTGACAAATGATACATGTTCAGTGATGCAAACCTTATCCTTAAATTCCTATACCTTTAGGAAAAGTAGATAGTGCAGTAGATAACCCTGTAGGCAGAGGTCTTCAACACACACACACACACACACACATATCGTAAATATATGTGTATGTGGATGGAAATTTAACACAACTTTGAACAGCTGCACATAAATGTAAACAAAGATTTTCTTTACACAATGAAAAGTTGCCACGGCAAAAACAAAATGCTATCAGACAACAGTTCCTTAAAAGGTTCCTGGTCTCTTGGTGATAAATTCTTGTAGTAAACAAGCAGCTATTGTCAAAAATAGAAGATAACTCTTTTAATTGATATTTCATACTTAAATTAGTTGCTGAATACCGTACAGTCACTTTTTTTACAGACAGTTTTGTGTTTGGTTACATGTCCTCAAATATCCAGATGTACAGAGAGCCCTTCAGCATTTAACAGGTATGAAAAACTAAAAAAATCTAGAACTGGACTTATTCAAAGAGGTGGTGAGTTAGTCAGTTTTTTCAGGAACTGTTAAATATAATCTATTTAACGTTTGTGTGAAGTATTTAGGCAGGGGACAGGTTACGCTGATCTCAGCTCGTTTGGTTCCCGGCAGAATCAGCTGTCGAGCAAGTACATGAAGAGGAAGGTGGCGAATCTTGCTCTGCTCCAGTCCAAGCTTTCCCAGCACACGCTCAGGTAATTTCTAAGCATAAAAGAAAAAAGCATTTTACAAATGAATCATAACAAAACATGTAAAATTAGCACAGACAGATTGTCATATTGTTAGTACCAGCTCATTTATAATACAAACACTCTTCCTTTCTCATTCTGGACTCATGAGGTTGGAGACATCTCACCTGTGGAGCCAGTTTGTCCCAGTGGGAATACTTGTGGTCACCAAGAACAGGGCATGACAGGGCATATGCCAAATGAACTCTCACTTGGTGTTTCACTCCTGTTCACACAGGAAAGCAAGAAAGTAGAAAACAATTAAAAAGCAGATTTACCAGATCATTCAGCGGGGGTTTCCTACTGTAGGCTCAGTCCTCTTACCTGTGAAAGGCTGAAGCTCCACAAGACTACAACCACAGCTGCTGTCTAGGACTCTGTACTTGGTTGCTGCAGAGTGAGCTTGCCTGTTGGCACGGACTTTGACCACACCATCCCCTGCATCCTTCATTTTGAAACGAGGACTTAAAGCCATCTGAAATTTTTTAAAGTGGCAAACATGAGGTGTCATACAGTCAGCAGCTGAACCCTTCAACATCAAATCCACATATGAAGAGGAGGAGGAGGAGGTACCTTATAGTGTGGCTGAGTGCCTGTGACCCCCCTCTCTATGATCGGGATGTCAATCACTCCTTCAGCTGGTACAGGAACACCAACTGTGACGACCCTAAGGAAGTGATTGTCAACATCTTCATGTTAATTTAAGTCACAGGGACACATCAGACACAGTATTTCAGCTCTCTTTTAGAGCTTTCTCTGTGGACTCACCAGAACTTCCTCTGTATTTGGTTATTTCTGTTCAGCTCAAGTACATGTTCCACAACTTCTTCCCTCCTGGCCAGCAGAAGGGCTCCTGATGTTTCCTTCTCCAATCCCAGACAGGGAAGAAGTTGAGAGTGAGATTTTACCTTCATCCCATCCATCATTTTGGAGAGAATAGGAAGCACAGAGGAGATGGAAGTGACTCTTGGGTCCTCTAGGAGACAAATCAATATAGATATGAGATTTATTTTTGAGTTTACACAAGTTCATTTGAGTACACCGTTCAGCTTGGATGATGAAATACATTATTTTGTGTCCCTAAATTTTCTAAATGTAGCCCGTCACTTAGAAAGATATAAAACTGATGAATCAATCACAGAAATGGGATAAAGTTTTCCCACAGTAAGTGTTATAATCTACATATCAAAATTCAGTGAATGATTTATTAACAATTATGACTCAACAACTTAATCAATCGGCTGATTATTAGCCAAACTGTAAGCTCTTGAGGAATCCCAAATACAATCTTTAACCTTTAAAGCTCCAGTGAGTAATTATGTTTGTGGTGATTTTGGCGCCCACTCTGAGCAAACCTCTAGATCTTCTGTCTTTGCTGATATCAATAACGAGTGTTTTATGCCTTGAAACCTCATAATGACTTCTTCAAGGGATATTCCAGCGTAAAATTAATTTAGGGTCAAACACACCGTAACACCATCTTTTGAACTTCGCCTAATTTCTTTCACAAAGAGATTAAACACAACTCACCTACTCTCTTCCAGCAGCTGCTTGTTTGTAGAGACCTCAGGTCAGTCCATTACAGACTACAGCGGGGTGCCGCAGCTCAAGGAAGAACATTTATGATCATTTCTTTATCATTTCCTTGAAGTAATAATCATCATATTCATCATTTTACAGACGCTGTAGTTCTTCTGTCTTAGCGTCTCAGTCTGAATGTATTTCCATGAAGAAATGATTATAAATGTTCTCCCTTGAGCTGCGTCACCCCGCTGTAGTCCGTAATGGACTGGACCAAGGTCTCCCTACAAACAAGCGTCTGCTGGAAGAGAGTAGGTGAGTTGTGTTTAGTCTCTTTGCTAAAGAAATGAGTCAAAGTTAAAATGATGTTTGGTGGAATTACTTAATAGAAATTCATAACCTTCTGGTCTCTATTACATGAGGCATCAACGATAGTTCCAGAGTGCTCATGATAAACAGCCAAAAACTCCACAGAACAGATTTAAACACATGATATTTGTCATTAAAAAACACAATATTCGTTATCTAACTGTATGACAATAATGTCCAGTGTTAACTCTTTGGTTCGGCTTTGGTTCGGCTGCTCTACCTCTGAGAGGGACACCGTAGGGTTTGTTGATGATCACCACATCTTCATCCTGGTACAGTAGGCTCTTGTGGAGATGTTTGGCCAGAACATTAGGATGAACCTTCTGGAGCTGCTGACTGAATCTCTTCAGCTCATTCAGTCTTTTCTGCTGAGGAGACTTCGGAGGTTCTTCATGGACCGGTTTCTCCGTCTCCTGCTGGACCTTCCGGGCCAGGTCGATCGCCCTCAGCCGGGGTTTCTCACCCGTGTCGGGGCCTTCGGTGGGTTCGGCGGCGGTTGTCTGACTCCGGGTGAAGGACAGTGCTGCTCCCAGACACCGGCAGCAGGTTTTCCGCTGTCCGGGGATCATGGTCCGGCCTAGACCCCGTCCTAGTCTACGGGTTACTTTAGAGCAGCTGTTCATGCCTCACTGTTAGCATTAAACTGGTATTATGACGGAGAAAGAGACAAACTTCAGGGTACACATGCTTTATATTCAATAACTTCCGGGTTGGTCCTTTCAGAATAAAAGAACCGAATTAGAAATCGCGCTCACAATAGAAGACAGCGGGATTTTTTTTAACGTAGGATGGTAGGGGAAGGTCCCGCCCTCCTTCGCTCCTGATTGGCTAGAAGTGCTAGGCTCCGATTGGTTCTTCCTTCTGGCTGTGAAAGGTCATCGTCTGTCGGGTTAGGTTCGGGGTTAGGGTTAGGGTCAGGTTCAGGGTTAGGGTAACGGTTAGGGTTGGGAGATTCAGGAGTGTAACAATGTTCTGTAATGTTCTGTTCGATATTCAGAGCCGACCATAGGAGCCGACAGCCCGAGTTTGGCTTGAGCGCGTGATGACGTTTCCAGCTTTTCTAGCCAATCAGAGGCGAAGGAGGCGGGACCTTCCCCTACCGTCCTAAGAAAAAATATTTCCCACGGGAAACTTAAACTTTGAATAAATTCTCCGTGTCTTGATAAATAAGAGCTGTTGTGGACGAATCTACTTTAAAAATATTAATATTATAACTACCATAATCAAAAATGAAAATATGTTTGAACGTCAAAAGCAACTGGCGCAAGAAATTAAAGACTTTTGTTTTGAAAGGACTCTCGTGTGGAAAATACTTCCTAGTAGCATGTCGTCATTTCCTGTTTCAGAAAAACGGAATGGTCGTTTTTGTTATTGTTTCTTTTCGGTGTTTTCAGACCCCAGTAACAGATATCTATCACTAGTCTTTGATTTTACAGTTTAATGTCTGATAATAGGACGATAATTTCATGTCAACAGTCACTGAAGTGTTTAATTCCTGTTTCTTATTAGAGTAGAAACACGGAGAGCTGGTGAGGAGAAGGATTTAAATGGTTTTATTTTTTTAGAGTTTTAAATAAAATAATTGTGCTGCTGATATGAAGATCTCAGACAGCGTGTTACGAAGTTTCAGGGTTGCGAGGACATACGGAGAAAATTCTCAGAAAGTCAACTGTGTGGATTTTAGCCCAAGTGGAGAGAATGCAGTATCAAGCAGCGACGACGACTGCATCGTGCTGTACGACATCCGAGAGGGAAAGTAAGAAGCTATATATGTCTGTGCAATGAGTAAGATTTGTCTTACTAATGTCTTATCTTTAAATGACATGAGAGCCTGTATGTACGGTGGCCGAGAACCGCCAATGCTGCCAATGCTGTTTCTTTTTTTCATTGGTAACTTCCATTGTGGCTTCTTCTTTTTTTTTTGCATTCTTTTCTATTTGCAGCAGTGGCGGTTCTCAGCCACCATATATATGGGTTATGGGTGCTAATGTAGAAGAAATAAATAAACTAAAAATAGGAGAGATGAAATAATAATAAATGAATATATAAAAGGGGGGAGTGAGATGTCAAACGGTGTTAATTTGGCATGGATGTTACTCATTTTCAGACCCAAGCGGACCCTGTACAGCAAGAAGTACGGAGTGGACCTGATCCGGTATACACACAGTGATACACAGACTGTGGTCTACAGCTCCAACAAACTGGACGGTACTAACTTGTTATTTCTTAATGTCAGATCTCTGCACAGTGTACAAAACAAAGATATAAAGTAGGATATAAAAACATACATGTTTGTGTTTTGTAGATACCATCAGATACCTATCACTGACTGACAACAAGTTCATCAGGTATTTCCCAGGTCACACTGCAAGGTGAGTATTGACACCTATTTGGACCTTAAGAAGTGCAAAGATGAAATCTGAAATACACCACATTACTTTGATACAGAAAAAAAGAAACTGTTATTTATATTGATAAACTTTTTTCTTTTGTGGCGTGAGGTTAAAAAATGATTATTTTCTCGGGCCCCTGTCAGTTATGGCTCCTGGATTTGCTCAATCCTTTTCTCCTTCACACAGCGCCCTTCTTATACTGCGTAGTTCCTAAACAACTATTCTACTTGAATCTTTCAAGTTCAACCACCCTCTAGATCAAATCAAATATAAAACATTAACAAATCAGCTGTTATTGTGTACCATTTGTGAAGTATGTACGTATCTATACATGTCTTTGTTCTGATAAACTGGTGAACAAACTGCCTGTACTCAACAAAGCTTCTCTTCCTTTATAACTTAATAAAATAACGTTCATTCTTCTGTGATTGTTTTTCAGGGTTATTGCTCTCTCCATGTCACCAGTAGATGACACATTCATCTCCGGCTCATTAGACAGAACTATTCGAATCTGGGACTTGAGATCCCCAAACTGTCAGGTGAGTGCTGATATTGAATTTTCCTTCGGGGATCAATAAAGTTCCTCTTCTTATTCTTACTCTATGAGCTGATAATAAAAGAATACATCTCAACAAGCAGGTAACCCCCCTGTGCTTTAGATCGCCCAGATTCCTGCACCAACCAAACAACAACAACAAAACTCTGGCTTCTCTGTCCCGTGGCCACTGGGTGTCCCCAAAGTTGCTCCAGTTCCCAGTGATGCACTTAAATCTGCACCCTGGGATTTAGAACAAGACTATGATAGACTTAATAGATAGAGGAGATGATCAAATGAAAGAGTTACCATGGAAACGGCAATGATTTAACTATGACAGCTGAAATGTGTTAGTAAACTGGCATATCTGTGTCCAAATACGGTCTTTTAATTTTCTGTGGGTTTCTCTGTTTTGCTCCAGGGTCGGACTAATCCTCTTGGGAAACCCGTGTGCTCATTTGACCCTGATGGTCTGATATTTGCTGCTGGGGTTGAATCACAGGCAATTAAGCTGTACGACCTCCGTGCTTTTGACAAGGTAAAATGTGAATCCAGGAGTCTGAGGTTTTTGTCTTTATGCTGGTACTCCAGGATGACTTGGCCATCGAACACATGTGTGATGTTACATCTGCTTTACTCTGACTCCTTTTTTTTGTGGGTAGGGTCCCTTTGCGTCCTTTGAGACGAGGTTTACTCGTGTCTGCGACTGGACAGGACTGAAGTTCAGTAATGATGGAAAACAGATTCTGATCTCTACTAATGGAGGAATGATTCAAATCCTGAATGCCTTCAATGGATCTGTGCTGCACACTTTTTCTGTAAGGTTATATTTCCACAAACCTCCTCTGTACATCTGTCTGTCCATCAGTGCAACATCCTGACAGCTTCTCTGTCTCGGCTCGTTTAAGGGCTACAACAACAGTAGAGGCTTCTCCCTGGAGGCCTGCTTCACTCCAGACTCTCAGTTTGTCATGATTGGTAAGTATCAACATCTCAGTTTTATAGTTCAGTCACTTCTTACTTTTAACCTTGTCTCACTTTACAGGCTCAGAGGATGGAAGAATCCATGTTTGGAGTACTGAGAGCGGGATGAAGGTGGCTGTGCTGGATGGGAAACACCCGGGACCCATTAACACTCTGCAGTTTAACCCCAGATACATGACGTTTGTCAGTGCCTGCACTTACACGGTGAGATCACATCATCATGTAAATCTCATATGGACAGAACTTTTCCACATTTGTGAATCCTGCTCTTCTTCCTTTAACAGAGATTCTGGCTTCCGTGTCTGGACGACCTTTAAAGGGATGATGGTGAAGTGAGTCCTTTTCAGTGAACCTCTAACGCCCATGCAGAGACACAGGATACCAGTATGTGTTGGACTGAGACCCAGTATGTCTGAGGAGTAGAGAAATAATGCAGTATTTTTAACTTTTCAAATATTGGTCAAGCTGTGATGAAATCCCTCATATATCTCCCGTTTGAGATATTTTCATTGTTTCATGTGAAGTTTTTATATTTACTCATGTTCTTATTCAAACATTTTACAATTAAACCATGTTATAAAAAATATTTTTCACTTTTTTAACATCTTACTGTTTGTGTTACACAGTTCAACTTAGACATGATTCAATTCCAAGACCTCCAAAAAAAAAGCTCCCCTCACACCCAAATTCTAAACTCAACAGGGAAGTCCTCTGTTTTGATTTAAACTTTTGATCACCTGATTTAAAGGGTGTATATTTGAACCAAACTTGTCCTACAGCTTTTGTCCAATCGTTTCCAACATTGTGTTATTGTTATAGACACTTTGACGATTAAAAGTTATGAAAGGACTTTTTCTGCGTCAGTCCCTGCGGCTGCGGCACCACGAGAGACTTTGACGTTTCACCATAAATCAGGAAATTACTCTTAACTCCTTAATACAGTGTTTCATCACTTTGTAATTTCATACACATAATCAAGGTCTATTGCACGACACAGTAAGTGCTCTGTTACAGTCCTAGCACCACCTTGTGGATATACATGGTAATAGCTTTCACATACTAAATCCAGTCTCATATATTAGAGTGGTTAAATGATGGATCTACATTTACATTTTTGTCATAGTAATCATGGAAATAAGCCAGATCAATTCCCATATGATCACTTTTGAATAACTCTTCAACTTTTAATTTTTTTCACACTGTCATAAAGATTTCTGCAGAGGAGAACTGTGTCAAAGTATACCCACCTAACCTAACCTAACCTAACCCACTGGTGAAACAAGCGCTTCACTGTCTGTGTGCTGTAAATTAAACATGTGTGCTGGTTGTCTCAGTCTGAACAGAACCACAAAAACATCAGGGTCATGCTGATCTTACTGCTTCATTCCCCATAACTGCAGCTCAGGCGTAGTCTGCTGCACATCCCACAGCAGCTTCCGGCCCATTCGTCACCACATGAAGCTTTAATTTGACTTGCACATAAATAAGCATGACAAAAAATGAAAGGCTGTATGAGCAGCATTGATGAGAACATTTTATTCCAAGTGTTTTCATTTTCCAGTTTGGCCCATGAACCATCTTTTACATGAGAGGAGGATGGCTTTAAGGTCTGAGCTCTAAATTTATGGCTTTGCTTGGGATAAATCAGTCTATAACTAAATCATGAATGGCATTAAAATCCAGAATACTGACAAGGGTTATGTGGGACAGTTATGTAACATTTGCCTGAGAATGAAAATGCTCTCGTTTTTTATTAGGAATGAGACTTATTTAATTTTTTTAAGTCACTCACGGATCAACTATTTTATCAACAATTTCTTCAGTTTCTGTTAGAATCAAAATAGTTTCTGTGCGATGTTTATTTTAACCTTAAAAACAATGAGAAACCATTTAAAAGGGTGTATATTTTTGATCACTACCCTTACATGATCTCTCTAAACACACCTGTTCGCTCATTCAGTAAACTAATCTATGAACATGTGAGAGTGAAAGACGCACAGGTGATGTGAATGATTTTAATGAATGGGTGTTTTTTGTTCTTCCCATAAAGTGAACTTTCCTGAAACAGAAAAGACGGGGGGAGGTGGGGCTGTGTTGAATAATGTATAGATGCTTGGGTTGTGTACTCACCACAGAGTGAATAATGGATGATCCCATCACAGGTAACCTCACAGGAACACGCTTATTTTTCTCTCACCTTGCTGTGCGTGTTCATGTGTGTGTTCATGTGTGTGTTCATGTGCGTGTTCATGTGTGTGTTCATGTGTGTGTTCATGTGTGTGTTCATGTGTGTGTTTCAGGGATGTGTAGGAAGAGCAGCAGATGATAAATAAAGCGGGATGAGCGTTTGGTACTCATTTTTAATATGTTTCACCCTCATATTGTTGTGTCAGGTGTTAGTTCTGCTCAGAAATCAATCTTTTAGTTCTGTCTGTTCAGGATTCAACTTTTCTACTATAATAAGTTATTAAGATTATGAATTTTCCTGCAGGGAGCCTCACCTTCTCTTCTCAGTCTTTTCTTAACCTGTCAGACGTTGTTACAGGTGACTTCACCTTCTAAAATACACAAACTTATTGATCATAAATACATGAACACTCCCATTCTTGAACCATCAAACAATGTTGAAATGAAGCGGTCAGATTCTGGCTTAGTGTCAGTGTCACATTTCTGTGTCTGGAATTTGAGATCATACCTGAGCTGATCTGCTGCTCTGTGTGGATGAGCGATAAACTGTCCGTACGTGTGACAGCATCTGAAAACACTAACCACTGAAGTCACGACTGGTGGACCTGTTCTCTCACACACACAGCAGAGCCGTAACAGGTCAGGACAGTGTGTGACTCAGGAGAGTCTCCCCCACTGAGACTTTTATAAAGTGTCCGTCATGGATACACAGAGAGTTTTAGATCAGTGGTCAGGGCGGCATATCCACTGACAGGCACGTTATTACTCATCAGCCACAGTTCCGCAGATTGTGTTTCAAGTGTCAGGAATCTCCCGAGTCACCCTCTAGGCGTTTATGTCAGTGGTGCGCGTGGGTCCGTCTGTCTGCCATCAGTGTAGAGCCAGCCTACCTGCTGAGCAAGAAGAGCGAGGACACAGACACCTGGACCTGGTTCTTCTTGAGTTCGAGGAGGGTTAAGATGTCCCACCAGACTGGAATAAACGGTAAGTTCTGTTCTTCAACCAAACCCTGAATTTGTTTTTAATCTCACTGATGTGTTGTCTTGTTCTGTTTTAGGGTTTTTTTACATTCAGTTTTTTACTGGTCATATGAAAACTTCCTCAAAATCTTCTTGATGATCATCTCATTTCTTAAAAAAAGGTGTTTTTTATTTAAAACGTCTCTTTTGTGCCTCTAAATTAACACACCTGCTGTGGGTTTTTGAAGACAGATCTACAGACTGGCCTGTGTTTCATGAGTTTCTGTTAAAACGCCTGTCCTCTGTGTGTCATTAATCACTGCAGGCATTAATGTGTAGTTTAACTAGGATGTATATTTGTGTGTTATGGCATTTTGTAACCGGAGCAGAGGGGAGGATTGGTTGGCAGAAGCACACCTCTCTCACCTTTCTCACCTGATCTTACATCATTTATGAGATGCTGTGTTTGGTAACCATGGTGAGAGAGAAGGAGGGGGTCTTCAGTAGCAAACCGTGAGTTTGTAAACTGAGGACAAATTTAAGCTGTTTTATCCCTCACATTTCTCTCTATTTTCTAAATCAAAAACTTTTTACTCGGTAACTTTCTGTCGTGACGTGATAAAGCAGCAGTGGATCAAATTTTCTCTCTAAAGACGAGTCTCAGGTTCTTACTTACACAAGTCTGTCTCACCCCCCATCCTCTGATTTGACCTGTCTGTGTTATATCCGGTTACCCCAGCAACAGCTGACCTGAAGGAGTTCCTGGCCCGAGCAAGGGGAGGTGCCATCAGAATCGTGAAGATAGTCATCAGAAATGGTGAACGTTTCTCTTGTGTTCAGAAAGAAGTGAATCCAGAGATGAGTTTACTGATACAAGTTTAATTTCCCTGCAGAGGAGTTGACGTTGGATTCGTACAGAGAACCAGCACAGAGCTGGGACAAGGACTACGACCACTTCCTTGTTCCTCTGCTCACACCTCAGGAACCCTGCTACATCCTCTATCGCCTGGACTCCCAGAATGCACAGGGGTTTGAGTGGATCTTCATCGCCTGGTCACCTGACCAATCACCAGTATGTTTTGGACAGTTGGTCAACATTACTTGAAATCACTTAGATGTTATACTTTGTGGATACACCTTACTGACGTCTGCAGACTAATCATAAAATAAGATAACACTTTATCATACTTTGTTGATCCATCAACACGGATACAGACAGCTTAAAAGAAAACAATAAGAGCATGAGATGAAATTTTTATTTTTAATAATTCTTTCTGTTTGACTTTTCCTTTTAAAGTTCAAATAACTTGTAAAAGGCTTGAAATTATTGTGTCTAGATCTGTTTATAAAAGCATAATGAATATTAAAATTTTGTGCACAAGTCAAGTTTAACTTCTGGACACACAATTTTACAAGCTATTAAGTGTTCATATCACGTTTATATTGTGGCTAATGCATATCTGACCGTGACAACGAAGAGTTAAAGTGCCTCCGATCTTTTCAGGCTTCAAAAAAACGCCTCAAAAAAACTACATTAAACATACAAACCATGTCATTTTGAAGCTCCCAGAGTAAGAATATATTTAAGCAGCCAAAACCACAAAAATATCTGTTTGTTTGCTTTCTTTCTGTCCTGACATGTTTTAGGTGAGGCAGAAGATGGTGTATGCAGCGACTCGGGCCACTTTGAAGAAAGAGTTTGGAGGAGGTCACATTAAAGATGAAATGTTCGGCACAGTGGAGGTCAGTAAATTCCCCCCTGCTGTGGTGACATGAGTGAGTCTTGAGATGCTGACTGTGTGTGTGTCTGTCTACAGGACGATGTGTGTTTCCAGGGATACCTGCGGCACATGTCCTCCTGCTCCTCTCCAGCTCCGCTCACAGCAGCTGAGCAGGAGTTACAACGAATCAAAGTCACAGAGGTGAAGATGAGACTAGATCAAATTAAAACTCTCTAAAAATGAAAGTTTTACGTTAAATTAATATTCTTTTCTGTTATTCCTGCAGGATAAAGTTGTATGGGTAAGTACATTTCTTTTACACATAAATTTAAATTTGGTTATTTATTCATAAACAAGAAAAAGAGGAGGACAGATTAAAACAGTCACTCTCTATTTCAGGATGAACGCAGGAGAATTGGCACTCCAACAGCTCGAGCAAGGGTTCGTCAGAACTTCTGAATATCTGTTTGGCTCCTCGGCTTTAAACATCCTCTCATGTGGGACACATCAGGAATGATTTTTAAAAGGTTTTTTTTTTTTATCCTGCAGGTAACAATGGAGTTTGGTTTGGACAAACGGGCACAGACTCTTCAAGGTCTTGCATTTCCGCTTCAAGAAGAGGCCAAACGAGCTCTGCAGCAGCTCAAGCAGAGACGCATCAACTACATACAGCTGGTGAGACACAGCATGCAACACATGGCTTTTTGGCTCATGAAGAAAATCAGGCCATCGACAAATGTTAAAGAATCAATCTGTATATCTGTGTCCATCAGTTAACAATGTTGGGTTAAGGGTTGACCACTGAATAATGAGCACATTCATGTGTGTTTTGTTGCAGAGGCTGGATGTGGAGAGGGAGACCATCGAGCTGGTCCACACTAAACCTACAGAGACCCATGAGCTGCCCTACAGGATCCCTACAGACTCACCAAGATATCACTTCTTCATCTTCAAACACTCCCACCAGGGTCAGCGGCAGGAGGCGCTGGGTTAGTGTTTAGTCTGAGTCTTTTATTTCCACTTATTTAATTTATCTGTTTATTTTGAGAGGGACAGTATACAGCCAGCTGTGACAAAATCAGCTATGAGTTCATTTACAACAATAGTCCCTGGGCAGGAGACAGAGACAACTCATCCGCTCAAAATAAACCAGCTACACAACAATTCATAATCACTATATAACAACAACGGGTTCCTACACAGTAATATTAAAGCTGAAACTTTCAGTTGGTCTTAGTTTTGGCGCCCCCTGTGGACAAAGCAGTCTTTGCTCATCCTGACCGCCACATGCCTCTGACAGAAAATCTCATCCTGCTGACTTTTGACCGTCACATTTATAATTTCTCGATCTCATGTGGGAGATTCTGCTGACTGGTCCTTGGCCAAAGTACTTTCCTGTTGAGTCTGGAGTCAAGTGAAAGTGTCTCTACCATAGACTGAATATAGAATAGACGCCATCTGCCTCCTCGCCGGTTGAAGCCACTCTGAGAACAGCACCCTCTGGTGATGGGCTGCAGTATAGGTCATAAATCCTGCCTCCATCGAAGCTTATGGAGCTGCAGACAAACTTTAGAAATTAATTACACAGAATATAAATGTTTCTCCCCCCTGCTTGTGATGTTGACATGTAGTTACTGTCAGACTGGTTTGTGCTCAAGTCCTCTTTTTTCTGTACAGCTCTGTTTTTAAAAGTTATTAGGGGGTTCATGTTTTCTTTGATTGACACCTGATACAGCCTATGGGTGTACGAAGATTGCGTGGCTCACCCGGGGAATACCCTGTTTAAGCAGAGCGTCACCACATCGGCTCTTGGCGACTCTCCCGCCGAATGTGTACAATGCTACTGTGCAGTGTCAGTTTCAGGAAATGGAGAAAAATCACAGAAATACTGAGAGTTTTTCGACTTCAAATCTGTTTACTGGCAGATGGCGGAACCAAGTTGTCCAAAGTATATATATACAGTCTATTGTCTCTACTTGAATATTGCATATTGTTGCTCTATGTCTAAACCTGGATTAGAGAGTAGAGATTGTGAGATTAACCATCATAGTTATATCAGATATGGTCAGGTATAAAGTATCAGCATCATCATAAGTAATGACTTTATATCTGTTCCAGTATTCATATATTCGATGCCTGGGTACACCTGCAGTATCAAGGAGCGGATGTTGTACTCCAGCTGTAAGAACAGGCTACTGGACGAGGTGGAGAAGGACTACCAGCTGGAAGTCACCAAAAAGGTAAAAATCAAATCAATATTACAGATTAGCTCTGTTGGCATATCTCAGACTAAGGTTTATGGCAGCTTGTCTGGTTGGGGACAAAGAAATGTGTCACCTGTGGCAGAAGGTGTTTTTGTCAATGGTTGAGGTTAAGATTGGGGTTAGTTAAATCTCCAGGGATTAATTATCTGTCGGTGTGTCAGAAAGAGATAAACTGAGAAAACTGACTGTGTGTGTTTGTGTGCATGAAGATGGAGATCGACAGTGGTGATGGCCTGACAGAAGACTTCCTGTACGAGGAGGTCCATCCGATGGAGCACACCTTAAAGCAGGTCTTCACCAAGCCCCGCGGCCCAGGAGGGAAGAGGGGTAACAAACGCCTGATCAAGGGTGCAGGAGAAAACGGGGAAGACAGTTAGAAACAAGAAATTTACTCACAGACATTCAGACATTATATACTTGCTCACATAAAAAAATATTTTGATTTATTTAATGGTTAAACTTCTTATTTTTCTTTGTAGTTGCAGACATTTCACTCTTAAATGGAAACATGGAAAAACATCCACCATAAAGCAGGATTAATGTTTATTTTCTCATGGGCAAATTTACAAATATATATATATATTCCCTGAGTGACTGATAAATACAGATGTGTTTAAAAATACAACTAAAGAATGACTTTGTAAAACCTGACAAAGACCATTGTGAAGTGGTTTTTACCTAAGAAGGGTTACTAACTGAGGCGCAGACATGGTTACATACATTTAAGTACAAAAATTTTCACATTATCATCAATGTAGCATCAATTAACAGTTCAGACAAGCTTATAAAATCTTCAGATATTGTGAGCACCAGTGTTGTAGTCTAGATTCTTGTAGTGAGTCTACCCCCCATCACCCTCTTTAGCAGATGCAGTGTGCATACACGCAGTACTATGATCTGTTAACTGTGTAGAAGTGAAGTTACAGTCACAATTCTAGTTGTTGCATTTCTTTACTAATTTTTAGGTCTGAAAATAAGGGACCTTTATAAGTGGAGATATGTCACACACCTGGTTAGCACTGGACTGTAACATTTGGTGAACATTATTTGTTTTGTTGTCTTTATCAGAGTCAGGAAAGAACCTGACTTTATGTCAAACAACGGATGCTACAGCCTGTGGGAAGTTGGCTTAGTTTATGTTAGAGACTGTTAAAAAGAGGAAGCTGCTGGCCTGGCTCTGCCTAAAGATAACACAGTCCAATATCTCTATAATGCTGGCTTAGCTTAGTGAGTAGAGAGGGGCCCCATGTTGAGGGGCTGTAGTCCTTGGTGCACTGGTCAATTCCCAGCTTTGACCCTTTGACACATGTCCTCCACGGCTCTTTTCTCCCCATGTTTCCTGTCTCTCTTTAGTTGTCCTGCTCCATAAATACAAAAAGGCCCAAAACACCATGTGTCTAAACAACAAACTTAGATATGTTTATTTTAAATTGCAAATAGTTTCATATTTCACTCGCACTAAACTGATCTATTCTTTGACACCAGAGCTGCCTATGATGTTAGTGTTGTTGTTGTTTTTGTTGTCACTGTGGCATTGCTTGTGGTAAGTTTTAGCAGCGATACAGTGCTTCCAAATTACCCAGTATGCAGCTCAGGTACTGTTGGTTTCATACACATGAAGCTTTAACAGCCTTTTGCTTAAGCATGGAACATGTTACATTATTTTTTCTACCTGATTGTTTGTATGGTGATTTCTCTTTTTTACATTTTCAAATTTTTTTTCAGAGCATGTAAGTGGAGAATTTCAGATGAAGCACGACCACCTAAGTGTTATTGGCAGCCTACTGTGAGGTTGCCAGATACGGTGGCCGAGAACCGCCATTGCTGCAAATGAAAAAAGAATGCAAAACTAGAAGTGAAGGATGCCAGTGTAGTGCTAGCTTCAGTTCAACTTCATATTGACTCAGGCGCTACATGGCCTAACCAAATGACACATGAAAAAGTTTACAAAGCGAAATTAAACAATAACCTTTCCACTTACTTCTTTGCTCGTCTTCTCGCCGTCTTTGCACACCATCATTGTTGGTCCCCTAACTTTTTTTTTCCATCACCACTTTTTTTTTGTATTGTTGACTTCCGTTATGACTTTTTTTGTTGTTGTTGTTTTTTGCATCCTTTAATTTTCGCAGTAGGTAACTTTTTTAAGGGGAATTGCCACTTTTTTGCGTTATTAACTTCCGTTGTGGCTTTTTTTCATCTGCACCATTTCTTTTTTTTAATTTGCAGCAGGCTTCAGTTTCTTTATTTATTTTTTTTTCTAATTTTTGCATCTGTAACTTACTTTTTTTTTGCATTCTTTTATTTTCACAGTAAGTAACTTTTTTTGCATCAGCACTTTTTTGTGTCATTAACTTTCATTGTGGCTTTTTTTATCTACACAGTTTCTTTTTTTATTTGCAGCAGGCTTCGGTTTCTTCTCCTTTTTTTTCTTTTTTTTTTTTTTTGCATCTGTAACTTTTTTTTTTTTTTGCATAGTTTTTTTTATTTGCAGCAGTGGCATTTCTCAGCCACCATAACCAGACAACCAGCTAAGACTTGAGATTAAACCAGATGGCCCCAAAAAGGGATAAAATGTTTATTAATCAGCGTACTGTAATATACAATCATATTAATTCATTGAAATATGTCAGTCCTGTCTGAAGTTGCAGGCAACAGTTCCAGGCTACTTCACCTTTTTTTTCTGTTTCTGCTCTTCTTTCATTGTTGTGGTTGTTTTGTGTTTTTGATACCCCCTTGTACTCAGCCGTTTCCAGTCGTGAGGATATTCTGACATTTTTTGCTTTATGGTGGATTCTCCTTTAGGTTCACTCGTATGCAGCCTGCTCTTTCCTACAGCTCATTTTTAAACACATGCAAACTGATCACATGTACAGTCGCCTTCTCCAGTCAGTCACCTGACAAGGTTCGGCGTCAGTCAGCTGTAAAAGCCGATGTTTTACAAGGTCCCATAATAAAATATTTTCTGTACTTTCCTCGTTTTCGTATCCTCATTTCTCCCTTTCTCCCGTCGTGTGTGCGTGATATCCTCTCGAGATATATTCACTGGCAGTAGCAGCAGCAGAAAGTATCAGGGCTCAGTAGTGGAGGTCACTTTGTTGTGTGTGTTTTCCTGGAAGCGTCTCTACTCAGAAGCCCTGGGCCGCACCGCTCAGCAGCTCTCATACCGCACAGCTGATGTGACAAGCTTTCTTGGAAACAAGGTTCAAAGCTTACTTGCGGGTTTCGGACGCTTATTATCATTTTACAGGGAATCTGTGGGTTGATGATGACGAACTTTGACTTGTGAAGAAATACTGACTTCTGGCACGACCCACTTCAACGAATTTACCGGGAACTGAATCAACCATTTTTTGGCACCGCAGAGGAGAGGTGATCTTTTTATAAATATTATCACAAAACATACTCGGTGTGTGTTTGACAACGTGCAGCTCAGGGCACCAAAGTGAGAGAAATAGCTGAAAACGTGACACTATATCAATAAAGTTTACAGGGCTTTAGTAGCCGTACACGTGTGCTGGAAATTAGCAAATGGCATGTAATGGTGGATAAAACCTATCAGCTGTGGTGTGGTGTAATTGAAAAACCTAAAGGTTAAAACCCTGTGTTTCTATTGGACAAAAACGAAGCATTGAACCCATCAATGTCATCTGATACATCAAGAAAATAAGAGGTAACCGAGTCAATACCGGAAGTTCTGTTATATCCTTCAAAATAAGAGCTTAAAGAAATGTCAAGAATATTAATGGAAAAAAACTTACTTTAAAAATAATAATAATAATAATAATAATAATAATAATAATAATAATAATAATAACTCAACTTTATTTATAGAGTACTTTAAATACAACCAAAGCTGACACAAAGTGCTGTGCATAATAACATAAAAACATGAAACAACAATAAATAGATGTTTTGAAATATAATAAAAAGGAATAAAAAAGTGATAAAAACAAATGCCATCTCATGCTGGGTCAAAAGCCAAGGAATAAAGTTTTTTTATAATAATAATAATAATAATAATAATAATAGTAATCAGCCTACTTTTTTGCATAACCACTGGCCAACTATCCACTATTTCACTTATTACCTGACTACAAAAATGACTATTAAATGACTATTAAAATGTTTTTTTAACTTTTTTTTTTTCCTTATTGATTGACTTTTTTTATTGCCCCTATGATTCCTTGAATAGTTAATTATTCTACAACACCATACTGTTATCTGCTTATTGTGGGTTTAATATTAAACTGAACACCTCTAATCGTGGTCCAGTAATGTAAGACATAAGCCTGCCAAGTGGTATTATCTATATCAAATTAAACATTTCCATTGACGGTTAGGTAATACAAGATGACAGTCAGGGGTGGCCAATCAGATTTCAGGGGAGACCTCTGACCAGCTTTTATTCACCACCTCTCCGGATGCACACCTGAGAAACTTAAAGTCAGTGTTGAGTTCACTGGCTCGTGGTTGTCTACAAATTGGATGAATTGGAAAAGGCTGGCACTGAATAACCTATTTCTAGATCACTCCCAGGGCTCGTCACCCAAATGTCTCCACCCGGAAAATCCGATTAACTTCATGGCCTTTATTGTGAAGTCTGTGCAGGAAGTCATGTTTGTTGACAGAAAGCCTATCATCAGGCTGGAGGCAGCAGCGTCCCCGGCGCTGAAACACAAAACCTTTCTGGGAAACAGATTCCTGGAAGCTCCGTCAGTCCGAAGTGAACTGAGCTGTTTTCTGCGCCTCAGTTTACCGAACAAAGAGCTCACACTCCGCCTCACGCTCTGCACACCGCCGGCAGCAAACACCAACAGCAGATCCACCGTAGTTTTTTATCGTTTTGACTGTTAGTTACGAGAAATAATGTTTTTTTCATCTTTATTATCCGAGACGATTGGGTTGTTACTGGGAGATCAAATTTTCCCTTGAGCTAGATTTTTTTTTCCAACTGGTCACGATCCGTATTATTTTTCATGATTTAAGGTAGGTCTGTTTCATCTTGTCAAACTCTTGTTAATTTCTTGTGAATATGTAGATCTGCATTGAGAAGTAGGCCAAGTAATTTTAAGATTACAACAATTACAGCAGGTTTTTATATTTATGATTTTGCATGTTGGTTTTGGTTTTATGCTGAGCTTTTTCTGGACAATAAATGTCAAAGGGTGATATCTTTATATAGAATTGTAAAACATGTAGTATGAGGTGGTGATGGGTTATGGGAATACAATAAAAATAGAAAAATAATCAATTTAAAGGGATTTAAAATTTTGTCTGATATTAATCATGTATATAGAAATCCTAATGTAATACTATATTTATCTATCTAAAGGTTTCTGTCAGACAGAAATGGTTGCCCGGGCAATGACCATTTCCCATCATGAGGAGCAAGGAGGAGGTTCATGTTGCCCAAACCCCTCTCCTCAGCTCAGGGACCCTGCAGAGGATCTGCACTGTATCACCGCCAACTTCCACTATCTGCAAACCTCAGGTAGGGCAGGATACACACTGACGTGACTTCACATACATATATGTCTCACTGAAATATAGCCATTCGTTCTTATCATGTGTCATTTATTTGATGATGGGAGACTCTGGTGGCATTGCGCTGCACGTGGCTTTTAAGGTTGTTGATTTTGTAAAAAGAGTTGAATGTTACCCCACTTGTGAAGATGCAAATAAAAAGTTCCTTTCAAGTAAAACTTAAAAATCCCTGAAGTCAACCATAGGGCACACAATTTTGACATAAAAATGCCTCTTTCTGTGGTCAAAACAATCGAGTATACTGATGACTGAGCTGTGAATCCTGACCCATTGAAGCTGAGAATCAAGATTCAATGTGCTTACATAAGCTGCAGCCCCTCCTCACCTGCTGTGTTTAGTGTGAGCTTAGGAATCATCAAGAAACATCCACATTGGAGGCACAATTCATAGTCTTCCCTGATACTCAGGCTTGCATTTTAGGGTGTGGCGGGGGTATTTCACGGGCTTTTAGAGGCATCTGAGTGACCCACCGAAACTAAAAACAAAAACTGATGTCCAAACCATTCATCTGTTTTTAGGCTGGTACTGGGGTTCCATCTCAGCAAGTGAAGCTCGAGAGGCTCTCCTGAAGAAGCCAGAGGGCACATTTCTGATAAGGGACAGCAGTCACCCTCAGTACATGCTGGCCCTTTCAGTGCAGACCCGCTACGGACCCACCAGCGTCCGCATTGAGTACAGCAAGGGCTCATTCTGGCTGGACTCCATTTCCCCCAGCCTACCTCAGCTGCAGTCCTTCCCAGATGTTGTCAGCCTCATTCAGCACTACACAGGCTCAGGCCACACCACACAGGGTGCGTCTTCTCATGACATTCACCCAGACATAAAGTCGGACCCTAGCAAACACGTAGCCAAGGACGGTGGGGTGCCTTTGAAGCTGAAGCACCCTCTTCACAGACCGGACGCCTTCCCTTCTCTGCAGCACCTGACACGCCTCATCATCAACAGACACACAACTGACTGTACTGACCTGCTGCCACTCCCGAAGCCTCTGCTGCGCTACCTGCAGGACTACCCGTTTCTCAGATGAGGGCATGTGTCCTTCTGAGACAGACTGCAGAGACTATAATACGGGTCAGGGTCACACTCCAGGAACACACACCGGCTCTTGACTCTAGAAAGAGGAGAAGCTTTCAGGACAAACAACCTCAGTGTGAATGAGTCCAGTCTTGCTACGTCGCACTATTGTTCTCTAGAAATTTACTCTAATGGCTGTTTCAGTTAACGTACATTCATTTATTTGTGCAGTTTCCTTGTTGCTCTCCTGTCACTCAGGAGAAAGTCATATAGCTTTCACCAGTTTTAGGTCTGTTGTTTCCTAAAAAGAGCCAAGACTGCATGTTAATAAATTATTTGAAAAGAAACTGCTGTTTGTGTTCTCGTTTCAGGAGCATTTGTTTTTTTTCCTTGCTTGTTTGAGAAGGCAGAGTTTGTGGCATTTCTGACACAATTTCCCCAGAGTTTTGTTCCTGTATTGATTCACTTCTTGCACGGCTGGGTTCTGTTGTACATTGCCAAAGACACTCATAGTAATGTTAAAAGTTTGAGGAGTTGACAGTAGACTGAAATGGCATGTATTTTATAAGAATTAAAGTCGGGCTCACTGCATGGCATGCAAATCAGAAGACCTGATATGTGAGAATAATAAAGCTGGGTGAATTTTGCCGTCTAATTTAATTTACTTGTGGCATTGTTTTATAGCATCAATGTTTCCTGTGCTTGTTAAAGCTCTTCTATTTACAACCCTGTTTTCTTCTGAGAAAAGGATGCCTGTGGATTTTCAAGAACTGTGTCCTTGTTTTATCAAAGGTTTTTTTTTTCACTGATAAACCACCCCAACAAAAACGTGAGAATTGCTGTTTTCATGGAAACACGCCTCAGTTGATTTCCGTGAGTTGGAACTGAGCAGTGCTGAGAAAGCCTCTTATCAGGATTACAGTAAGAGCTGCAGTTATTAATACACTGTTGAACCAACTGAGAACAGACTATCTCCACCCGTCTATCTCTGCTCCCAACGGCCACTTTTAAGTTTTAAAAATATGTTGTCAAATAAATACAGATCACAAACATCAGAAAGCTTTCTTAATAAAGTATAAAGACACTGAAGTTTCTCTATCCTGCAGCTGAACTGAATCGCAATTTTTTCAAACTTTCATGCAGGTTTATTGTGCTTTTAAACCAAATCAAAAACCAGACCTCATAGAAGTGAAAAAATAAGTTTAGTTTTTTCTACTTTCTGTAAAAGTAACAATAGTGTAGTATAAGGTTTACACTAAAGGTATTTAGTGTACAATTCAAATGCAGCTGCTAAAAAAAAAACCTCACAGGGTGCCCCACCTTTACTATGTGCCTCAGCTGACTTTTTTAAAAGCAAACTTTCCTTAAAATCTTAAACCACTTCTGACTTCTTACATAAGTTTTGTACAGTAGTGGTACAATGATTGCATCTAAATCTAAATAAATATTAGTATTCATGTTCATAATTTGTACAGTAGGCTACATCTTTGCTCTCAAACAGTTCAGCTGATATGTAACATTTTACTGTGAAAAAGACAAGTTTAACTAGTAATTAGATTAAGGGTATATTTTATTTAACTGCTTTAGTTTCAGAGCCTTATATTGTTCATGCTGTCTCACTAACATAGGGGAGAGTGGGTAAGTTGAGCCAAAGGGTAAGTTGAGCCACCCCCTGTTGCTTGGAAATGGTCAAAGAAATTGATCATGTGACCAAATATTTAGGAGGTGGGCATCAATTCATGGAGTCTGTGAAGGTTAGAAGCACATGGGTGAAGGGGTTAGACATTTATTTAAAAAAAAAATTCACTCTTGAAAGTGAATTTAGTCTGTCATAAGTTTTATTAGAAATGTGTTCAGGCGAAAAAAAGATTTAAAATTTGTTTTATACATCAATTGTGGTATCTATGAGCTACAACTTGAGGTCAAAACCCTAGCATTATCTAAAATATATGCAATAATAATAAAAAAAATATTGTACCAGTTGAATAGCGTATAATAGATAAAAATACACATGAATGTGAAGAAGTGACTGTTATTTAGGACAAGAGAAGGTAAGGGAGGGCTGGGGTGGAGAGTGGTGGAGTTGTAGGGATACGGCTCGACTTACCCGCTCAACTTACCCCATACACGGGGTAAGTTGACCATAGGAGACCACTTTTTTTGGCATCCTACATTATCAAGACACTTATGTTTACACTCATTCTGTTGGTTTTGCAGGGATGCACAACATTTAGAAATATATGCAGATACACTAGTTAGAGACAAAATTATGATTGCCTTGATGTAGTGATCAGAAATATGAAAAATGGCTCATCTTACCCCACTCTTCCCTACTGTGATATCCTACATTAACACTTAATGGGGACACCTTTACTTTTCTTTCAGTGGCCTATACATACATACATACATACATATATATATATATATATATATATATATATATATATATATATATATATATGGCCCTGCAGCTCCTTTTCTTCCCAAATCTGATTTCCTACAGTCATTGCACCTGAGAATTGCAGACTCATTAGGCTCATGTACAAAGAATAGATATTATTTTCAACACAAACTCCATAATTACCATTTAACATTGATTGACATTGCAAGCAAAAAACGACCATAGCTGTTAAAAATGAAAATATACACCTGAAATTGTGTCTGTACTAAAGAATAAATAACTATATTTGTGTGTGTTACAGTTAAAATGTATAATTTTGAATGTTGGTATGATAGCGCATTGTTGTCCGCTCCCCACCCCCTCACTTCCCTCCTGTTAATCCCGCAGCAGCAGCATCGCAGTCAGGGAGCAGCAACGGAGGCCAGCAAAGCAATACTTGGAAGTCAGCAGGATAGATTTTAAACCAATCTTAAGGTAAGTACACAATGTTTCCTACCAGAGCGAAGTTGTGGCATCTTGTAGTCGTGTTTTATTTGCCGTTTTATCGTTATATTTATTTAATAACTTGTATTTTCTTCCGATGTGTTGCTTCCACTAGCCCGCTAGCTAACGGATCACTCAAGTCGCATTGACTTCCGTTATGCTAAGCTAATGATGGGTAACAAGCTAGTCACCGGTCTGTGACTCACAGACAAATTTAAGCGTAAAGGAGTGGCTAAAAAAAACTGTGAATTACGCTTTTTATTGATTAAACTGGATAAATTTTAATGAAGCATTCTCTAAATTGGAATAATACCACAGTGTGATAAACCAAAATCTGTAGCCACATATCCGGTGTTCTGTCGATTTGTGCTATCTGAGGAAATATGCGACTCAGCGATTATTAACCCGTTTGCGCAGGCGCAGTGCCACGACTTGCCACAAATTAATGCTCAATGTAGTGCGTTTTTACTGAAATACCAAAGAAAATGTTGGGACGTATAGAAAGATGCTTCCCATTTTCTTATGAATAAGTATTGGTGTAATGAAACGCGACCCTGTGCTATGAGCTGTTATTGGTTTACTGAGCTTCAGTGTTTTTAAATTTATTTTTTATTTTTTATAGAAGTTTTAAAACATGTTGTAAAAATGCAAATGTAGTGAGTTGTTGTTGTGATACAGCGATTAAGCGATGGGAACATATTTCTGACAGGAGACGTTGACGGCCTCTGCTGTCGATACGGTGTCTTCCTTCGACTCGGTAGCGCATCTCGCCAGAACAGCGGCTAACGGTTGCTGGCTCGCGTCAGCAAGCTAGCGGTGAGTCTTGGTAAACAGAGGCTCCTTCCCGACTAAAATTTAGGTCAACATACACTGCAGTTTATCCGGAAAACAAGTTAATACCAGCCACCAACAGTTGTATGATAATGTTGGATTCATGAGTGCTCTAAAGGCGATAAACATCCAACGAAACGGTTTATCGCGCACAGGAACACTAAAGCGGAAACGTATCATGATCAGAGCCCTTCGTCTGAATTAAGTGTGAAACTGAAGCAGATAAGTGGGGCGTGGACTCTCTACTTTCAAGTCATCAACGTGGTACACTGGTGGAAAAACTCCTCAGAGGCCTACTGTAAACAGTCGTCTGTTTATACTGGCACACCATGCCGTATATTGAGCCTAGGGTGTGGGTTTGTGAAGGTTTTGGCGTTGTGTCAACACAGCTGAAGGTTAAGAGCTGCTCATCGTTTCTCACGGGCGCAGTTGGTGGTGATAGTTGCATAATGCCTGATGCAATTCAACATCCTCCCTCACTGCTGTTTTGAATAATGTTGTAAGCATAGATGTTCTCTGTTTCCACCCTGCAGCTATGGCAGCGATCAGAAAAAAGCTGGTCATAGTGGGAGATGGAGCCTGTGGAAAGACCTGTCTGCTTATCGTGTTTAGTAAGGACCAGTTTCCAGAGGTCTATGTGCCAACAGTGTTTGAGAACTATGTTGCGGACATTGAAGTTGACAGCAAACAGGTATGAAATATGCAGAACTAAAGCTGTTTCTTTTCAGCCCCACGTCTTTCATTATCAATGATACTGGCTGTAAATAATTGTAATCTGCTTTTTACCACAGATTGTATTAATTTATTACTTATTTCCAGTGGTTCGTGACTGGTCTCACTCTGGGACCCATGTTTTCCCATGCTCCTTCAGTTGCGACCATAGACTGTATATGCTATGGACAACCCGCCTGTATAGGGATTTGAAGCCAAAAAGCTCTCGGTATTTCTGCGATTTTTCTTCATTTCCTGAAACCAGCGCTGCGCAGTAGCGTTGTGACAGGAGAGTCACTGAGAGTTGCTGTGATGACGCTCGGCTCAAACAGTGTATCCCCCGGGCAGTGTTGTTTTCATTGACGATGAGGTTGACAAAAATATTTCATCAACGTCAACGAAAACAACACTGTAGAATATATGTTTAGCGTTTGACTGACGAAATGCACATGAATTTTGCAACTCTGTTCGTCGTCCACCACTAACGCTTTCGTCTGGTCTCGTGTCGTCAATGTAAAAGCACATTCGTCTCGTCACATTTTAGTCATCTAAGACTTATGTTAAGCTCGTCAACGTCACGTCTTTCTCGTGGAAAAAAGGGCTTTCGTCAACGAAAACAGCACTGCCCCTCAGTGAGCTATGCAATCCCTGAACGCCAATAGGCTGTATCAGGTGTCAATCAAAGAAAACATGAACCCCCTAATAACTTTTAAAAACTGAGCTGCACAGAGGAGGAAGACGGTGTCCATTCTACATACAGTCTACGGTTGCGACCCACTTTTATAGATTTCAAACCAAGCAAATTTATTTTTAATGTATAAAAAAAAAACCTTTAAAGACTCCAATCTTTGACATAAATCCACTTGTTTTATTGAGTAAAGTGCATTTCAGAGCACATGAAGGGGACAACATGAGGACGACAACTACAGAATATCAAATATCTAATAAATATCGCAGTAAATATTTACTTTTTTAACCAGCTGTTCATGACACATGCAGAACATGTCTGCGACCCACTTTTCGATCGGGACCCACTAGTTGAGAACCACTGCTTATTTCTGATTACCATAACATGATGCTTTGTTAAATTATCTGAAAACAAAGTAAGTTTGAATCACATTGATGAACACGTTCTTTCTCATAGTGCAAGAAATTACCTTATCTTTTCTGAGTATCAATCAATCAGTCAATCAAATTTTATTTATATAGCGCCAGTTCACAACAGTCGTCATCCCGAGACGCTTTCCAAAGAGCAGGTCTAGACCACGCTCATTGTTTGATGAATTATCAAGACCCAAGGAGAAAACTTCCTTTTAACAGGCAGAAACCTTGAGCAGGACCAAGTCAGTATTATTCATATCTAACTATTGTAAGTCCAGAAGTATCCCACAATATATTAACAAAATCCTTCTTATGTTTGGGAACTACTTTCCATGAGGTTTTTCCTCAGCAGATCACCTCTGATTGCATGAAGAGGAAATGTACTGTAGTGCCAGCTCTCCGTGTTTGGCAGAATTATGACATTTCTAAGAATTGCCCTCTGAAACGGCTTCATCTATAGGAGTTATGTCCTGTAAAGAAAATGAATAAAGGTTCTGTAAATGTGATCATTTTTGAATATTATACCAGTCATATTTTCTCACATAAGCAATCCAGGGCAAAGAATATACATTTGTATGCACACATAAGGTCAGCTTGTTGTCTAACATAGTCCTGGAGCTTTCATAGCATGGTTTGTTAATTTATCACCTCTTGTGGCAGGTGGAGTTGGCACTCTGGGATACAGCTGGTCAGGAAGACTACGACAGATTGCGCCCACTCTCCTATCCAGATACTGATGTCATTCTCATGTGCTTTTCCATTGACAGCCCTGACAGTCTAGGTAAGTTCAATCAGTGATTCATGTTTGGGAGGCAGCACTGTGAGATTTCTGCGCTCTTTGCTTGATCTCATCTACATTTTCCTATCTGTACCGTCTTTTGTCATCTTATTAAGAAAACATCCCTGAGAAGTGGACTCCTGAGGTGAAACACTTTTGTCCCAATGTTCCCATTATACTGGTGGGAAATAAAAAGGACCTGCGCAATGACGAGCACACCCGCAGGGAGCTTGCCAAAATGAAGCAGGTACACATATCAAAACACGCATAGAAAAAAATGAATTTGATGCTTGGTATCTGAATCTCTCCTAACATTTTCTTTAGGAACCTGTGAAACCTGAGGACGGGCGAGACATGGCAAACAGGATCTGTGCCTTTGGATACATGGAGTGCTCTGCAAAAACAAAGGATGGTGTGAGGGAAGTGTTTGAGATGGCTACCAGGGCTGCACTACAGGCCAAGCGGGGGAAGAAGAGCAGTAAATGTGTCGTACTGTAAATGTGGGGGGGCACACGAACTGCTTCCTCCAGAGGGGGAGAAGGAGCATTAGGTCAAACCGGCCCCCCAAACACACCCACACAAAAAGACTGTTTTCCCCAGTTTTTACTAAAGGTGTAATGCTTTTACGTTTTTTGTCTTAAGCGAAAGTAGTCAGGTTCTGTCAGTATTCAATTTTGAGGTTATGGAAAATCCGTTTTTGTACTTAAAATGCCATAAAAAGAAAGCTCCTTTGTCGACATGTACCATGTAATCAAAGATATCAGCCAGGGGACCTGTGGTGTCACACCTGCCAACTCCAGTGAAGCGCTCAAACCCTGCCTGCCCATCTGAGGAATGTTCCACAGCGACCAGGGGGAAGAACCTGCACACTGTGACCAATAGTCCTTTGAATTATTTCAGCAAACACATGAAGTCCAATTTGGTTTGTTGTGCATCCTGATAACATGCACAACGAGACTGGAAACTCATTTTGTTTAACGCAAACAGAAACTTAGTGTTTTGTGTAATAAATTACTTTGTAAGAATCTTGATAACTTGTGTAACTTTATTGTGGGAAGAAGACTGACACGAAGGAACTTTGGAGCAGTTGATCAGGATAAAATGTTCACAGCGTGCCCTGAAAATGATCTGCTTGTACAGTCCGGAGGCTCAGAGTGCTCAGTTGATTATGTGGGCTTTATAGATGCATATATCGTTCCAGAACGGGCCAAATGGATTTTTACGGCTGCAGGTATTGAAATTATAATTAGTGTCAGTTGTCAACCAAAAAATACCCCTAAAATAGACTTAGAGAATAATGACACTGTTTAGAAGTGAAAATAAATGAACCAGTCCTTACTTATTAAAAAAAGGCTCTACGGGTGTCAGTCAGGATCAACCTGTCTGACATCTTCTGTCACTTCAGCTCAGACTGGAGCCATTAGTCTGAAGTCATTTAGGTCAGACATTAAAACACTCAAAAAGTGCTTTATTTAGCATACATTGAAGAAGAACAACACAACCAACACAATGAAAATTCACAAAACTTTGGTAAATGCCAAGCTCTGTCTTTGTCTCCACACAGCGCTCTGTTGTATTTTTGAAAATATAAAGTGTTTTTTCAAGTGATTCCTGCGGCGAGGTAATGTGATCTATTTTTTTACACTAACTATTCACTGATCAGCTTAGGAGGTAAAGCAACAACTTTTCTTCAGTCTGATCAAGATACCGTGCAAAACATTCAAACTTCAAAAGATTATGATTTAGTCTTTGTTGAACTAAGTTTTTCCACAGTATCAGAATCACTCAGTTCGACCACATCACCAGCATCAGCCTTTCAAAACACACGACTGTTTTAACTCCAGTTTTACAGAGTTCTAACAAAAAGGAATCATTTTAATTTCCACTGCATAGCTTGGCATCAAACTGAAAATCAATTTGTGTAAGTGTACCCAATAAACTGACAAATGGAGTTTAGTAGAGAGAACATGGAGTCTTTGGTAAAATGAGACAAGGCTCTTCTTACATTCTTCAGTGTGAGCAAAAAAAAGAGAAAAAAAGCTGAAAAGGGAAAAAAAAGTTTACGGATAATCTCAGAGCAACAAAGTTTGAAACAGAGTCAAACTTTGTTTGTACAAGTAAAAAATGTTTAGTAAGGTCATCTCTGACAATATTAGAAACACAAAATGAAGCAGCAAAAACAGCCTCACTTGTGTATAACCTCGACAATCTCCTGACTGAGAGAAAGTTTGGTTTCCTTTTTGTCCTTCAACAAATTTAAAGGTGATTTTATGATGCCCATTATGGTTTACTACAAAAGATTTACTCTTCTTTTTTTCTTTTTAACGAACACATTCTGTATCAAAATATTTCTCTGCAAAGCATAAACCTTTGGAGTTATAACCCTGATGTAGAAACACAGCTGTATTTAACTCAAACACCTCTGATGGACAGCTGCGACCATGCAGAAAAATTCAGCTGTGTCTATATTCACTTCACCAGTCATTCGTTCTTTTTGGCTGTCAGTCCTGAACGAGCAAGAAACACTGGAACTAGAGCCAGCGCTCCCAGAGCCGCAGCCATCAGAGGTCGGTAAAAAAACCAACCAGCTCCGATGGTGAGCAGAGACAGAGAGCAGGAGATGCACAAAGCGAAAATCTTCAGCCCCACAGACACCAGCTCTCTGAGAACAGGAACCCAATCCACTGTGGGCACAACAGAGGAAGACACATGAGATCCACAGGAGGGAGATTTATGAATGAGATGAATGTGCAGCATCAGTGTGTGTTTGTTTACCCAAAGTGTAGATTATCCGCATGGTCAACTGTATACTGAGAAACATGAGCGCCCAGCCTGCAGCCCTCAGTCCCCACGTCCTCATACTGTTGTACTGATGCTCTTTAGCAAAAACCTCCTACAGAGACGAAACAACTGCATCAGCTCCACAAAGGACCAAACAGAGACAAACGACACACATACGGCTGTGATCACTCCTTCAAATAAAAACAAATGAGGTGTAATCTCCACTGACCTCTGCAGAGAGCTCCTCCTCGTAAAGGATCTCCAGAGTGTCTCCTGACTTGGTTTTAAAAGGCAGCAGCTGCTCCCCTCTCTGCATGGCAACGATACTAACCTGAAAAATAGACAGTTTTCCACTGACCAAACAAGAAGATCAAGAAGATCTCACAACTTTAGCTTAGATGGTGTTGGCACTCTAAAAACTTTTGAGGTTGAAATAACTATTAGACTATTTCCAAATCATAACTCTAAACGGTAGTTATATTAACAGTGCAAAATATTTAGTTTTGCTACTATGCCTTAAAGGGATATTCCGGCGTAAAATTAATTCAGGGTCAAACACACCGTAACACCAAGTTAGACACCCCCTCGAGAGATGAATGTTGCCGACGGTTTGTTTTTCGAGTTATGATCATTTCTTTGTCATTTCTTTAAAGTAATAATCATCATATTAATCATTTTGCACTGCAGACATGGTAGTTCTTCTGCCTTAGTGTCTCGGTCTGATTGCATTTCCATTAAAAATTGATCATAAATGTTCTTCCTTGAGCTGCGGCACCCCGCTGTAGTCTGTAATGGACTCGACTGAGGTCTCTCTACAAACAAGCAGCTGCTGGAAGAGAGTAGGTAAGTTGTGTTTAGTCTCTTTGCTAAAGAAATGAGTCAAAGTTAAAAAGATGTTTGGTAGTGCTGTGGCTAGTTCTATATGTCCTGTTGATGAAGTTAGGTGCTGTTCTGAGCATTATTTGTGGTTATAGAGTGGTGTTTTGGTTGAGTTTTTGTTTATGGCTCCTCAGACCTCTGTGTATTTCTATCCTGCGGTCGTTTCTAAAGTTGGTCTAACTAGAGAAGCGAGCGGTCGGCAACATTCATCTCTCAAGGGGGTGTCTAACCCTGTGTTATGGTGTGTTTGACCCTAAATTAATTTTACGCCGGAATATCCCTTTAATGTTTGTATGAAAACGAAGAAAACTGATGCATGAAAATGTAGATCATTTACAGTGAAAATGATGAATCAAACAAAAATCCCTGATGGCAGTCATGATTTTGGTATTTCTGAAATAGTTTTTTCACGGATTCTTTGTTGAATTTAAGCCGCAACTGAAAAGTATTTGGTTTCTGGTTCAACTTTGATCCTTTTTGATTAAATCATTTTATCTGTAATGAGTACAAAAATCTCTTACATCAATTCTCAGAGCCAAAGAGTTTTTTTTGATACTCTCTAAATACATTTGATGTTCCAGAAGCTCATTTAGCTTGTTGATGATGAATACATCTGTCACATGAATCTTTCAGCACTACTCGGAAAAAAAGCTCATTATAAAGGACTTTGATTCATCATATCAAGACTTGAATTATTTACTCAGATATACACTCATATTTGTTCAGATGCTACAACAACTCACAATTTGAGCAGGGCCAAGGTTGGACATCTCACTGCTCAGTCCAGCAAAGGAGAACCTCACACGCACATCTCCAACCTTATGAAAAAAAAAAACTTAATCAATATCACAAACATAGGAAACATGAACAAACAGAGCACAAACATCTGAGTAACCATCTCACCTCCGGCCTGCGTGGAGTCTGAGTGTGATAGAAATAATCATCATCAACGGTGAGAAAAGAGTCCAAATCAGAGGTAAGAAAATCCTTCAGACTCAGTGTCTGGAAGTTATTGATCTTCTCCACCAGCCCTGAGAAAGACCAAGCAAAGACCTGATGAGTTATAGGTAAATAATACGAGCATAATTCCTGTTTGTATGTGTCTCTGTGTTGAAATACCTTTAGACAGGATTAAAGGTCCAACTCTGACCTCAGGAGCCACCACTGTGACACTCTCTACCGCCATCGCACTGAGATCAAAGAGAGAGAAGGATCAAGAAGACCGGCTCACAAACATGTTATTTATTACCAAATAAAGTAATACTAAGGAACCACCAGGTTACCTCGGGTTCTGGTGACCAATTTCTTTATCAAAGTTACGACTGTTGACCAGCTCTGATTTCCACTCAGTGTCTGAGGGAGTGAAAAAAAAGGTTAATAAAGCCCGCTCAATTTCCACTTCTTCATAAAAAAAAACTATTTAGTGGAAAAATTCTATTTCCTAACAATGCTCATTTTTGACACCAGCCAGTAACAGTTAGCTTCTTTAGTCCTAAGAATGCTTATCTGATCTCCTGCTTCCCTTCTTTTATATATATTTTTTGAGTTCATTCAGTCTTTTGGCGTTCACTGGTGAAGTTTGTGACTCCAGTATCCCCTCTATGATGCTCGGTTTTAGGCTCACCTTGCACATCACAAAAAGCATCCATCCTGTTAGTCATACTGTCCTATGACCTGTCTGGTGAAGTGTCTCAGATTTGTAATATTTGTTTTGTTTTCGGACTACAGATGAAACTTACCATTTTACTAATTCCAATATATATATTGACACATGCTGATTAATGTGAGCTGTCCCAATTAAATAAACTCAATTAATTATCTCATGATGACATTTTCTTTATGAAAGATTGAAGGAGAGGATGAAGTTGTTAAAATGCCTCAAACTGACCCTCAAGCTGCCGGACAAATAGGTTTTGTCCTCTTTGTTTAGAAGTACCCACTGAGTATTTTATGGTCTAAAAGAGGTCTAACAGACGTCTAAATGTAGCCAAGAGGACTGGTCTAAAATCAGGCTAAAATGAAAGTTTTTTAGACATCTAAATTTAGACCAACTTTAGACCAAGTCTAAATCTGGGCTATATCTATACTACACTGTATATTGCCCAAACAGCTGTCATTATTTTGGTTAAGTACTTGGAGATCAGTTATGTAACTCACAGTTGTTTTTTGAAATAAATAGTTATCAAATAATGGGTTAAAGTGGGTTAAATCTTACTTATGTCTAAAAATATACAGAATCTGAAATTAGGTCTAAAAAAACTAGACGTCTAATAGCCGTCTATTGCTCAGTTGGTATTTACTCACTGTAGTTGTATGTCGTCTCAGTCTTGGTCTCTCCGTTCTCCTGGTAATCCCTGAAAATAGTCACATATTAATAACATTCACCTAAAATACTTATTTCACATTTTGTCCACCTGACCCCCTCCCTGAGTGTTCACAGACTGAAAGGAATGATGGCAGACTCACTTGCTGTCCCGATACTCCACCCACTGATACATCTCCACCTGTCTCTGCAGCTTCACTGCCTGCACCACCACTCTGTAGTTCGGGTCATGCAAGGGCTACAAGGGAACACATGCAGAAGATTAATGAATGAATGAATGAATGAATAAATGACATTACTATTGCCATAACTAACTGTAGAATGACTGAAATAAATGATTAATCCTAGTGGTTTGCTTGATAATTCTTAATGACTTTTTGACAGCGGACGGTGCTTCTGAGTAACAGAAAGTACAAAATGATGGAGGGGTTTACCTGTGAGGTGTGAAGTTTTGCAGACAGATGGACTAGACGGTTGTTGTTCTGGGGCTCAAGACTAAAGAGAGATTCCAACGACACGACCTGAGACAGACCCTCATCCAGGGAAGAAGCTGTCTGCAGCGCTCGTCCCTAAAGGGTTACAGACAGCATGCTCTCTAATTAAGATGACTTTGATGTTTTAATCCATGACTGTCACTGGAATCTTTATCTGACCTCATTAGTGAAGAGAACATAAAACGAAAGGAAAAACAGCCCGATGCCCAGAACGGTCCCTCCTGCTGTTTCACTGAGTCGCTCCAGAAATCCAGGATTGGACTTGGTAGACACACGCCTGTGAGTGTTCAGGTCTTTATCTGGAAACTGAGAAATACATCAGAAAACATGGAGGTTTAGTTTACAATATGATGGATGGCATTAACAGAACAGAGTGATGAAATGATTTTAAATGTGTGGTTACACTGAGCCATGGGTTTGACTGTATTTACCTTCACTAAATTACATACAGACAGCATCATTGACCTTTCTTATTAAAACTACCCTGTTCAGAACTTTATGGGCTTTTTTCATTCAAATCTAACATTTAATTTAAAACAATCACGACATGAGAAGAGCATGCATATACCGAGCTGAAGTGAGTTTGTGAACAACTATGTGTGTCTGGGTGTGCACCACAAACACACCCATTTTATTCTCTGCCAAGTTTACTTTATAACTACACTTTCAGGTTTTAACATCTAAGTTTAGCCTGCTGTTGTTATTTCAAAGGTGTCTTTAACTTTTCACAAAGACTTATTGATTTCTGCTAAAACCAACTTCTGCTGTAATATTGACTCAGACAGAAACTAATAAAAGGCGGTGACTCTGGGCAGCAGCGGTAACAGCGACAAAGATACTGAAACTCGACAACCACAGCTGAAAGTCAACCAACGCCTTCGAAATGTAAAACACTTACTGCCTGAGATGAAGACATTTTAGTCCTTTTCGTGTCCACAATCAGACAATGATGTTAGAGCTCTGCAAGATGCAAAAGACAGGAAGTTTTCTTCTGACGGCGTCGGTACATGGGGATGAAGTGCGCCTGTTTTATTTATCAGCGCACACGAGAATTCACTCTGCATGGGCGGAGTGGAGGTAGAACACTAAATTACTCTCTATCTACCATACCAGAGTGTCCTGGTGTATTAAACAAGGCAACCTTAAAGACTAACGCTGACCCGGCTCTCTGAGGGAATGCCGGGTAACAGAGTTTTTTAAAGGCAATGTCAGATTTTACAAACTACTTTTTTTCACAAGTTCTTTATTGAACTAACTATAGTAATATTTTATTTTGCTTGACGAACAAATAATAATAATAATTAAAAAAAAACTCCAGAGCGGTGACGTCTTGTTGAAAAAAGACACAAAAGCTAAAAAAAAAAAAAAAACACTCAATTCGTTTATCACAGTGTAATTCAAAGGACTGATCCAGTTGAGGACTTTCTGTAACATTTAATAATTGACTGATTGATTAATTGATTGATTGATTGATTGATTGAAGTTTATTTTGAACATCTAAATAATAATAATAATGATGATGATGATGATTATGATGAAGATAATAATAATAATAATAATAATAATAATAATAATAATAATAATAATGATGATGATGATGATGATGATAATAATAATAATAATAATAATAATAATAATAATAATAATAATAATAATGATGATGATGATGATGATGATGATGATGATAATAATAATAATAATCATCATAATAATAATAGCAATAAAAATAATCACCACAGTGAAAATAACAAATTTAACACATATGAAAGTTGTTTGTAGTTCCACCAAGGAGCCCAAATCCCATCTGAGTTTCACATTCAGGCCACACACACGGAGCCTGCGAAGGAATTCAATACAACATTTACAGAAAATAAAACTCTATAGCAGATTTTTTTTTTGCAGGCCTTTTGGGTTTGTTGACTTCAGAGGGATTCTTCTTTATGTTGGGTTCCTATCATGTTACATTATCTTTATGTTAGGATAGATTTTTTATTGCATTAATAAGCATGGCCCCACAATCACTTTACCCTGTATTTTTTGTCTGTTAATGATCTCGTATATCAACATACAACAGTCAACAAGAGTTTTTAATGTCACTTTCTTTCTGTAGGCCTACTTGTGCCGCTGCAATAACCAGACTACTCCACTGGGGATCAGCAAAGGCCCTTTTACATGTGATTGTCTTACATGAGTATATCAGTCACAAGGGGGCTGTACTTTTACTTTCAGTAGAGCTGCTGTTGATGCTGCTGATGAGATCATGTTCATTTAACACCATAATCTACAGGTAGAGCAAAACCCCACATGTTCGAGTAGACGTGGATGTAAGACTTTATATGAAAGTCAATCTCTGTTTCATTTCTGTCTCCCTCCCTCTTCTTCCTCACGCAGAAGCATAGATGTTTATGTCTTAAGAGGATTATTGAAAAAGGGGGACACAAAGCATTTACTGTCACCTATCATCAACATAAATGTGTGTCTCTCTCTAAACACATGATGACATGGGCACATATGCACGTGAACACGCGTTAGGCTGCAACAGGTATTTGAAAAAAGCACTGAGCCTCTGTGAGAAATGAACGCAGAGACTGATAAGATGCAGGAATATGATGTTATTGTACTTGGGACTGGACTGAAGGTAAGAAAACATATTTATTGTCAGTAAAAAAAGGGAAATTGCAATGACCTTTTTTTTTCCTGCTGGTCGTACTGTTGGTCTACAAAGTCGCCTCACGTGAGCAGGATGGATTGAATTTAAAGTTGCAGAGTTTTTTATATCAAAATGGGAAAAAGATGATTGTATTGAGAACCTAAAATACTTTGAATGGAGAGATATTTATTCTTTCTTTGATTAAAAAAGTCTCACTAAAGAGAAACATAATACTTTAAACGAAACCTTAACTCTTGTTATCATCTCTGAATAGTTTTTATCAGATAAGTTTGTATTTGAAAGTTCAGTTTATAAGTACTTAGAATTATGCCATCATTGTGCCTCTCCTAATCTACTCCGTGTTGTCTTGCATGTCATCGTGGACCCTTTTCTGTCTCAGGAGTGTGTCCTTTCCACTTTATTGTCTCAAAGTGGGAAAAAGGTTCTTCACATCGACAAGAATCCTTACTACGGGGGAGAGAGTGCTTCCATTTCTCCCCTTGAGCAGGTGCTTTTACACAAACACATATATGACGGAAGAGTGGCTGCCGCTCAAAGCTACATTACTGATATTTTTGGTTTTTATTATTTCAAAATTTTCCACATTATGCTGACAGCTGTTCAAGTTGTTTCAAACTCCTGGTCCATTCAAATCGTTGGGACACGGAAAAGAGTGGAACATCGACCTCATCCCCAAAGTTTTCCTTGCGAAAGGTGAGACCAGAGTTCAGAGTTTGTCTGAAAGATTTTCATGCATTATTTTGGTGAATCAGTTCATTTCCCCCTCTGTTGTGTTTGCATTAGGTGATCTGGTGAAAATCTTGGTGCACACTGAGGTTACGCGATATCTGGACTTCAAGGTCATTGAGGGCAGCTATGTTTATAAAGCAGGCAAAGTTCACAAAGTCCCTGGCACAGAGGAAGATGTCCATTCTTCAGGTGAAAAACAAACACCTATAGATGAGTGTTTAAAGATCTACTTCATATTATTCACTGAGACGTTTTTCCTTCAGACTTGATGGGCATGTTTGACAAGAGGAGGTTCAGAAAGCTGCTGCAGTTTGCCCAAAACTTTGATGTTAGAAACCCCCGGACATACCATGACATGGATCCTCACGAAACCACCACCAGGGACCTGTTCTGCCACTTTGACCTGGGGTTAGACGTTCAGGAGTTCATAGGTCATGCAGTTGCCTTATACAGCAAAGAGAGGTCAGCCACAGAAACTCAAAATGACTTACATAAAACAAATGACATCAGCTGGTACTCAAAGTTAAAACTTTCTGATCAGTTACCTGGACCGTCCATATTTGGAAACCATCAGGCGGATAAAGTTGTACTCTGAGTCTGTGTCCCACCATACCTCCAGTCCTTACCTCTACCCTGTGTATGGGCTGGGAGAACTACCACAGGGATTTGCCAGGTAAGAGGATAACTAATCAGTTTATTCTCTGAATACTGTCAAAAAGGATTAAAGTGATATTCTTTAATCTAGGGTCAAACACACCGCAACACTGAGTTAGACACCCCTCAAGAGATGAATGTTGCCGCCTCTTTAGTTATATCAACTTTAGTAATGACCGCACAATAGCAATGCACAGTGGTCTATGGATCTAACTTAATCAGCAGGACATATAGGGTCCTAGCCACAGTACTAGCCACCAAACATCTTTTTAGCTTTGCCTAATTTCTTTAGCAAAGAGACTAAACACAACTCACCTTCTCTCTTCTAGCAGCCGCTTGTCCATTACGGACTACAGCGGGGTTCCATTTCTTCATGGAAATTTAATCAGACAGAGGCGCTAATGCAGAAGACTTACCCGGTCTGCAGTGCAAAATGATAAATATGGTGATTATTAAATCAAGGAAATGATAAAGTAGTGATCGTAATTGTTCTTCCTTGAGCTGCGTCACCCCGCAGCAGACTGTAATGGACTGGCCCGAGGTCTCGCTATAAACAAGTGGCTGCTGGAAGAGAGTAGGTGAGTTGTGTTTAGTCTCTTTGCTAAAGAAATGAGTCAAAGTTAAAAAGATGTTTGGTGTCTAGTACTATGTCTGTGAACCTATATGTCCTGTTGATGAAGTTAGGTGCTGTTCTGAGCATTATTTGTGGATATAGAGTGGCGTTTTGGTTGAGGTTTGTTTATGACTCCTTAAACCACTGTGTATTGCTATCATGCGGTCGTTACTAAAGTTGGTATAACTTGAGAAGCAAGTGGTCGGCAACATTCATCTCTGGAGGGGGGTCTCTAACTCAGTGTTATGGTGTGTTTGACCCTTTAAGTTTATCTTGTGGGATAAGATCGTATTAGCAATCGCACATAACGTGGCACTGTTCTGCATGTGTGTGTTTCAGACTGAGTGCAGAGTATGGAGGAACCTTCCTGATGAACAGAGCTGTAGATGAAATAGTGATGGATGGTGGTAAAGTAAAAGCTGTGAAATCTCAGGGGAAGGCGAGTGTTATCGATGTAGAGGAAGGTTTGGGAAGTAGTCTCAAGGATGTTACAGGTAAAGATGTGGCCCTCGTTGATCTTGTCTGTTTTTTTTCTCTCTTTAACAGCTGTTCTGCTGTAAACAGCTCATCTGTGACCCAAGCTACGTCCCCAACAGAGTGAGAAAAGCAGGTCGTGTGATAAGAGTCATCTGCTTATTAAATCATCCGGTTAAAAACACCCATGAGGCAAACTCCTGTCAAATCATCATCCCTCAAACACAGTTCAACAGGAAATCCGGTACTCTGTCCCTGCTAGTATTAATCTGCATGTGTGCTGCAAAGATCCAAAGCTGATCAGACTGATGAATAACTAACTAGAAAAACTCCTCTGTCTGTGCAGACATTTTCATCTCCCTGGTGTCCTACACTCACAGTGTGGCCCCAGACGGGCTGTACATCGCTACAGTGAGCACCACAGTAGAAACTAACAACCCAAAGAAAGAAATCCAGCCAGTACTGGAGCTGCTCGAGCCCATCGTGCAAAAGTGAGCCACTATTTCAATCATTTCATTTAGCATTTTGTTAAGGTGCCATTTAACTGATGCTGTTTACTACTTTGGATCCAGATTTGTTTCAGTGAGCGACATCCTGGTTCCCAATGAAGACGGAAAAAGAAGTCAGGTAATTCAAGAAATCCTCAAACAGAATTTCTCTAACTTGTACTAAGAAATAAAGACGTGTGGTTTCTGTTTCAAGGTTTTCGTGTCCAGCTCATATGATGCAACAAACCACTTTGTCTCTGAATGTGAGGACATCAAGGGTCTGTATCAGCGGATCACAGGAGCAGAGCTGTGCTGGGGACGATCTCAGAGACATAAATCTTCCAACTCTGATGAAGACTGACAAAGGCTTTCAAAACTTTATCTTTAGATTACAACTTTAAATAAAGTTATACAGTTGGTTACCCTGAGAGAAGGAGAGAAATGTCATCATCTGAATAAAACTTATAATCTCTGGATTTCATGTGTACATGGGCCTCTCTGTACTTTCTACAGTCATAAAACAGAAGATGTTTTACTCTATAGACAGAGATACATCTGATCTCTTTGTTGCTCCATGTGTGTAACGGTTATTTTCTGATGAAAACTCTTACTCTGTGTCCTGTTAGCATCAGATTTTTGATTAACTTTTAATAATCGCAGGAAGGAATATAAAAAGTCTCTCCTTCAGTTTGCCGTCACTCACCTGCTCTAACTCCTACCTCCTCACAGGCAATAGAGATAATGATTCTGTGAAGACATTTCTTTAACTTGATTCATGAACTGCTAGCTGGTAAAATAATGGGAAAATTATTCTTCAGATGGATATCACAGCCTTATTTTCAGCATTACTTTAAGGACAACCACGGCACAGAACCTGTCAGTGCCACCGTTTCTTTTTAGGCAGTAGTTGTAACCAATCCTGCAGCCCCCTCTATGGGATTGACAGGATTTAAATGTACAGACTGAAGCAGAAATGTAGCACAGAGCCAGATGATTAGAGATGTTATTGCAGAGGATTTGTAGAATCTCTTATCTATGCAGGCTTATGTATGAGAAGGACAAAGCCTGTGAATTATGTCACATGCTGCACACAGACAGGCAGCGCTGCTGGAGTCTATCAGACAGATGGACGCACAGAATAAAGAGGATTAACTAAATGAAGGACAGTCAGAACCAACACCTCAAACAGAGAGTTCAAACTCTCAAATATTTTTGTATATATAAAGATCATACATATATATACAGTTTGATTTGATAACAAATAGTGCACACAGGTGTCATTATACTTTTATTATTTGGATAAAACACAACCTGGTGGTTAGAATTTATTAACCTCTAAAATACATATAGTACATATAACATCATATCTGCACACTTTGCTGTAGTTTCAGTTGATCACACCAAAATTCACCACAACATCTTCGTATGTACTCAAACGACTTCAGTCCCAAAGACTGCCTGAAATCTCAACATCAAAAACTGATGAATTTTCTTGGACAGCTCACTGGTAGACACTTAGATCTTAAAGAATAAGAGCTGCAATCAGACACTGTGTTTTTGGGGATGAGCTACACTGGGGTTCTTCTCTTTGTAGACGAAGAACAGCTATCTCACAGGTCTCACTTCATTCATGATCCTGTAAACTTCATCTGCAGAAATTTGACCTAAAGTTTCTATTGACGTTTCAGCACTTATTCCTGTGTCAGTTCCAGTGCTGTGCTGACAGGAGGAGGGATCAGACCTGCAGCCACAACTCTTCGCTCATTGGCCAGGAAGTTGAAGGTTGCACATGCATTTGGCTGTAGGACAGCAGAATAAAAGGAGAAAGACAAAGTGGTTAATGTGTGCATGCTAATCAGTGTTATATGCTGTCAGACCAAATGCTCTAATCTGAGTCATGGTGCATTTACCGTGTCTTGCACCTCTACTGCGATGCCTTTCTTTTTGAGTAGAGCGAGGACTGAAGGGTTTATTCGTTCAACATGTGCGCCTGTCCCCAGCACCAAAATCTCTACAAAAAAAGAGAAATATCAAAACAGATGTTTTTTAAGATACATGCGCTAAAATAAACATAGATAAGAGATAAATACCAAGAATGGCTGCGTAACTGTATAGAAAAACAAAAAGTACAGTTTCCAGACAAAACAAAAGGCCATGAATGGTTTGTTGAGCATCTTAAAGATATATTCTGATTACACTCCAGCGCTAACATTAAAACACTAAACAGTTGAATGTCTTTACAAAAAACTATATCTGCTCCTGTACTGAAATTTAGTGGACTTATTTACTATTTTCTGAGTTGGTGTGTTTTTGTTTTTACCTATTCTTGGTTCAAGCATATGAAAAAGTGAAACACTTTCTTCGGTGATGTCTTTATGACTGCCAACCTGCAGAATGTGAGAGAGAGACAGAAAGAAAAGGAGATAATCTCAGCAAGGATAATAACGTAGGGAAATAAAATGTATTTAATGACAGAACAAAGTACAAGCTGTGAAGGTGGTTTGGATTTTCTCACATTCCACTGTAGGATGGCAGGAGGCAGCACAGCACAGGGTCCAATTACTCTGTTCCCATCAATGTTGAATCCAAGGTCACTGTAGCTGTGGATCATGACACCACTGCCCGCCTCCTTCTGCATGATAGACACAGTAGTGCGCTGGTACATTTCATCATCAGTGGGACCCAAACGATGAGCACGAGAAAGAAATGGGCTGAAACAACAAAAAAGAGATGAACCAAGTTAAACCAGCACCATGTAAAGAACACAAGGATGGTCATTTATTATTAATTAAGCTCAAGTGTAAATATTGCAGAGAGAGCTTCAGGCCTAATTCAGTCTCTCTGTAATTAAGTATTTATTGCCTCAGTGAATTCTCCAGAATTTCTTTCATACAAAACAGACAGTACTGACAAACTTTTGCCATGAGGTCCAGTTTTAAGTCCAAAAATCAACCACCACCCCAGTGATAGGGTTCCTCCTGACCAGTACAAAAACATTTGCAGGCTTGACTAATCTTTTATACAGTTTGGGACAGTGTTAGTGTGATGACCGTCTCCACCAGATGGAGCCACAGATGCTGTTTCTTGGGTAAAAGATCCAAATGTTTAGCATAGCCTCAAGCAATCGAATCTTCATCAATAAAGCTCTTAGAAAGAAAAGACTGTATGTTCATTTCTGACCAAGTCTAGATATTTTTCTGTATAAATCAATGAATTGTAAAGTTTCTATGATGTCAGAAAAATTGTGAAAATTTTTAACAACTGATTCTCCAAACACTGTCTGTGCAACTAAACTTGACTGATAGTTTTAAGTCCTGGGAGAGTAAAAAATATGTAAATATTAACACTTGGGACTTTAGAAAAAGATGATTTGGACATTATTTAAAAAAAAAAAGGCTAAATTACTAAATGGATGACAACTGAGAGGTTCCTTCTTTGAAAAATTCTCCACAAATAGTAACTTTGAATTTTAAAATATTAAAAAGAAACTTGTGTTCGAAGTTGGTCATACACACTTTTCTACAGAACAATTATCATTTAGTGCAAAAATAAATAAATAAAATAAAATATAAAATAAAAAATATTCCTAACTGGGTAACAGAATAAAATACAAATGAATGACCAATTTGTTAAAATTAGTCATATAATTTTCAGTTGTCATACATCCCTTTTTTTGACAATTATGATTCTTTTTTTTGTCTTGGGCTTTAGTAAACTACTCTTCTCAACTGTCTTGAGGACCAAATAATCAGAATCATAAATACTTTAATAATCCTCTGGGGGAAATTGCTTTTATCACAGTACTCCAGTGCAAATACAGTAAAAGAGGAGATAAATAAAAGATAAGATAAGTAAAAATATAGAGATAAATAGTTAAAATCAGTAAAAAAATATAGAGATAATATACAAGCATTTACATTATATACAACACAATAGTAAAATAAGGAAACAAAAAGACTAAAAAAAAAGACTGCTATAATAAAAGAGTGCACTTCATTTCGCTCTGGTCTGCAGTCAATTTTATCTCACCTGGAGACCAAACAGGACACCAAAGTAAACACATGAAGCACCATCTCCTGACATAATTGACCTGTAGTGCAAATACACACACAGCACGACTTATACATGTCCTGTTCAGAGAGTTGTTAAAATAAGAAAATAACAAAAAAACAAAAACTCGTACAAAAACTACATTTGAAGTCAACAGACTGTCATTCCCACCGTGTCTGTGTCTCCAGGCTCTTTAAAGAGGGCAGATCAGTCAGCTGACTGTTACTAAGTCCACCGCATCGACTCTAGATCATCACTTTAAACTACCTGGACATTTTAAAAAACCTCACCTTACAGCCGGGGATACGAGCCTGGGGAAGAGAAACCCCTGTGTAGATTTCTGAAGGAGGAATCGGGCACACACTGCAGTAGCCATGTTCACGAAACAAGCGAACCGGTGGGGGGAAACAATTGTCCGTTACACCACACACTCATTTCCGGTGTGGAGTATCGCATCATCGAACGACTTTAACTCTTTCGTGGTCCTGAAAAACACGAACACAAATATATGGAAAAGAAAATCATTGAATAAGTTAAATTTAATCAGCAGTTAAAGAGAGGGGAATGTTTTTTTATGTATTATCTATATTTTTGATTAGATAAAAACTGAACCACAGGAACAAATAAAAGCCCTAAAGTGAAATACACTGTCTCAACTGTGTCTCAACTGTAAATTTGTAAAATGTTGGCAAATTGTTAACATTTTCACATTTACATATTGTTTTAAGTCTGATCTTATTGTTAAACAGTGTTTTTGGTAATAATATATATTAGTCCGTATTAATATTTAGCTCCGTGTTTGATTATAGTGTCTGGTGGGCGTGTCCATGCAGTAACAGCGCCCCCTGTGGCGCTCATCGGCAGCAGTTGTGAATCAGATGATCGGCTCTGAGCTCCCTTGTAAATACACAGCAGTGATCCGCCGGGGCCATGCCTTCACAGCCACTTTAAAATACTTCAACATCAGCAGATATTCACACACGAAGACTTCACGTTCCCGGACGTTCAGTTTGATCTTCTCCGCCTCGTTTTGGCGCGTTAACGTGTTTCGTTAAAGCATGTACCGGTCTCTGTACGCCTTCCGATCCACGGAGCCCAACTCGCTTCACTTCACGGCCGGAGAAAGCTTCCTAATCCTGGAGAGGAGCAACAAACACTGGTGGCTGGGGTCCCGCTGCAGCTCGGGGGAAACAGGCTACATCCCGTCTTCATACATCGAGAAAATCCAGGTGAAAAGCCGCTCCTGAAATGGAAGTTTGTCCTCTCTTTTGTCTCTGTAAATGCAAGCGGTGACCAAGTCGCACCCTGAGGTGAAGGGAGATCCAGTGAAGGCGTATTTACGCTGATGGAGTCGACACAGGCAGGCAGGCAGGTCCCATGTTAGTGCTGCAGTGCAGGGCAGGCCGTGTTAAAGCCAGCTGCTTATTATTATGTAAAGAGAGGAAGATGAATGTTTTTCAGGAGCACACATAAATAATTTGAAAGGTTTACATCATGGGGGACTTGGCCCTGTGTACTGCAGCTGCTCACTGCGACACAGAGGAGATGGAGCAGGACAGGATGAATCTGACAGGATGTTAACCTGAGACAAACAGAGTCAAGGACAGGACCGAGAGATCTGTTTACAGTCTATAATATAATCTGATCCTGTGATGACTGTCTCCATTTTTACACCAAAGTCCATCACAAATAGGGGAGAGTGGGGTAAGATGAGCCAAAGGGTAAGCTGAGCCACCCCCTGTTTCTTGGAAATGGTCAAAGAAATTGATCATGTGAGCAAATATTTAGGAGATGGTCATCAATTCATGGAGTCTGTGAAGGTTAGAAGAACATGGGTGAAGAGGTTAGATATTTATTTACAAAAAAAAACATTTTTCACTCTTGAAGGTGAATTTAGTCTGTCTTTAGTTTTATTAGAATTGTGTTCAGACCAAAAAAACAGTGTTTAAATACACATGAATGTGAAGAAGTGACTGTTATTTAGGGAGAGAGAAGGTGAGGGAGGGGTGAGGTAGAGAGTGGGGGGGTTGTAGGGATGCGGCTCAACTTACCCCGCTCCTATGGTCAACTTACCCCATACACAGGGAATGCTATATTATCAAGACAGTTCTGTTTACACTCATTCTGTTAGTTTACAGGGATGAACAACATCTTACTAGTTAGAGACCAAACTATGATCGCCTTGATGTAGTGATCTGAAATATGAATAACGGCTCATCTTACCCCACTCTCCCCTATTCTTGTCTTTGTTGAATAAGTCCCTACTTCTTTCCACTTGGTTTTTCTCAGTCACACCCTCATGTGTTTTACAGTGGGGATTTTCAAAGGACCCAGGCTTACAGTGAACTAGTCAGAGCATGTATTGAATGAAGTCACAGGCGCACACACAGACACTGCAGCAGGAGAGGAATTCTCTCTCATGTCTGTAGTGACATTGACAGTGGAGGTTTCATGAGTGTGAAGTCTCAGTGGTTTATAGTGTTTTTTATATCTGTCCCAGTTTGGTCCCGCTCACAGACTCACAGGTCCCCGAGGGGCAGATCTGAGTTGTTTAAAGTTTAATAATTATTTCAGTGAATGTTTAATTATTTCCCTGTTTTCTCTCTCTGTGTCTGTGTGCATCACTGCCAGGCTCCAGAGCAGGATGAGGTGCTGCAGTCCATCGACAGAGCCATCGAGGGAATCCATAATGTGGCCTTGAAGAATGGAGGGAAATACAATCTGGAGCAGAGAGACGTTCTTCAGTGAGTTCAAACTAATGAAACCCATCAGAGCTTTTCCTGATTCAATCACGTGTTTCTTCATGTAAATCTATATCCTTTCTTTGTCTAGAAAATTGATCCATCACAGAAAAGAGACTCTTGCACGGCGGAGTTCATCCTCCTCTGGTCACAAACAAGGCATCCCGTCCTCCAGCAGTGAGATCTCTCTCAGTCAGACTCCCCCTCCACCCAACGGCCTTAACCAAAACTATGGACGACAGGGGAGTATGCCACTATCAGGAAGCATGGACAATATGCAGAGTGACCCAGGCTTTTACCAGGTAAGGTTCTGTCATAGTGTCCACAATAAAAACACTCTGAGTGGTTTCTTCTTCTAACTCTCCTGTCAAGGTTCATTTTATGTCTTTGGCTTTTTCTTGACTTGTTTCTTCTTCTGTTGTCAATTCTTTATCACCACGATCCTTTTGTACCATTTTTCTCTGTTCTTTATGTAAAACAATGACATCTCCATTATCTTGCTCAAGTCTGAGTCTGAGTAAGTCC